CTGTAGTTTGACATTAACATAGCATCTATTGAATGCAGAACAGGATTTGAGAAATATACTGGGAGAAAGTGTGAGCAAATGACACGTCCGGAGCAGGACGAACGAAATCCGGTCGCGGGTTCGAGTCAAGCCCGAGTCGTTTCAGTCGCTCGCTATTTCCCCTGTATAACATCAATTATTATTAACAAAGCAGAAACCGTGTGAAAGTTGACACTTGCCTGTGTATTGGTGCTGGGTATCTGTAAATAGTAAGTTAGGCTGCCAACATCGAACGTCTCATCCATTGCCACAACTGCACCGTGTATTCCCGATTGCTGCAGGCAGTAGGCGAACTCGTCTAGGCCTATTGAGCAGACCCACTTGATCATGCGCTCGTTACTCCAAACTAAAACATCTGAAAAAAGAAGGTAACGTAGAGGATATGATATTGACTGGTAACCAAATTCAGAATGATGTTTCAACAATACAGAAGGACTAAAAGAAATCTGATATTGATGACGATGTGGGATTGGCAACATAGAGTAAGAAATCAGTGAAAGATATATGGGGAAAATGAGACGGTGTGTAGTTGCCCGGTCAGTCGGTTAGTCTTTAAAAACAGAACAATATTTCGGATATCGCTTGGGAAAGAGCACCTTGCATACACCAATGATATGTCAAGGGTCTCAATTTTTCATTGGCATATTCAAGGTTGAAAATATAGTATAGAACTCAAAGAGCTTTCAAAGAAAAAAACAAACGAATGCCTAACGTGGTTATATCAACCTAACCAACTTTCTGAAGGTTAAAAACATCAGGAGTAGAGAAAACGGGTTTTCCTAACTAAAGGCGTTTTAATGGCTCTGAAACTCCTCAGAGATTGAAATAACAAAACCATGCTTTAAAGAGAAACAATTTCATTTACACCCAGGTATAGATAAATATCATAGCTAGCTGTTGTCTGACAATTATGGTTGACAAAGAAGAAGTTGGACCAATAATCTATAAAGAAGTTCCACAGAAGCCCCCCATTCATGTTTTATGCAGGGAGTTTTTCACTGCCTAGAATAATAATTTTTTGCTCTGCCAGTATTCCAAAAATTTCTCCTGAATAGAATTTAGCGAACTTTCAAGTAGATTTTTCGACAAGAGTTGTATATTTGATCGACACATAGCAATGTAACGAGAGAATTCAATTTCGATGGTACTCTGGTGTGTTATAGCCTACCAAGTGTCAAACAAAAAGAGTTTTTAAAGCGTTACCCTGCACGATTCCTTAGGAAAATAAATTGCTAAGGCAATCGAAACACAACGAGGATTTGGGGAACACAACCGAAAACCCAAGAATGACGTGGCAAAAAATTATATACACCACAAACTGGTTCTACTAAGGAATAACTCTTGATTCACAAAGCATACCTTTATTTTCCTTTTCACAATCCCTACGCCGTCGTTCCATTACCTGCAAAAAATACCACATTACGTTTGCTAGAATTCATACTTCAAAACGAATTTACGATACGAAAAACTCCCCTTGGACGAGGAGAAGAAGATATATTTTTTGTTCCTTTTTTCATCACCTATTACCCTTAGAATCTACACGACTTTTAAACACTGCAAAAGTTAAAAAGATGAGACCACTACAAGAATTTGGGATGATTGCAAAGTGGAAAAGTGACATGTAAATGGGAAACGGTGAAACAGCTGGCCGAGAAGGCAGCGAAATGATGTATATAAAGGACATGAGCAAGAAAGTCGGAAGAAGAAAGTGAAAAAGCAGAGAGAAAAGCATAGAGAAAAAAAGAGAAAAAAAGCGAAAAAAGAGAGAGAAAAAGAGAGAGAAAAAGAGAGAAAAAGAGAGAAAAAGAGAGAAAAAGAGAGAAAAAGAGAGAAAAAGAGAGAAAAAGAGAGAAAAAGAGAGAAAAAGAGAGAAAAAAGGAGCAATCTAAAAACAGTCGATAGAGCGGAGCGGTAGCATAAGTCACTGTAGAACATCACTTACCCTTCGATCATAATTCAACATTTCTAAACATTTTGTACCAAGTATAATGCTATTCCTGAAAGTAGACAAAATGAATTAAGATAAAAACCAGAATTAATAAGAGGAGAGTGAAATTTACGAGTTACTGGCAACTTAAAAAGTATATACGAGCATCCAATTAAACACATGAACAATCGTTTAGATTTTTGGAAATAAATCCTAGCCTTCAAAGCATTTTTCTTATTTGATTCAATAATTAAAATCATTTAAACAAGCATGCATACTTCTAAAACACAAATTCAGTGATTTCATGTAACTGCTCAGGAATTTTTAACAGTTTAATCAATTTTCACTAATAAGTTTTACACTGATGGTATAATTCAAATTATAAAAACATCGAATGGAAATTATCTGTCCGAAATCTGTCCGAAATTAACTTTAGTGACAGACATTGCAAAAACCTTCTGGCAATTTCTTAAAATATTTTCTTGCAAGATATTGCATATTATCGGTATGCGGGCATCTACGGTTGAATGCGAGCTACAAAATGGCGGATTGATCATACATTGACAATATGAAACTTTCATTGAAGAAAAGTCTTCATAGTGGGCAGCTCACAGCAGCAGACAAACAATTTTGACCTAAGATAGCACTTATAAGCGGAGACATAGCATATTTAGGAATTTTTTGTCTGACACTCATCAGGGTATAAACATCAGAAAACGACTTAAGGTAAAGTATTCTTCCCTCGTCAAGACAAACATCAAACGAATGTTAAATTTTGTTACAATTTAGGCCAACAGCAGTTAACAACTCAGGATTTGCTGCGATCCCTAAACGGAGAAATACTGGGTGGCAATGTCAATTAAAAATGATCCATCAACGTATAAAAAACACGATTCACTATACCTATGAAATCCATCAACAACTTTTAGATATTTCTGAAATTCCTTTTTGCTTATATGTTCTAGCATTCTTGCGTCTACCAGACATTCTAAAAATGTGCTCTGCAAAAGAAGCAATTTATTACTCAAAACCTCTAGCCTCTTTACATATCTGTGTTTATGTAAACATACACCTAGCCAAACGCTCAAAGATTATTTCCAACCTACACTAGCTACATGTAAAAGATATCAAGCATAAAACTATATCCTGTATAACAAAACTACTAGTTAACTTGATGCTTTTTAGAATAAGAATAATTATTATAGCATATATACATTTTGCTACCTTATCGTCGAGAAACAAATGCTGTCAAAAGATCAGAATCATCAAATCAGATAAATATGAAATTTAATCTACATATCTTGCTCCAGGTTAAAAAGCATCTAACAAATCCTATTTGTGTTAGCATCATTACTGTTATGTTTTTACTATAAACGGCTCAAACTAGATAAGTCCATTCTCTTTTGGGTCGTGTTTATTGGTGCATTGTTTGAGTGTTATTATTCTAAAACGAATTATACGAATAAAATTGAATTAAATTGAATATAAGTTAGCTAAACAAGAATGGAAATGGAGCAATGTGTGACCAATATCAAAACATGCTTCAAATGCGCAGCCAAGAAGCCAGACCTACCCTATACTGACTTAGTCCTAAACTTGGTAACCATTCGTGTGCAATCCAGAAATGATTCATATCTCCAAAAACCAACGACTGAAAAAAATGGAAAGAAAATCTTTTCCGATACGGTCCAATACATATTTCATCGAGAAATAACATAAATTTTTTTATTTCATATCAAATTCGAGGATCTAAATCGTACATAACGCATTTAATGGTATCGTTGAATGATGTAGGCCCGACAAGAAAGGGTTTTTAGGCAAATGATTGATATCAAAATGATGGATAAATCTGTTCTAATACCAGTACAACTTTTTCTCCGAAGCATACTGTTAAAGAGTATAAGTGCTCCGCTCCCTAGTAAACGGGGTGTTACCCCCACCCCTTTTTACAAAACATAGAAAGAGTTCTCAACATCTGGTACTTTTCATTTGCTTTATGAGAATATCGGTGGCAAATTCTATGAGCATGCCGGAAAATCAGTAAAAATTCGAAGCGTTTCGTAAAAATCTGCGGATTTCTTTCTCCAACCAGGAGAGCTCTCGACAATATCTGGTCTTTAATAGAATAGATTCAAATTACACTGAGATTTTCCAAATTGATAGGAAATCATGAAGTTTGGTTCTTTAGTTTAGAAGGTTTTATGTCAGATAATAACTATTGCTAGCTTACCGTTTTTGCAGTCGGTGGTGCCATTGGAGATGTGACATTAACCATTTCATGAATAGCCAGTCGAAGTTTGAGTCTATGTAGAGGGTTGTTAACACCGATTTCGTGTTGGATCTCTGTATCTGACAAAGCCTGAAACACAAAAAAATGCGTTAAATATGTGTGTAACTCGTCAAATATTTCACAATATTTTAGTTTTGGTACGAGTAATGTTTGGATTGATTTGTTAAAACACACATTAGTAGTGCTAAACCTTTATTAGGAGGTTGGAATAAAAGAACAAAAATGCATGGGCCTATGGCAACAAACGGTCATCAAGGTGGGAGCAGCTGATATTAAGGAGGCTTTCTGAGTTTTGGAGTTGCTTATCACACAATTATCGATTATCAGTCTATATGCCTGGAGCATAGAACGTCTGATGGCAGCTATTGAAGGGACTATATCCCGTCAGTCAACAGTTCAGAGTAAACAATAGGATTTGCAGGGCATTGAGGATTAGCCGTTTGGATACCTAATAATAGGTCTATTGTGGAGTCCAACCAATGGGAAATTTAAATGGCCAACGAAATGCATCGGGACATATTCCCTATAAGCTAACTACGGTAGAAAATAAGGACATTTCTCAAGTTATTGCTTAAAGAGTAGTCCAGGAGAATTTACGAAGAGAAAAGGGGTTCAAAAGAGGTCTGTCCGGAATAGTAAAGTTGTGGGTGAATTTCTTACCGACATAATGGATCCACTTTTGACGTTCGCTCGACAAGCAGCAATATACCAGTCTGGTAATTTCAGCCACAGCTGCACAAAATACAAAACACGACACGTTCAACGTTAGTAGTAAAAAGGCAGAAAATTATCCACCGCAAATTAGAAAAATCCCAACTTTTAAAATTGAAGAACAGATTGAAGCTAATCCTGAAAATAACTGGAGAGCGAGATAGCTGCTTCCATTCTTATTAGAATCAAATTCTCTTTATTTACAGCTAAACATTTTACTGCTTCTTTTTGCTGCTTACAGGGTTTAAAAATGTTAACTTGTTTGGTTAACAAGAATGTAAATTAAATGAAAAACCTGACATTGCTCCAGCGTACAGTATTATGAGTAGTCTTGCTTCCATTAATATCATTCCTATACGGGCTTGTTAATGTGACATGCATATAGCTTATATGGTTTATACACAGGTGTAGTAAGTCGAGATATGGGTGCGATTCAAATATTGTAAATATAAATGACTTAAATTGTAAATATGAATCAAAATACAGTCTCTAAAAGGAGTCTCTCATTTCGTAAACGTAAGCCCATTACACTACACCTAACGGTGGCTCTTGCAACAAACTTCAGATTTTTAACATTACCTCTAGCCATGCAAGGATCGTTGGTGCATTCCAAGATGCAAATGGAGTCCTTGAATGGATGACATCTTCTAGAAGCTTCTGTTTTATTCGTCTCTCTGCGTCCCTTTGCCCATCATGATCAGAATTAAGGACGGATCTTTCCAGCAGCATACTGGCATCTTTCGTGCGTAGCTTTGATTTGCTTGAAAATATTCGGCCTAAAGAATTCTTCAGTCCACGTTTGCTATTCCGTTTTGCGATGGACTCCATGCTACTGCTTAAGCTACTGGGGCTGGAGGAAAAGTCGAAGCCACTCCGGCTGCAAAGCAAAACAAATTGTGTTTATCGCTGTAATAGCGAGAAAACAATATACAATGGATCCTGATAAAACGAACCCCTGATAAAACGAACTTCCCAGTATAACGAACGTCCCGGTATAACGAGCTAAATGTCTCTGGTCCCTTAAATCTGCATAACAAACCCCTCATAAATTCTCTCGGGTAAAACGAATTCCGGATATAACGAACTCTCGTTATTACAAACCAAATTTTAAGTCCCGTCATCATAACTATCCTCGACATAACGAACTTTTCAAAATTTATTCATCTGCTAATTTCAATTATCTATTTCTGGTATTTTCATTTTCGAACATTAACCATTGATAATATTTGAATTCAGCTATATTGAATGGAGGAAAATGTGCACAGAAGTTTGAGAGAGCCTAAAAAAATACAAGGAAGGTGTACTGCGAAAAGACCCAAAAATATTGTTTTCCCAGTTTAATGATCTCCCAATATAACAAACTATTTTTAAATTTCAGGAATTTCGATTTCAACTTTTTTGCAATATAGATAAATAGGCCATAATGCTCCTTAATCAGACAAAATTAACATATGAATACCTACTTTTATTTAGCAACAAAACAAACATGATAAAACAAACAGAATTATTAGCATACATATTACAAGTGCAGTAAATGGTACTCTAATAAGCACAAAATATGGTAAATTTTTTTCAAATAATCATATAATAATAACATATATTTATATATATGCTGTATTACTTATTACAAAGGTAACATAGAATTCGACCAAACAAATAACAGATTGTGAAAACCGAGATCGCGCAAGTTACCCCACACCTCCGCCATAGCTCCCACAATCTTCTTCCTTTCCAAATTCAAAATTCCATCCATCGTTCAATATCATACTACACGAATATTTGAAACAACTAAAATTAAAAATTGCTGCCTCTACAATATATGGAGCATATGAGAGTTACCTTTCTCTATCCGGTTCAAAATTCGCCCATCCGGGCACACTAAGTCCCTGAGACTGTGCATTGTCACCACCGCTTTCCGTTGAATCCGACGGTAATGATCCAGGCGTGTCCGGTGCTCTACCTTCACCTTCTAGCCTCTCTTGCGATCTTCCTACACGAAGCTGTAAGTCAACATTAACTTTAAAATATCGGCTGACCAAACTACATCTTGAAGACAAAATGACTGGATGATAGTTGTCAAAGCTTCTCACTTTTGTTTAGAAATTTGACGGTTAGCAACTTTTGTGGATTGTTCATAGTTTTCTCAATAATTGCCAAGGGGAAAACGATAGTAGACCTGCTGCCACAGAGATCTTCAAATTGCAGCTCGAGCAAAAAGTCATTCTCATTTCCAGTTCTATCTTTTATTTACTGGGAACTATAGGGTATTTCATAGTACTGGGAACTTTTATCCGATTTCGACCAACCATGTATATAATTTTACGAAAAATGTTTTGCTGTTGATGTTTTGTCATTCATCCTTAAATGGTAAATGCACATACGGATAATTTCTAAACATTCAAAATACAAAAAAAAATTCAAATGATTTAGAATACATTTAGAGCAACGATTTCAAATCTTACCATAAGGGGCCGCGTATCCAGCGGGTCGTGACTGGTGAATGGAAATGCAGTGCCAGTTTCTGTCGCGTCATTTGAAGCCTGGGAAAGAAATTCAATCAAACCGAGATAGAAAATTTAGATAGGTACCAGATCATTTCATCCTAAATTGAAAAATCACCGTTGCTTCCAAAGATTATGTCCCACTCTTTATGTTAATAAGAATGTTTACAAAAATTGGAAATGTTAATAAGAATTGGATATGGTAGACAAAATGTTAATAAGAATTGGAAATACTATGGGTTATAGTGTAGAAAAGACAGAAAAGAACTTTGCAGCACAGAATTTTCTTTTTTCCACATTCCTCGCAAGTTGTTGTACAGTTTATTGAATAATAAAAAAAACATCATCTATTTCCTCTTTTTTCTGATATCAAAGAAAGAAAAGAATTGAAGGGATTTTATATAAAATTTTTATCATAAAAAACTCAAATTGCTTTTGAGGATGGCAGCGTCAATTAAAAAAACTTAAAACCTCCAGAATGGCCCCTCCTTCCCTTCTCCAGCCCTATGAGATTATAACTCTTCCAAAATAACAATATTTTCGTCTCTTTAGTTAGAATAATGTTTCAAGCTGGAGGGGGGGGGGGGGTCTTTTAATATCTTTAATTGTAGAATGAAGGGTGGAATCAATGGCTGACTGGAACAGCCTGATTAAAGTAAGCTCGAGTCAAAAATAACACTACCTTGCGCCTATTGTAACTATCACCAGAAAACCGCCTCGTCCTGTCTTCAGGTCGCATCAGTGAATGGTCTGACGCCGCAGTGGATGATGTCACGCTAATTTCATCCAAGCTGCTTGTCTCGCTGCCAACCTGGCGTTCGATCTCCTCCGCTCTTAGCTCAGTAGTGCGATGCTCCACTTGTAAAAGGCTGAAAATGAAGTGACTTTGTTAAAACTTTGACTGACTCTATGGATCAAGATCTATGATCGGCCAGACCTTTGGCCTTAAATGTGAAAATTAATATTTCTTTTAAGCTGTGAATTACAATAAAAGCCAAAGGTCTGGCCAAAGATCACTAAACCTTGTACGCCTTTGGGAAAATCTTTTGTTTTTGAGAAAATTTCCAAAATGTCCTTTATTGTTCAAAAAATTTTGTGCGTTTTTGGAAATGAGTGATAGACCCTTGATAATATCTTCAGATTGCACAATGATGTCTAGAAACCAAGATCACATGTTACCACAACTCTTAAGGCCGTGAAGTCGTATATACTAAAAAGAGTTAACATATAAGAGAAAATAGCTTGATACTTACGCTAATTCCTTATTGATTGCATCTAGTTGCTGTTGCAGTACGTTTGCAAGGTGCTGCGCATCCCCAGAAGACAGCGACTCCAGCGCAGCGTCATCTATTTTTGGCACTTTGGGTAGCCCAAGGTCTTGACTCTTCAATGAACTTCGCTCGGACTTTACACTTTCCGCGTCATCCTCGTTCACGGATACGGCATCAAACGCTTGCGCTACCGTGGAAACAACGGTGGCCTGCGTGAGTTTCTCCCACTCCTGTTCGTTAATAGTTAGGATTTTCGTCGGGTCTCCCTCAAGGCTACGCACCCGGGCCCGTTCTTCTCGTTTTTTAACTTTCTGCTCGTCTGTTAGAGGCTCTCCATTACTAGCCTGCGTTCGCAGAGTCAAAAGCCTATTTTGTGAACCCTATAAAAAGATAAAAGTATTTGAAACGTTTGCAATGTTTATCCAATTCACTAAACAAGAATGGACCGCTGCATTCAACATATAAATATAAACAGTTGGCAAACATCTTTCTCCTTCTGAGGATTGAGCAATGGAACAATTTTCCTAATGAGCAAAAAACCGCACCGCTGTTAGAAATACTTAAAAACTTGTGACTCGCCTTATTAGTCACCAGCTTTCTGCTTTTTCTAATGTGAAGATGTTTTTGTATTTTTAGAAAAAACTTCGTGAAATAGAATTATATTTCCTAATAAGTTATTGTATTACATTGAAACAAAACCCGTCATGAGGTAGACCACATAAATAGCCTGATAATGTTAACACAACATGAGCATTACAGGTTAGAATAATAATGGAAAAAAGTAGAAAAATATCGGGTCATTTAGCTTTGACTTTTCCGCTTATGAAATGTCTAAGTAGCAAATTTTTCCAACAGATGACAAAGAGTGCTTTCTCGCCAGGTCACTTACTAAACTATAAAAATGTTCTTGACCTTGCATGCGACAGTCTTTTAAAAACTATGCAAACTAGAATTTAAATATTAAAATTATCAATGAGGAAAATCAACTCACTTTTTCTAACTGTAAGCTTTCCAAAGCTCGTTTAGTTCTATCCAGCTCTTGTGTGATTGCATTCTAAAAGAAAAATATCACATCATATGCGATTAATCGACGATAACATGGTCAAAAGTCAAATCATATGCGATTAATCGACGATAACATAGCCAAAGGTCAAATCATATGCGATTAATCGACGATAATATAGTAAAGGTGAAGCAACTGAAATACTTAAATACAAATTTGCAATATTTGCTGAAGATAGCAGACAAAATATGAAACAGAGTCGCGAGACCATAAAATTTAATGAAATACACGGACTACAAAGAGATGAGGATGTAAACAAACGTGTCTTGACATGTTTACTAAACTGACGCTGGAATATCACAAGACACAGGAAAGCTTTAAAATTCTAACCTCCGAACATCCAGTTTTTAGCTTTCTGCATTTGTAATTTTTGCAAAATATTAAAAAACAAACAAATCAAATTTCCCTTCAAAACACAACTTCATACTTTTTTAGACCACAAAATGTTTTTTATAACAAGTTCTCTACGCAGGTCGGAAAAAATAAGGGGCAAACACGCAATCAATTTATGTTTCGTTCTTACATGTTTTGCTAAATAATGTGGTTTTAATACAAAACAAGTTAATGTATAATCTAGACAAACAAAATATCCTCCTTATTAGCAAAATAATCATACGGTGCCCAACCTTTTCTTCCAGTGTTGACATTCTTTCTTTCAAATGCTGCTGAAGGCGCTCATTAGACTCTCGAAGCAACTTATCCACTCTTGCTTGCAGCTTCGTACTGTGCTCTTCCATAGTCTTTTCACGTTGGCGTAACTAGAGAAAAACAAGCCAGTTTGTCACGTGAACTGTGCTCGAACGCATGTGTGTCCAATGGAAGACATGGGGGTACTTTGAGATCTATCTTAGTCGTTTTGTACACAAATTTAATGGGCAAAGCAGAAGATTTGGTCTTGGGGCTGTAGCAGTAACACTGGAGGTATCACTTTTTAATACATTTTAGAAGTTTTGAAAGATTCCATAAAGAGCGCTAAATAATGAATCGAAGGATTTTAGTAACTGCTCGGTCAGCTTCAGTGTTAAAACTCTAATAAAACAAGGAACATACTTCAAAATTAGAAATAAGGGTATACCGCGTTTTATTGTTTACTGTTGCTGCAAACATGCTACTTGAAGGGGAAAACGCTACAGCGCATGTCTTCAAAAGTAATATCGGTTTAATATCGGTCAGATGAAAAGTTAAAAAGATAGGTCAGGTTTCAACCGACAGAGGAGGTGTGCTTTTTGTGAGGTCACAACCTAAAGCCCTGGTAGCAAAGGATGTATCTAATGTGAATCTCTTTAAGATGATTTTCTCTTTTACCTTAGTTAATTCTAAAGTAAGCTCTTCCTGCTGTGTTTGTAATTGCTGCAACCTCTCTTCTGCCGTAAAGTTCCTCTCTTCAGCCTATACGGATGAAAACGAGATCTTTACAAGAAACAAAAACATGAATCGACGAATTAACTGTCATGAAATAATTTTCCAGGCACAGAAGATTAAACAAGACAGAAATAAAATAAATTAAAAAAAATAGTGAAGATCATACGCAATGAAAATTGACTGCATTTGACTCAATTTAAATTTTTTTGTGAAAGTGTGCAGCTATATAGTTTGGATCCAATAGCAATGAATGATATTATAAACATAGCACTTTCAAGGGGGACATGATAAGTATTGCACATAATAATGATAAGAGCCTGTTAAAAATTAAAAATCCTAGAAATGTCGATTGACCTGGATAAAATTGCAATGCAACTGCAAGGTCGTATAAGCAAACGCAGAACTAAACAAGGCAAAGTGTGAATAAAGACAACATGAAAAACTATCAAGTTTGAATAATTGTCTATTTCTTTAATACTGGTTGAAAGTATCGCTTCTTATTGTTTCTGGTTACTAGAATCGTCTGGTTTTACCCTGTCGCCATTAGGTCGAGCGTCAAGTTTCTAAATAACAACTAGAATAACGTATTCCAGGTGACACGTGCTTTGATAATCCTGCAAAGCTGACTGATATCAAAGACTTTAGAATCTGGACGTAACCCACGGGTAATTAAAACCAAGCCAAATCTGTGGTTTTTAGTGGAAAATATTTAATAAAATCACAGCGCTAGACGGCGATGCCATTATCAGTTTATGGGCTTAGCGAGCAAGTTATGAATACCCAATCCCTTCAGGCGACAAACACAGTGAAGATGTCTCTGACCTCATTTAAGGCAGCCACCCTATTGGCAAGCTCTTCCTCAATCTTAGGTAAAGCCTCAGCCTTTTCCTGCAGCTGGTGAAATCTTTGTTCACAAAACGACAGCTGCTCTTGCAAGTTGTTTATCTTCTCATCTTTCTGTAATGACAAATTAGTAGGAAATTAAACCCCACTGCTCACAGTCAATCGTTAGACCTTACACATGTGCAATCAATTTTCATCAATAGAAATACGTGTTTGTGTTCTCTTGGCAATCTCCTTGCAACAGGTAAAAAACTGTGATGATCACAAAACATTTTCATGAGCAAGTAAAACTTCTCTTTGAGGCAGTAACTCTTAAAATCTTAAAATAATTCACTTTAACTCATCAAGAAATTCTTCATAATATGATGACTTCAAATGTTTTTGCCAAGAACAGAAGGACATTCTCATAAGCATAAAACACTTTTGCAAAATACCTCCGCCAGATATGTTACTTTATTTGTCATTACCATAAATTGGTTGAGATCTCGCCACACGAGTACAGGTTTTTTTCTATCCAATCACTGCAATTTGGTCTTAGTTCTAAACTTTATGAACCAAGCGAAAATTACAATAATCTGTGAGCAAACTTAAAATCTTTCATAGGCCATACCTTTCATGGGTCATTTTACAACATATTTGCCTAATTTCAGAGGTATTGCATGATGTTCGTTCGAATTATTTGAACAAAAAGTAAAAAACTTAAACATTTCTTAAGGGCTTTGTGAATGATAGAATAAACAACAAATCGATGAAAAAAACTCCAATAAAAATTTGGCTGACACAAACCTGTGCTATAGTCATCTGGAAGCTCTTCAGCTCGGTCAGCGTGCGTTCGTTACATTCAGAAGAAGATGCCAGTTCATTTTGTGAGCGTACATAGCGCTTCTCTAACGTTATTATTCTTTCCTCCATGTCGGCTTTTTGCGCTAGAACCTAGGGTAACAAATTATGTTTACATCGGATTTGTAACCTATAAAAACAATCATAGTGTGTAGAAAATCAGATGATTAAGTCCAATGTTTATCAACAGATTAAATTCTTTTTTAATATTGACATTCAAACTTGTTTTTCTACATTAGAGAGCATCAAGATTTCCGAAAAAAATTGCTGTTTCTGTTTTTAGCTGCTAAACAAGCTGTACCCTGAAATTTCTAAGTGACAGAATATGAGACACATGAAAGTAAATTGGCACAAGTAGCAAAACTCTTTGAACAAGTCTTTCAGAAGTTGACGGAAGTGTGTTGGTATGCTGCCAAACTGAGCTAGAATTACTGAGATTGCAAATATAAACCACGGATATAAACTCGTACTTAGAATGCTGATCGATATAATGAGCTGCTTCCAATCCAGTTTCAAGCGGGCTTAGATAACTTTAAACAGACTTTAAAACTGATTTTAATTGGTAAACTGGGAAATTAATGTTAGCCGCAATTTTTGCCATATGCTGAAGCATGGTGGAATTTTGCAGCCGTTGAGAATGAATCATAGTCTGGACTACTAGACAGATTGAATCTTCTTCAAGTTGTGGGCAATATCACAGGGTGGATACTAATAGATTAATGATTCACTTCCAAAAAAATTTTAAGAGATGCTGTTTGCATAAACATTGTAAACGAAAGAGCATTAGTAATTTGTTGATGAACAAATCATTGGAATGCTTGGGTCATCCTTCGATTTTTATGTCAAAAATACTTTCAAAAAATATGTCGAAGTCAAGCAAATAGAATGAGAAAAAACATGATTTAGAAATTTTCAAATTTTGATGGGTAATCCAGTATTTCGAATGTCCATATACACGAAAACATTTTAGGTTCTTTTGAGATTTCGAGATAACAGACGTCAACTGCACATCGGTGTGAAAAAAGATGAGCTTGAATGCAAGCCTCTTTAATATCTTGCAAGCAAACCAGTTAGTGCATTCTTGCTAATGAAACTAAGCATAAAATACAACCAATGGAATAGGAGAATACCCATGGCTAAATGTTTTTCAAAGATAGACAGCAGCCCGAAACAAAGACATTTTGATAGATGGGTGTAGTTTCATACGTAACAAAAACATTAACGAAATGGCGGGATTTGAATCATAAATTCATCTGCACTTGAGGCAATAACAACTTAGAACCTATATACATTAAGTCAAATGCTAATATAAATTCGTTGAAAAAAGCCAACCAACCTCCTCGATATCCCGCTGGAACTTCAACTTGGCCTCGTGAGCAGAATTGAGCTGTCGACTAGCCATTGCCAGTTGTTCCTCAAGCGTATTAACTCGGTCTTTTGATTCTTTACAGTCTTTTCGGATCTAAACAAAATAAAATTACTTTACTCGTTTCTGCGTCTGGATAAAATTGAAAAAGTAAATTTAATTTTAATATGCTTGTAGAATCTTAAAAAGAATCTTTTTTGCACCGGCAACCCCTTTTCGAGAACAAGTTATCTTTGTAAGTACATTAAAACTACTTCATGTTCGTTGGCTTGAAATTCAAATTTCAAAAATTCCACAAATAACACCCTGGTTATTCCAAGTTAAGGGTCAGTACATACATCCAAAACACAGGATACTTTGTAGAGCGCACTTTAAGAGCTTGTTAAGGAGTGTACATTTTTAAATATCAAAATTTGTTCTAAGAAACCAATCTCATTTACGATACCTTCTCAAGATCACGGTCCCGTTGATCTAACTTATATTGCATGTCACTAAGCTCCTCTTGAAGGTCCTCATTTGTTTCTGCGGTGGCGGGGCCGTTAGTAATCTAAGATAAACAAGTCTGGAATGTGAAACCAATACAGTGCATTAACATGGCCATATAAAGGCGAATTATCAACCATATACTTCTTGGAAATGTAACACAAAAACGTAAAGAACACAAGCTGGAGATATAGTTGACGACTTTGCACATAGAACAATAACCTGAATGAAAATTACTGTGTACCAGTCTATCATGAAGGGCTTAGCACCGTATAGGCAGAGCTGTGCACGCTAATTGGTGTATAGAATAGAACGGTTCTCAGTTGCTTATCCGAGTTTCAGGCTTAATGAAACTGTTTTGATGATGATCATCGCCTGATGATTGCATTATGCGTGAAACTCGGAGTAGCAACTGAGAACCGCCCTGTTCAATACACCAAATAGTTAATTATAATCTTACGTCCCTTTTTATCCTCAAGCTTCCAAATTAAGAGGGATAAATAAAAAGCTCCCAGGAATAAGAAAGCATGAAAAATAATGAATAAGAGAAAGGCCACACAAAAAGGGAAATAATAAATGTATAAATAAAAACAAATACATAGTCGCTAAATATTTATTGTTATTCCAGTATGATAATTCTGGATGGAGAGTACATACTGAATAATCAAAATGTAATAATAGACAACAAGCAAATGTCATTTATAGTTATAACTTTAGCGTTTCAAACTTAAGACTATAAAAGTTCTCTGACTTCCCTGTCTATATCTACTATCACCAAAAGGCTTCAATTAAAATTGAGAGAAATTCGTACCGAGGAAGCTGTATAGCTGTCGTGTTTTTTAACTGTTTCTAGGAAAATCTCAACCTTTAAAAGCTCTTTTTTTTATTTGATTGCAACTTTATCCAAAACTATAAAAAACATCTAAACTAAATTTTCAATTAACATTTAATTGGCAAAGACAATTTGAAAGTGATAAATAATTTAAAGAAAAATTTGTTTATCATTTGTCATTAAAAAGTGTAGCCTTTAACGGAAATTGCGAAGTACCTTTCCACCATCTTGATTATTTGCTAATGATCTCTGGCGTTCACGTCTCTCCAGCAATTGCCTGTTCTCTTCTCTTAGTCTTTCAATCTAAAGGAAATGAGAACGATTTACATTTCAGCAAAGTATTCTTCGACGTCGGCATATTGCCTGGTGACATGACCAGCATTGATGAAAATGCCATTTTAAACAAAGATACTTTTTAAGGATTATCGTACATTATGAGCGCATGAAAAATATAAAAACACAATAAAGCCTGGTGTTTAGGCCCACTACAGCCATTTCCCTAGATTTTAAGCTATTATTTTACGCAGGAGGGTTTATGCTTATCATAGAAAACAAAGCACAGTCACGATGTACAGCGCTTCAATTTGTGCCCATACATGCTGCTTTTCTACGTTACGCTATTTAGTTGTTTATTTCTTCCTCTCGCCTAGACTCTTTTGCTAATGCTTAAGATACTTTCCTGACGAATGAAAATCCAATTATAGTAGGCTGAACATAATTGTAACCTCGTAATAGTTTGACCTCGTAATCATACGTGTATAAGTCGTATAGTTCTTTAGTATGAAGCTCAGTCAATCGCTAACCTCACACACGAGTCGCACGTTATTCTTCTAATCGCCTTTCTCTCACAAGTATCAGGATTACTCTAGAGTTATGAAACACAATATATCCTAGAACACAATTGGGGGGGGGGTTGGTGGGTTGGTTTGAGAAAGCCTAGCATGAAAACATATCTTTGGTTCTAATCACGTAAAAGTATTTTATTACCTCTTGATTTGACAAGGTGAGTTCTTCTTCGAAGCTTTTGGCTTTGTCTAAGGCAATCCGTAATCTTTCTCGAACCTGCAAAAGAATGTTTGCATAATTCTTTCTGAGCATCTTCAATTTTCCGTGTAAGAATAAAAGAAAGAATTACAATCTTCTTGCGTATGATCGATCCAGAGTTTTTACTCAAAGGGATATTTCTAATGCCTGCCAAAAGTACCCTGGAACATCCAACAATTTGCATTGCATTTCATATCTTTCATTCCTTTCCCGAAAAAAATTTTTCCTCCGTCCCCTTCCCTCTAAAACAATGATGATATTTAGAGAAATATCATAAAAGAAGCGCAAAAGAAAGTGCTTCCTAAAAGTATAACCCGTTTGATAGTAAACCAACATTGTACAGTAGGGGAGAGGGGATGATTGATTTTGACCTTGGAAACTGACGTCAGTGTTCCAAGACTTTTGGCAGCCATTGTTGCTTGTATTTGGGAGTGAAAAAACCCGAAATGTTAAAAAAAACTCAATTCAATCTTTCTACTGCGAAAAAAACTTTTTTTTGAAGCATTTCTTGGAGTCTGCTGAGACACATTTATGTTAAAAGCAAGTGATTATAAAAAGAAACACAAAATATAGCAAATTGAAAAATCCGATTTTACGCTAAGAGAAGCAGGCACATTCGGATAACAGCCCCTTTAAGTTAAGAAAAAGGAGAAGAAGGATGAAAAGAAGAAAGCGATGAAGAAAGTAAGAACGAGAAGAAAAGAGAAAGAAGAAGAAAAATAAAGAAGAATAAAGAGACGACGAATGAGAAAAAGAGGAATATTCAATTTCCCTAAGAAAAGATTGACAATCTACAAAATGCGAACTGACTTAATTGAAAAACAAAGAATGCATCTAAGAAGCTGTTACCTTTTCATCCAGTGCTTTGTGATGTTCGAACAGAGATTTAAGCGCTTTTAGAACTTCAACTTCTGAAGACACTCCCGCAGATGTCTGCGCTTGTCTCTTCACTACAGTCATTCGTAGAGATCGTTCATGCCTCGACACTAGGCATTCAAGGTGTTCCAAAAGAAGCTAAAATCGAGCGATAACAAAAAAAGTAAAACTCATGATTAATCTTTGGTTCTTTCGTCGTTGAAATACGTCGAGAGGCGTTTGGAATGTTTATATTCTTCACTATTGTGTTCCGATAAAACAGTTTTGGTACAAGTAAAGTCTTATTGTAAACTGAGACTTAGACATAAAACAGCCTGGTTCTAAACAGTTCAGTCCGACCAACCAAAACAGAAGCAATTCAACTATTATCCGCAACAAGATGATGCTAAGAAGTTAACAGCAAGGTATGCAGATAGCACAGTGCCATGGATCATTGATCAAAATCCTGATGGTTGCTTTGCATTGGCACATGGTTGTTCAACCATCGTTGGCTGTTCAAGAAAATTGACCAATGGAAATCGGGGTTTCAGCCCTATGCATGTGATCAGTTTGCTAAAGGTGGCCAATCAAATCAGTGACTGAATCTCATGGAGTCAAAACATGTGCATTGAAACGAGCTACTGAGCATACAATTCGGCTTCAAACACGGGGAATCACCTAATGGTTGAAAGATGTTTAATTCTTTGCTTTTATTCGACTTTTTTGCTTAGACTGACAGTATTTAAAATTTACTTTTGAGGCTTGTGATGGCCGACTTCTGTTCATTTGAGTTTCTAAAAAACCACCTGTACGCTTTCCGCCTTTTTGAAAAGTACGGGATTCTTCATAGAGCTAAAGAAAGTGTATATTGTGCAAAGTGGTGTCTTTCAACAAGAAAATCTCGCTTGGCTTTATTCAATACTCATATAAATTTAGAACAGAGGCAAAAAACTAGGTGAAACTTTCAGGCCATAAAAAAGTGCAGGACATCGATTGACTTAACACGGAATAAATCTTTAGGGTCTTAAATTTTTAGGGAATGTTTGTCGGGTCTTAAACTTGAAAACAGGCCTAACCTTAAAATGCGTCTTGACGCAATTCGATAGCCATTAAAATGGCCATTGGCTGGACTATACAATACCTATTGTTACATATCCAATCAGCAACGTAAGGCTGATTCTGAACAATTGCTCAATCAGAAACTCGCTACGGAGCTTATTTTGACTCTGAACGGTTGACTGACAGGCATGACGCCCTTAACACAAAATACTACATCATGACACACCACGAAGTGGACGACCATGAAGTGAAGTGGACTATGATACTGACCTTGATATTGCTTCGTTCTGCTTTAAGTTCAGCTACTTCCTCGTCACGTTCTGTCAGCTTTTCTCGCATTTGGAAGATTTCTTTAGCCATGGTAACAAATTCCTGGAAAAGATCGCAGGTCACATAACACTCCCAAAATGCGCAGACAACCTGGTAATTGGATTGTTATGTCTTAACAATGAATAACTTTCAACGAGAAGAACATACTTGAAACAAAATTCACACGAAGCTCCATTAATTATCTTCCTATGTTAAAGATGGCTTACTGCTACTCCAGCGTGGAAAGATGACCTTTATTTAAATTGATGGCAACAAAAGTGGCAGAAGATTATAAAAATAGTTTATTTATGAACCAGATAGTCCAGTTCACCGAAAACTTCTCGAATGATTTCTATTCTCTCTTAAGAACATATTTCTCACTAACTGCAAGTGATTCGAAGATTCCTTTCAAAAAACCCTGCATAATGTAATGTCAATAAATGCGCGGAGTCGAATACGATGCCAGTTGTCATCCTGATTCAAGAAATGATAATCATAAACCCATTGATAGAACTATGCCTATGCTACCCTCCTTGTCAAAAGCTATGTTACTCTGTTGCATGCTTAAGGTAAGATCAATAAAACGCTTTCCGTACAGTATAAGGTGGGCGATTGAGAATAGGGAACATAACTACTGAGTGTTCAAATACTTGAGATCAGTGCGTAAATGCAAATAATGTGCCACAGGGCAATTTTTGTTCCACCACGATAGACAAATATGATTCCAACAAATATTCCGGGGGGGAGGGGGGGGTTGCTGGGTATCAACAACAAACCATGGCACATACGTGGTCGGATGACCCATATATAGTGGCTGTTTTCTATCACAGAGATGTGATAGAGGCTGTTTCTTACCAATGTTGTTGTTAGAGACAAGGGGGTGGGGTGGCAGTATTGTGCTATACGCGTATTGGTAAGTGAGCACTGAACATACCTCAGCCATAGACCAGTTTGGTTGGCGGAGCCTATGTGATGTAGTTTGCATATCTTCATTGTTGCTGGAAATTTTAAGTGAATCCAAATTGCCAAGCTTTTTCAGCAACTGCTCTCTGTCTAATTTCGTCTATGAAAAAAGAAAAAGAATACAGAAATAAGCCTTTGATATCGCAAAACATATAGACAGATCGGAAACCTAGCATACTTGAAGAATTATAGCATCCGGTCTTCTGTGCCAATTTTAGAAAAATTTAACATGTTGAAAAGTAAATACTGGGGCGTGGAATGAAATAGTTTGAATCAAGGTAGCTTGGATTAAGAGGGGAAAATGCAACCGGTCAGAAATGAGGAGATGATAATAATAAGGAAAGCAGCTGAGATTCATTGCAGTTTAATAAAGATAACGAATTATTTAAAGCTAATTAGAGATTAGACAACTTTTTTGCTATCAATAGAGACAATAATAAACACAAGTGATTTATTTCTATTTATGTACAATAAAAATAGCTATACGTCATAATTAGACCTTAAGTAAAGATAAACTTTTCGAGGGAGGCAGTTGGGGGAGCATGATAGGATGTATCTTGAAGGTGTTTCAATCTAGTAAGAGAGAACCTCCGGCGGACGACCCTGAGACAAAAAGCACCCTCTGATCTGAAGGCGAAGCCGAAGATCTAAAAGCTTTGGGTTAGTGGTAAATGAGTTAACTAACTTCTAGGAGCATGAAATTGTGTGATGTTAACAGGGCCTCTCACTTTTTTGCAAAACAATAGAGCTTTTTTTAAATTCTTATGCTATGAGTGTTAAATTTTCCCTTGCCCCCTCCCCCCCTCCTCACTTTCCAACCTGTGTCAGAGCTCATGGTTAAGTGCACGAAATGGAGGCCACTCATGTTGCATAGAATTAACGTCCAAGGGCATCGACAAATGAATGATTGATTTGCTGGGAACTCTCCTAGCTCAAAAGCCCTTTTTCCTGGTAGAAGCCCCCTTTCCTATATACCTTGAGCAACAGCCCTTACTGGATATTGCAAAGTAAGGCTTCGCTTCGGCAACATCAAAAGCTTGAGGTTTTTTGAGCCATCACGAATTAAGGGCATTGTCAAAAACTCAGGTATCTCGATCAAGATTGTTCTGTGATCCCTGTATTTAGTCCCATTCGTGAATAGAACTTGTCAGTCTTGCTTTATAATTCTTTGCCAAGCTTTGTCACGTGATATTTTGAACTTAAGCTGCTCTAAAGGCAATCTCACCAATAAGTAGTAGTCTCTACCTCAAGATGTTTGAATAAGACGCTTAGTTATTTGGGTGCCTGGGTTCTGTTTTCAACACATCTGCCTGGACGAAAATTAATTCTGACCTCTAAATACTAAAGACACACGACACAAAATTCTGACACGTGTCTGATTACTTTAAATATTGTCAAGTTTTTGCTGGGATTTTTCGTCTGCCATAGCAAAGTGACAAGACACAGTATTATTGGTGACAACATTTAACTCTTCAAAGCTACAGCCTCTTGGTACAATATTGTTAAGAAACCATTAATAAATCTCTAATTCTCTTATTTTAATCTGAGTCTGGGCACGTTCTTAAGTTGTTCTTAGTTTTTAAGAAAATCGAGCCTTGGCGCCCTTATAATGTGTGTTTTTGTTAAATAAAAGAGTGTACACTCTTTTTTTTATAAGATACAGTAAATTTAAGTTTATGTTGACTGTTCTTAATTTACTCGAAAATCTGAGGCTAGATTGTTTTTAATTTGTTCTTAAATTAAGAGGAAGTAACCAGTGCTATTGCTAGCTTTTTCGCTCTAAGGAGGTGTTCAGGCCTCATTTGCCAACAAAGTGAGTGAGACAGCCTTAATTTGCTGACAAATTTGAATATTCACTGAAAAAGCACCCACACATCGCAAAAAATCCTCGATTTTGAGAAAAAACGTTATTCAAAATTGCATTTTGCAGAAGCTCAGCCTCAAATTTTGACCAGTTTTGAGGCTCGTGTTCTTATAAAATTGTTCTTATAAAAAAAAGAGTGTAGTGAATTGGCAAAGGAAAATTCTATTCCATATTTATGCACTCAATTCAGTTCCAAGAAACAAAAGAAAACTTCATAAGGATTTTAAAATATATCAAATAAGCAGATGGACTGTACCGCTATATTCATCCACCTCGATTTTTTGACATGCTCAACGGTAAAAATATTTGTTATTAATCTCTCTACAAACGTTTCACAAAAATAAACAGAAAAAGCTGTGGGGAAATACGATACATACGTACTCTGACGTCACTGGAAAGAGGTCGTGTAGCGATTAATCAAAAAATCTCGAAAACATTTTGTTATGACCAAAGGAAATAAAGATAATGAAATGCGAGGAACAGGTGACTAAGCCTGTTTACGAACGACAAAAAATTGTTCTGAAATTCATGGCAAGGACTGAATGAGGTTGAATTACATTGAATGTCCATGTAATTTACTTCCAATTGAAGCAAGTTATCAACAACTGCAGGAAAGAAATTCAGAGACAAAATTATTTCTCAGTTTGAGTGGTGTCCGATACTAGAGGTGTCCGATACTAGGGTGTCCGCAGCTTTCAAATGATCTTAACAATCATCTATTTCAAGATCTCTATTCATAAATGATTTGCAATGAAAAGCGTTTATCTTGCTTGTCAGCTTAGTATCGTTTCTTGGCTTAAATCGAACATCCAGCCAATTTCTGCTCTACAATTTTATCGAATTTGGGGTACATTATGATATATTGATGCATTCAGCAGAGTGGTTTTCAATGACGTGGTAGATGATTTTTTTACCTATTTTCTTATTTCTTCTATAAAGGTTAAAATTTTTAAGGGTATAAAACACTGACAATGTTTGTATCACATTAACCCCTAGGAACCCCTAGAAAATTTTCCTACTTATTCAAACAAAGTGACAAAAAATCCTGAATTTTTCTTATTAATTCAGTGCTTTAAGGGTGAGGGGGGGGGGTTGCTACCAGCCCTTCACCCTTTCTTCTGCTCCTAACACTTTGCACTTGATTCTAAAAACCGCGCATTCGAAATGAGACTTCTTAGTGAACAAGGATATGCGCGTTCAAAACTCGAAATTGTATTATAGTTGTATGGTTTTGGTAGGGAATTTTTAATGATAACAAGAAGCAATTCTCAAGCAATGAGGACTTTGTTAATTAAACCAAAGCCTAAACAACTGCAATCTTAATGCGCTGGGCCAGACCAGCAGGTTATCAATAAATTGACTGCTATTGAATAAACGCTGGTCTTGCTGGAAAATTCTCACTAACAATCAAAAAAAGAGAACACAAAGAGGAAAGCCAGAAGCGTTCCTTGTCCCGAGCTGATTAATCTTTTGTTATACAGCATTAAAACTGGTTTCTGTTCATAGGGAAGAAAAGAGTTTCCGATTTTAACAGTGCACGATTCCGAAGCAATAACGAGATCCGTGGAGACTTTTGTATTGAAAAAAACAAGTTGTTTATTGAAATGATAGGAATCAAGAGTGCCTTTATTGACTGGGGAATATCGATCTAGAGCTTAGTTGAGTTCTTTCCTTGATGGTGAATGGGGATACGACTAGAATAATAACGTGTGTCTGTAGCTATGGTAAAAAAACAATGTAGGGCTTATGTTAAAAATGCACTGAAAATAATGCTACGGCCAAAGTCAAATGTGGTTCGTTCATGTCAGATACACTTAAAAATGGCAATGAAAAAAATTATCATCGTTTCTACAGGCATCTCATTTCGATATTTCCGAATTCTTCAACTATATTATTCATTATGGTTCACCACGCTGGTCAAAAACAGAACTATGAACCAAGAGAACAAATTCAAAACCTTCCTATTAACCAAATGGAGCCATTAGTATTGAATGGTAATGGCTTAAACAGTGTCGAAGAGCGTTGGTGCACAAGAACAGTTCCATGTTTACCCCCCGGGCCCACTGGACTCGGGCTTGGGGTCTTTACAACATTCAAAATTCGAGAGCAATTTTTACGAAAATATGACTTTTGAAATACTGTGGTTAAAATTGAGAAGGAAAATCTTCAAAAATTATGAATCCGGGAATTGAATATAAATATATAATAGACCGTTTTTCTGACGCATCGGGTATATTTACTTAAAACCTGTGTTCATTTTTCGAAATTTCTCTTCTTTTAATGTGTTAATAATATCAGGCATTATGTTATGGGTCTCCCGTCAACTTTGAACCCTGGGATTCAATAGTTATAAATACTACCCTGCACAAGGGTGTTTTAGAAAATTAGGGGGCGTATCTGACAAGTGAATAGGGGCTGTGACACACCCACTTTCATCAAATGGTCGGCTAAATCTTCAATTGGCTGTTGGTTGGTTGGTAAAATCACCTGACAGTTGGCAAAAATTGCAAATTAATTGTATTCATCCATGCTTCGTCCAGTGGCGGAATTAGGGACTGCGGGGCTCGGGGCCAAAAACATCTGCGTGGCCCTTGTTCTTTACAATTTCTATTCTTTTCTTAGGTGTAGGGCCCTTTTTGGCTATCATAAGCGCGGGGCCTAAGACAATGGCCCCCCGGACCCCCCTTAAAACCGCCACAGCCTTCGTCAGTAAATGTTACTCTTCAAGATAAAGAGATTAATTCAGTTGGCGATTATCTCAAATCATAGAGATTGCTCCTGGCTCTTGAGAGGGTGAAAGAGATGAGGGGGTGCAGACCCAGGATTCTCTAATTGGCTTTAAAGGTTTGCCAAGAGACCGTATGCAGCGTTTTCATATCTCATATCTCAAATCATATTTCTAGTTAAACCAGTTTCCATTGATTTTTAAGGCTTTATTCTCCAAAAAAATTGACTACTGCTGTTTTTTAAACTGTTTTGTTTTTGGTTTTGTCTCATCAATGAGTGTAGGCTTTCAATTCACAAAAAACAAATAGCTGAATAATACTTGGTTTTAACTTTTTTTCTAATAACAAAATCAACTGGTTTTATTGCATCATAACTATGTTTTAAACAACGGAATATTTGCCTGTATTTATCAACATAGAAAACCAGCAATAATTGAAAAGGAAAATGAATTAATACAAAAAAAATTGACCTTTGTTTTTCTATTTTTAAAAGTTTATGACATTTTTAAAAATAAAAAAAGATGGAAGAAAAAGGAGGAGTAGGCTTTAAAACACAAGTGTTTATTTGCAAAATATCCTTTGCATTTTTGGGGTTGATATTTAATAAAGTTATCATGCAAAATCATGCAAATTGTGATATCATGCAAAATCACATAGAGGTTGAACTAGATCCCATTATCTACAAAAAGATTTTCTGAAAAATTTCTCTCTAGAAACTGAATTTCCAACCCCTTCTAGCAATTACCATTTTGCTGTGTCCCTACCAAATGAGCCCTTTATCGGTTCATTTTCACGGCTAGAGATTTTCCCTTTCTGATTCAGAAACAACAAATAATACTGTAAGCACAAAGAAAAGCCTGCTGCATAGAACACTACTCTGGCTTTTAATTATGACTCTTTTAGTTACAATATACAACTTAGCATATAATCTATAATACAAAGTTTGAATATTTCTTTTAGTAAACAAGTTTGATAAGCCAACACCAAACTTTCTTCTGCAGCTGAAGGGAAAAATAAATGTTGATAAACTTTAATGAAAATTTATCAACAACAAATTTCCAGTCTTCTTTTTTAGCTTTTGACAAGCTTTCCTGACAATTTATAATTAGTGACATAGAAACATTTGAGGAATTCAAAAGTAACTGAAATCGTAATTGCCTTACAAAAAATCAGGCATAGAAAAATTTACAGGCAAATTAATTCGCTCTCATGAGCGCCAGAGCAATTGGCTTTGGGTAGGGTTGGTCAAGCAGCAACCTAAAGAGTAACAGATGGCATGCCACCAGAATGTTCCATCCATTTCTTGTTCAATCCCATAACCCTTCTTATTTTCATTGTCTACAAATATCAGTCTTAATAAGCAGTCATGGCTCATTTAGCTTTTTATGGAAGTCGGTTTTGTCAATGTTTTTATCAATGTTCTGAAGTACATTTTTGAATTTCAGAAAGAAATAGTATCATAACATTAGGCAAAACTGCTGTAGAGTGCCTAAAAGAAATGATTTGTCACTTCCATGTAAACAAAAAAACTTATTTATCAAATTTTGATAAGAAACCTTTTGTCAGCAAAATATAGCTGCTATGCTTTGGGTTGAAGACCGCTTATGGTTAACAATTTTGGTGTTAACTTTATGATGGAAATATGCTTGTGATCGTTTGATGACAAGGGTGAAAATAAATTTTTCTCTAATGCTCAAACCCAAATTTCAATAAAAAGATAGGATTGCAAGAAAATTATATATTTAAAAATGTTCAAGATGACGAGTGCATGCTTGAAATGTCATGTTTTCAACAATCACAATTGAATTCATTTCATTTTGATTTTTTATTTATTCGTTATTTGGACAAATTACTGCACCCAACCTACACATTTAATGATATATTCAAAAGCATAAAGAAAAAATATTCTTCAGCAAGCATTTTTTAATAGAAATTTTTCTTCTTCTCTAAACTAAACTGTAACCAATTCTAAGTTATTCAACCCTAACTAAAACCAACAAAAATTATTTTGAAGGAACATTGCAAAATCACCATTAATCTGGAGAGCATTAAGTTTATGACTAACATCTACATAACAAAATTTTGTCACCTTGGATTCTAGAAAGATACAAAAACAAAAAAACTCCAACAACTATTTTGAGAAAAAACACTTGTTTTTACAGATATATATACTTTAAAATTTATATTTAAAATCTAGAGTACCCATTGTGGCTCTGAAAGCATTGTAATAGAAACATCAAATAACAAAGAACAAAAAAGAAAAGTGTGAGAAAAAATCATGAAATAAACCTTTTGATTGAACAACATAAGAAAGGAGACAATTTGTGTTTTCATAGTCTTTGTTTTATCATGTAGATCTTATCTTAATGCCTTTTTATATAAGAACCCAAGGATGAAAATAGTATATTGATAAAACAATTGATAAGATATGAATGGCAAGCATCCGAGATAGTAAGGAACATATTTTCATTGCTAAGCTAGTTATTCTTAAATCAAGGTGAACAAATGTTAAATTGCCATTCCCAATATTTGTGTAGATTAAAATTATAAGAATCATGCATTTTCTCAAAAAATTACTGAAAAAGCTTCTTTAGTCACACTTTTTTGCACATTTATATTTCTAAAAACTAAAAGAAAGTATGTATATACTTTCTATTTGCATAAAACTTCAGTTTCTGTACCTAAATAAAATATTAACTTGTACTAGAAAAAAGAGTATTTTTTCTCATTTTTTATACATTAAAATTCCATATATCTATTAGCAGGATTTTTTTCCAATAAAATCTACACATGACATTACTGCAAGAAAATTACTCTTGAATTATCTGCCTATTGTTCCTGATAATATAAATCTTAAGAATTCAAGTTTTTGAAAACCTTGGTATGCTGAAATTTTTTAAGAATATTTTCATTGAGAAGATTGAAAACATATGCATGAAATTTCTTAAAATTTGCATAGATGTAGAATAATATATTTGAGCTAACTTAACAGAATAAAAAAATTTGATTGTTTTGAAATGGTGAAACTTGTTGTATATTCTCAATATTTTCTCAGGGATCATTTGTGTCTCAAAGAACAAACATCTTATTTTCTAGATTAATTAAATGGTTCAGATGCCATTGTGAGTTTTGTACTCCAGCATCTAGAAAGGGCATCTGACTCAACAGTTTGTAGGATAAATTAACAAACTTGATAGCCTTAAGTTATGTTTTAAATTGAAAAGCAAATCATGTATATAAACTGAAATAGAAAAATGTTGAATACTAGGATTTATGCTGCAACAAATAATTCAGCATAGAAAATACAAATTATCTCTAAAAACTTTTCCCACTCTATCGAGGGTGAATTTTACTCAAAAAACTTTCGAAACTTAAAAAATATCAAACTTCTTGCCGATTTGCTCAATCTATCACACTTATTTGAAAAAATAAACAGTTGCCCAAACAAGCCAAAACAATAGAACTAAATTATAAGAAATCTACAAAAAATCAGTTGATGTTGCAAGCTACCCAAATCACTAAAAGTTTCGAGCAACTTGAGTGAATCTTTCCAGACATAAACAGAACGCGTGTGTATACTGTTTTGCGCAATCAAATTTGAGATAACCTGCCAAAACAAATTATCTGAAGATCACGGAAAGGGATCAACTATTTACAATCAAACGTAAGTGTGAAACCTGCAGAAAAATAAAACGATTTTACCATTAAATGGCTGCAGAAAGATCCACAAGATATCCTAAACCTATACAACTGCTTATTTATCATTACTATCATACAAAAGAAAATCTCTGGCAGGCCGATATAACTGATGTAAAGTTTTCACACAGCCACAATTGTATACACACAAGAAAACAGTGTAGAATACATACCTCGCTCAACAGTATCTCGAACTTTTGTAATAAAGCATCCTTTTCCAACTCGGTTTCTTTCAGTTTATTTCTAGTATATGCAAGGTTCTCCTGAGCCTCCCGTAGCGTTTCCATCAGTTTATCCCGTTCATCTAACATGTTCACCATTAGCTGTTCAAAATTGTTGTCTTCCATAGCCCCATCATTGCCGTTGTCACCAGTCTCGCTGATGGTGGGCATAATATCCCCGCACATCATCATCTTGAATTTTTATGAGGGCGACAGTTCCAATTCACTTTGACTTTAATTATAGTAGCAGTACCATAAATAAATATAACTTACTCCTGCAGTAAAAGTAACAATTATAGCGCTGGCGGATCACATCTTTCTCGACAAACTCGATTTAGGCCCACAAAGTAGTTATCTGAAATTAAAAATGCAACAGTTCGGTATTGAGCGATCCAGCGAGAATCAAGCTACGCCATAGCCCAACCATCTTTCTTGTATCATACGAACATCTACTTTTTCACGGGCAATATTTCAAACCCAAAAAATCCATTTACAATTTCATCGGTGAACATTACTTTGAAAATTAGATTCTCCCGGCTGCCAGCCTATTATGATAAGACCGCTGACTAAAGTAGTCCCAATCGAATGTTATTATAATAGGATGGCGAATCAAATGCCGTCTTTCCGATGATTACAGCTATCGCGTACCTGTACTTTTAAAATACAACTATCTGCAAGAAGCACGAGAAATGTCCGAAAGTGAAGAGTTTATCAAAAAAGACATCTATGCTTGAACTATCAATGGAGATAAATTCATAAGATTCGATTTTAAAGAAAAATCGAGTGCAAGTACAACTTGTAATGAAAAGTAATGTGTGTTATTTGTCAAAGAAAATTTTTAACATTTTTGCATAAAATGTGGCCAAACACATCACCATTTCGTTATCACTTTAAAAATATGATCAAATATCGGAACAAATTATCTAAACAAAATTTCCTGCCAACAGAAGAAACAGAAGAGACAGCTTCCATACGCACAACGAATGTTGACGAAATCACAGGTGTTGTTTTCTGAAAGCCAGACTTGCAATGTAATTGAGAGTTATTTTCTGACAATTTGGTTTGCAGTATCAGGCAAAATGCTATCATTTAAGCCAAGTTTAAACAAAATCGGTCGCCATTTGATATATTTTGGTGGTTTGTAAGTCGAGATAAACGTAAAAATAATACCGAATTATACTTAAATTGTCTGCAAAAAAAGAACAGTGAAAAAATCTTTCAGAATTGAAAAATATAGTTTAAACCAAATTATGAAGAATTGAAAATGTAAATCCTTTTTGTAGGGTATGTTATATCCTTTTTCGCTGATATTTCTTTAAAATTCTAGTTTATGAAAAGTTCTAGTAGGACATTTTTGGAAATCTGGAGACTATTCGAGAATATACTTGTTGGATAGATAGTTGATACACTGATTTAAAATTTGTGAAGAAAACACTTTATTTTCATCGACTGAGCATTTTACATTTACGACGGGCATCTTAAACATACAATCAGAATGAAATTCTAAGAATGTTCCTGAATTCAAATACAACAACAACGAGAAGTTGCAAAAATTTAAAAAAAACCAGCTGAAAATTATGTCGACACGTAGCTGAAAATTTTGCAAAGAATCAGTGATTTTAGCTGTTTAAATATCGTATGAGATTTATGGGGGCACAATTGAGAGGGGGGCTTTTTGAAGAGTAGAGAAGGAGGAGACTCATTTCTTCGCGTGGAATTCATTAATGAAAGATTATGAACCTTACTCGGAAAAGCCAAATTGATGTGAATTTATTTTTTAACCAAAAGAAGCTTTCAAAAGCTTCAGAGAAGTGTCGACGGGCGTTTGTGAACGGGCCTTCTGTGATATTTTTGCTATTCATAGCAAGAAAGTTCACATTAGTGTCTTTTGATTTTCAGAAATAATTTGTCCGTTGTTTGTAGATGTTCATTCAGTGGAAGTGTCCATCACTTAGGGGTGTCCGTTATCTGGGGGTGTCTATTTTTGAGCATTTCCTGCAACGGTGACTTCGCGAAGTAGGTATAATTGATAAATATCGGTATAACTGTAGGAAGGAATGAATCAAAGGACTTGTATAACTTTTGGAGGGATAGGAGCCCCCAAAAAACTATATTAATGATTCAATGGGATGAGGGGTAAAAGGCATACAGTCCTATAAATCCCTGCATAATTTCACGTGGAACTAAATATGCATGTTTCCATTATTGAAACCGTCACAATACTTTTCGTACTCTTTTACTGACGATTAGTCGATTATATTTTTCGCACTAGTAGTTACACCTCTGATTGGGCTTTTGAAAAATTTTATTCGATTTGTAACTCTCTTATTCTCAAGCATTGATTGTTACGGTGTCGCGGAGTGGGCTCAGGGCCGCTAGGCCCCTCCTTAAATTTGAAAGATGTTTTTGGAGGGGCAAAGACCCCCACAAAAAAAACAAGCCAGTATATATTTGGTTTGTTTAATTCATTACTTGGCAGTGAGAGATAACCCTTTATTTTGTGCTGATTTTTCATGAATGAGCAATTTACATTAGCTTAAGTTCCCCGTAAGAAAAAACAAACTAATACCAATTAATTGCTGTTATCATTGTTGTGCGAAGGTATCCACTATTTCATGGAATTTTGTTACTAAATTCAGCAAAGACCGAGATACAAATTTTTGTTTGGGGGGGGGGGCAGCCCTAATAAAAAATGTGACAAAAGTTATATTCCACAAAATAAAAGTATTTTACTTATGCTACTTAAATTTTTTTGGGGGACCAAGGCCCCCCGGCATCTCGGTCCTTGGAATTCAGTATTACCTGTATCTTGTAATCTGAAGAAATTCACTCTTTATTGAAGTTAGAAATTATTCTATTGAAGACAAATCGTGCATGCTTTAAAGAAATGCGATCATTTGTGAGTTATATATCGCTTCTAGCATGCTGTTGTTTGTTAGAAAAGCCTCATACACGATAAAGCAAAAAGGAATTAAATGCCTGTGGAATCAAAGTTACTGCTCTTTACAGGGAATTGTCCGTTGTTCAGATGCTGTTTTTGCAAAATATTTGAATTTCTGAGAATTTTTGAAAAAGACTTGCCTGTGATTTGAAAATGTCAGTTTTTGTCAGTCAAAGCCTCGTTATATCCCATAACAATATAAACCATTTTCCCAAAGAGACCTGTATGCAAAGACGCTTTGCAAACACATACCCATTTTTTAAGGAAAAGAAGCATCCCAGAAATGCTGATATTTTTCTTAATAACAGAACTCAAAACCCCTTTGCATCGTATTATTTTTGGCCACGTTAGTTGGTAATTTGAACATTGTTATATCATTTAGGCCGACATAAGACCATGAAAGAGGAAGTCTTCACATGCTTATTTGCAAAAATAGCTTGAAATCCATTGCTTAACATTTTTCAAGCAATGATATTTGAAATCTGCTCAACATTTTCAACATTACATTTGGTTGCCAATGAAATTAAGTATTTTGGAGACAAGTACCGATTTCATGAATGCTAGCTTTAAGTGGCCAGATTTTCGTTGCAAAATTTGTTATCACATATATATATTCACGTTGGCTTTTATCTTTGCAAGCAACCTTGTGTGGTACAGAATATAAAAATTGCTTTGAAAAAGCAAACATTTTGAAACATAGTACTAGCGTTTTTCGCGTGACACTCTTCGGAGTATTAAACGTCAGAACATACATAGATCGAAATTTCTACGCTACGAAATAAAAATACCCAGTTGTGGATCGAAATAGGCAAATCAGAAACGCGAGCAAATGACTGTTGAGGTTGCTCAATAAGTGCCGCTTGCACATTGAAAATTTTAGCCATGGAGCTTTCACATTAGGACGCATTGAGAAATAAGCGGTAATGACCAGGGGTGCCCTCCTTAAAAGTTAGGAAGGGAGCTGTGCGGTTGGCAAATTCACAAAAAAAACCACAAAAAGACTGATAGTAAATTGCTCATTGACGAGGAATCTGAAAAAAGGGTTGCTAACACAGAACTCGTCTATCCAAATATAATCTTATTTTTTGAGGGACTTGCTGAGCCCCTATAAACCTTTCTAAAATTTGACAATGGGGGCTGACAATGAGTCTCCCTCCCCCAGAGCTCCCTCAACGGCACCACTGGTCATTACAATATTGATGAATGAAAATATAACGAAACTGAAAAAAATGTTTCGGAATGCACGAATCTCCATAAAAAACTGTGCATAAAAAACCGAGCCTTGAGATGACCAGAAATCGAAAAACCAAAGTACTTACATTTTGCATTACATTTAAATTTGTATTCATTTACATTTACGGTAATAAAGTCAGTCCATGAGAACTGCTTTTCAAGGAGCCGTGACAAAAACATTAATAAATAAGAAGATAGATACTACGAAATACGAATGGTCGTTCATAGTAAGTTTTTGATTCTTCTCTTAAAGGTGGCAAGGGAAGGTGCCTGTTTGGCATCAGGTTCAAGTTGGTTCCAAAGCTTAGGTCAACGAAAAGAAATAGCTCTCTGCCCATTGTTTGTTTTCCGTACTGACCATCCACAGCCTTAAAAGCTGCTCGAACTTGATTATTTTGATGACGGGATAGAAGTGATTATTTTCAATGATTGGGCAATCATTTCAAATTTATTAAAATGAATAATAGAAAGAGATAATTCTTGTTACTGGCTGAAGTCCCTTTACCAAGATGGAATAATTTACATGTTACCGTGAGTCCTTGATTATGCCCCCGGGGGCTTATTTGGCAAAAATACTTTTGGTTGGGGGCTTACTTGAGGGGTGGCTAATTTGCAGGTAGGGGCTTTTTAGCAGCAGTCAAAAAGATCACCAGGATCACCAAAGATGACCTTCCTCTTTTTGAGTCAGGTCAGTATGCTTAAAAATGTACACGTTTTATAAAAACCAGTATATTTAAGTTCAGGCAGACTGTTCTTAATTTTTTCGATTCAGGACTCATTTGCCAACAAAGTGAGCGAGACAGCCTTAATTTGCTGACAGGTTTGAATATTCATCAAAAAAGCACCCACACATGATTAAAAATTCTAGATTTTGAGAAAAAACTTTGTTCAAAATTGCATTATTTTCCCAACTAAACCCATAGGCCATTTTTTGAAACTGACTGCAAAAAAGAGAGCTCTTCAATTTGGTAGTTTAATGAATTGATTCTGGATCATGCTGTTGAGTCTGGTGCATTCACGCAGACGATCTTTTTATCATTAATAGCAGAAAGGCAAGATACAATAGCTTTGGTTGCATCATGAGTATCTTTTGATGTAATAGAACGTTACTTAAAATTTGAATGTTAAAAGATAATATTTTATAGAACACTGTAAATTATCTCTGGGTGTACAAATTCAGTTCAGTCAACTGAAAATTGACTGAAAAATGTTAATTGAAAAAAAGGTAGCTTGCTAAAAGATTTTCCATTTTAGACCAAATTACAGTGATTTGATATGAAAATCGAATGGGTTAATTTTGCTGGATCTGAGATAGCAGTGTTTCGATTCGACCTTTTCATTTTATGTAGAACAATTTTTATTATGTTTTTCAGATAACATGATCAATACTAACAATTTTCACAGTGAATTTTAACAATGTCGCCATTTTCCACGCTATTTACAGTTGCGGCAAAGAAGGAATGAAATTGGTAGAATTCGGGAAAATAAGCAAAAAGCATAGAACAAGTATTTTTGTAAATCAGAAAAAATTATTTAAAAACAATTAACAATATGCCTGACAAGAGCTAGGCCCATGTACCCTCAGACTCCTTTATGAGTTTTAGCTAATTCAAGTCTAAAAAGCAAAGTCTGTCTAAAAAATGAGCGTACAAAATTCGTTTTGTGATAATACTCTGCTTAAACTAGAGGTTAACGCCCAGATTTTTGAAAACCTGACACTCTGTAATTAGATAAATAACCGCCCACGACAGAAGCTCGGCAAAGCCGGCATTTCTTTGTTGAAGAGCTGAATGCTGTAAACTAGGTGTTTTATTTGCGCCGCCATATTGTTTCATTAGTCATTATTAATTTAACAGATGCTTTATTCATCTTTTTGGCTATGGTAAAACAGCCTTGTTAAATGTCAAAAGAGTTTATTGTCTTCGTTTCTTATTGTTAGCGCTAGAAATGATGGCAGATGGAGACCTATGCGAAATGACGAGGCGAAGTGATCGCAATAGAAAATACTTTAGGCGAATTAAACACGTTGTTCGTTCATGTTCTGTTTTCTTGGATATAATTCTGATGTCATAAGTGACACGAACAGTAACCATAGGTAGGGACGTACAGACACTTTCAAAATGGGAGCTCCACACCACTTTGTCTGCAAAACGACCACGCCCACTTTCAAAAGAAGAATTTGCTCTTGCAAATAGCCGACGAGGTTTTCACCAAAACAAAGGGAATCCCATTGACTTTCAGAAAACAAATTGGATTTCCATCATTTGATCCTTTATGGAGCTAGAATTCAAAATGTGGAGTTGGGTGTGATATTCTGTGGAGTTGGGACCCCCATTTTGTTGGAGTTAAGCAGTTTGACTGTACTATTGCTCGAAAGGTTTCTCATTGCGAATATGATACAATGGCATACATCTCAGGATACAGCAGATTACAACAGAAAATTAACCAACACCAAGGGCCCCCAAGAGGGGGGGGCAGAGGGTGCATATTGCATCAAGGTCTAAAAGGCCTCATAAAGTAATGAATTCCATTTTCAGAATGGAATTAAAAAACGTAACAAAAATATGCCTAAAATAGTAAAAAGTTTTGAACGATTACAAGAAAACGACTGCAAGGAACATCCTGAAATGCATTTTTAAGCTAATTAAACGGGTGAAGCTGCAAAAATTTTCGGCTTGCTTCGATCGTAGGGGCCTCTTCTTTTTAATTTTGCACCCTCAAAAAATCTTGGCGGCCCTGCCAACCCATGTATGTAACAGACAACTACAATGAAAACATGGTTTGCATTTGCTCTTACAGAAACCTTTTAAAGGGCAAATAGCGCTAAGAAATTTGATGATAATTTGTGGAGCTGGAAATTTCCTTAGAAAAAGCTCTGCCCCTGGGCAATATTAATAAATTGCTGAATATCAGCTACTTTACCAATGATGATTGCAGTTAAGGTGGCAGTATCTGGACGGTAAGGGCTTTAATGTCTCAAAGTAATCACGTCATGAACTTTATTTAGATAAGTGACGTCATTAACTATACATTTCTGATTGTTTTCTTGAGACTTAAAGATGAGAATTGTTGCACATTTGTATGACATTGAGCCCTCGGTTTCTTGTTTCGTCTACCATGCAACCAAGCGATTGGTCGTTCGCGAATAAAGAGACTCGTTTGGTTGTCAAAGACAATTGTTAAATTTCAAATTTCCCACGAAGTTCATATCAATGGATGATCTTTCTTGTTACACTTAATAATGGGCAAAGTGCTGGTGTTTACGGAGGTGCGTATCGGCGCCATTTCACGACTAAATTCAATGGTGAATCCATCTGGTCCCCATTCTTGCTTCAATAATCCGAACAAATTACGGTAAAGGAACAAGAAGATTACTGTACATCTCTGCTTAAAATTCTTACTTTATTCTTGGCATATTTTCCGGAAATCACAAGCTTACAGGCATCATATGCCTGCGTAAATCTTGAGTGGCTTCTGTACCAATTGTGGTAACCCAGGAGCTTCGTGATTTCCTTATCGGGGAAGGGGCACATGCTCTGAAATTTGTTCTCAAAGGGTGTATCCATTATGTGTAATAATGTTCCTTTTTAGAGTGCAAAACGTGCTAGACCAACAGATACCGATGTTCTACAACATATCAGCAGCAAAACAAAAGTAACGCAGCCAGAATTTAGACCTACTTGATTAAAAGCATTTTCTCTTCGATTTCTATTTGTAAATGGCTCTGACGAAAGCAAACATTTGACAACATACTGTACGTTGTAAATTCTTTGCTTTTTTCAAAGCCACTTCAAAATGTTATATCGCCAAAAAATTTGGGGAGTAAGCTCCTTTCAACAAGCCAGTATATCCTTGTTCAGCGATCTTCTTACTTGAAAATATGAATTTACTTTTATTATTATGACTTTTCGTTAATAAGCAATTTCCTATCAACATTTTTGTGTCCGTGAGTAGCTTTAAAGATTTCATATACCCAACAGAGAACCTTTAACACAAATGAAAGTATATAGGGTGTGGCTATGGGTGTGGTCCTGGGTTTGAAATTTTCTACATCACATCCCTCTTCCTAATTTTTAGGACGGCACCCCTGCCTCCTTTTGATCGTTAAGTAAACTCCCCCTAATTTTTCTCTGGATTGGCGCTTGACGACCAAATCACGTTTCCGAATTAGGGAGGAGAACAAAAGGACTGTCTCCACAACACTGATATCGTTGAAGGGTGAAGACCCTATTTAACTTCAGACTGAGATCAAAGTAGAAGCAAAAGGTAATCTTACCCAGATAATCAATATTCAAGTAACTTATTTACACTTCTGCAGTGAATTTATTAACTATGAATTTTCAATGTTTGATTTCAATTAGTTATTATTCAATTAATTATTGTTCTAAAACGCAACAAAATTTTAGCATATTTTAAATGCAGAACATTTAAAGCGGCCTTTGTAATTTCACGTCTAACAAACTTCAGCCTTCCAAGGTGAATCATTTTATAGCAATTCCTAGACAACGGGGAGACTGGGGGGACCTACGCGGCCCTGTCTGACAGTCTAATTCTTAAGTTAGAGAAATCATCATTATAGGGTTTCTCAGGCGTAGCAAGGTGATTCTAAATTCAATAATGTATCGTGTACCAGTCTTTTCTGCAAATAGCATTTGAAATTTATAAGGCCAGAATCAATATTTGATCTACAATTTGATAAGAGAGAACACCTTCAGAATGTACATGGTACAAAAATCAGTTTGCCCTGTTTTTCTGATAAAATTTACTTCTAGGTTCATATCTTATATAATATTCATTAGGAAGATATTGCTTTTTTGAAAATGGCTACCCTTGTTTTCATTATGCGATAGTGCCTCGGTGTTAAACAGAAACAATAGGTCTTGTATGAGAGCTGTAAGAACACCCTTTTCTGCCATCCCTAGTAACTATTGCTAAAGGCATCAAGGGTTTGTTATTAACATTTGTAGGCCGTTAAGAAATTGATAAACCGAAAACATAGGATTTATATTATAGATTTGTGAATTCTAAAACTACTGGAAGAGAAAATTGAGTTTATAAGGATTTACTGGTCGCTTCTAGGGAAAAATTGAAATCATGAATTACATTTCTAATTACCTTTTACCGTATGGGGATTACAATATGCTTATTTCAAAATCCATTGCTAAATTAAGTAGTTCTTTATTGAGAACTCTAAAACAACTGAAGCATTGCATGTGGCAAAAATTAAGAAAAGATGCAAGGTTTTTAGGCTTATTGTGAAGCTCGAGGATGCTAGAATGTTCCCAGGCCAGAAGGTGACAGCTTAATATCGCTTTAGCGCAATCTGCAATGCCAAAAACCTAATTCTGAAAAACGGTAGCTAGTATACAGTAAAAACCCAGAAGAACCTTGTTAAGAACCTTTTAGACTGGAATTTAGAATAGCAACCTGTTAATTAAGAACCTATTCAGGCTGCCAGAAAAAAACCTAGGTTCTTTTATGCGGGTTTCTACTGTAGTTCGCTCTCATTTGGAACCATACAATATCAGATGATGTTGTTGCAGGAATAAACTTTCCATGTACCTCTTTTACAGCAACAAATGACCGACTGAGGAGGACAGAAAACAAAATATTTCAGCAAACACACCAATAACATGGTGTATTTTCATTGCGTTCAGAGAGACAGTCTTCACTTAGATAGGGGCTTTTCAGGGCTCTTCTCAGAGGCTAATTCAAGGACCCACAGTTCTCGATAATCCAGTATACCATGGGTGTATAATCAAGATTCTACATCGTGTAGATTCTACATTTTATTGTACAGGTAACTAAGAAACGGTGGGAAAGCTCACTGCATAAATATATTGTCTAGCAACATACTTCGAATTGATTATGGTAGAAGACAAGTAACCAATGAGATGATGCTTTGCAGTCTGCCTCGAAGCTGGAAATCTTCATCGTCTGTCTGTGAGTCTGAAGACCAAAAAGGGAGAGAGCTGAATATTACTGTAGATATAAGACTTCAATGCTTCGCCACGAATGTTTGAAAACAGCAAAGTTGAATATCATTCTTTCGTAAAAATTTTGCTAGATTTCAATATTCTACATTGATTTAGACGCACTTGAAGTCAAACTTTTTGGAGGATTGAGTGCCCCAACAAATGTCTTCCCATATTTTATTGTCAGTTTCTATTGTCAGTGAGTAAAATGGATTCTTTTTCTGAAATTGCTCTGCTTAGGGGACTGGCCGACAAGTTGGCAAGGGGATATCTATTTCAAATATACACAATAACTATATACATATAAAACAGTACAATATATCTATGCGGACACACGCCCCTTTTATTAGATACACTACTCTAATAAAAAACGGGATTCCAAATTGTCTTACGGCAGAAGATTACGTGAGAGCATCCAGTGTGATCTGGTTAAGGTTGGTATTACATTGTTCGTTCTTACTTTTTTAATGTAAACGAATTGCAGTGTACTAGCAAAAACTTACCTGACATATATTGAAGGTCATCAAGACCGTCGATGATAAACTCTTCCCAAATACCAAACAATTGGCTGATTATTGAGTTAAATGTTTTTTCGTTCTTCAAAATGTTTGACAAGCTTCTTAGTAGTGACACAAACCAATGGCTCTGTTCACGTTTGCCAAACACTGACTTTGAATTCCATGTAAAACGTCTCTACAATGAAAACACTTTTCGTTATCGTGGCAAAGATGACGAGTACTGGGAACCAGGGAGTCTAATAACTAGGGAGACAGCTATATCAGCAAGAGACATGACACTTTAATCACAAATGTGTACCGTGCGTTGGCCTTTGGGTCTATGTATCGTAAGCCATTAAGAAGGTTATGATCTCATCTCATGATTGGGGTTAGGGTGGGTTGCTTCCCACTCAAGTGGCTATCACAAATTCAGATATTAAATTAGGATGCATTTAATAGAAAAAGACTTGTTCTTGAAATTTCAATATGGTTATGAGCTACTCTTTAAATGATTCTTTATATGATACCCTTTTTATGATTCATTTAGTTATCTCGTGGGAAAGAGTTTCAAATTAACAACAGCTTATCAGTGGACTGGAAAGAGACTGGTAACCAAATAGTTACCATAGCAATTGTAGCTATTTTCTAGCCCTTCCTTTGTCTATTTTTTCCTTAAAACATTTACATTTTCTCATTCCTTGCAATTTTCTATGAAAGTAGTCGGGAATTTGGCACTGCTAAGTATCATGACTCGAAACCATAATACATCCAATTTCTTAGAGTAGGTAAGCACTATTTCTGGTTGACAAGAACGGTGTATATTAGTAGCCTACAAAAAGTTAGAATGACCGATAAGACAAGTCTACTACTGACAGACTACTCAAGTCTACCTCAATTCAAAGATAAGTTACTTGTTTTAAAAACATCAATATAGCCAGTGGCGTATCTGGCGGGGGTGTGGGATGTCGCTTTTTATGAGCCCATCCTATCCCAGTCCAAGATCTTACATAATAAAGATAAATAGCAACAATTAGTTAAATGAAGTTTGTTATGATGATAATAGCTCACAAACTAATATTGGTACATCAAAAAAAATAATTAAAGCCAACTGACCGGGCGGGTTAAGATGTAGTGTTTACATCACACCCCATGTAGATGTAGTGTTTACATCTATTCATACTCAAATAGCACTTGAAAATTACAAGAGACGATTGAAAGCTATGGAACAGGGGGGCTAGCACTATAAAAAGGGGTGAAACAACAGCAAAAAAAAGAAAACTGCTGAATTAAGTGACGGCAAGAGGGAAACCGCTTCGTGCTCTGGCTTGCCTGCCAGTAATTGGTAGGGAAACCTGGCTTTCAGTATTTGTCAAGTGAATATTCAAACAAGTTGCCAGATATTCGGCTTTATTTGGGGCAGATAAAGTGAAACTAGCAAATTGTAAGCCATGTAAGATAAATTTCCCTGGATTCGCATCCTCATTGATATTTATTTTCAAAATCAAAAATCCAATTCTGCTGTTGCTTTGCTAAATTATTCTAAACATTATACAGCAAGTGCCGCAGATTTGGATATTAGATAGCGGATGAGAATTGTTAACTTTTTAAATTGTCTTACATACGTTTTTAATCGATATACGAAAACTATAATTGTAGACGGCGAGTCATTTCAGGACCGTGAAAAGTCTCATCATGTGCCTGAATTCGGTTTTGGAATGAAGACCCTTTTTCCCGCATAAATTTGTTCATGGCTCACCTGCCATATGTGATACAGGAGATACGCCAGTTCCCGTGTTCTTCCATTCATAGCTTTGTTCCCCAACACTTCGCAGCAAAATTTCTCTCCACACTGGGCCAATAACGATGATATACACTCGATGTTCCATTCTGATGGTACGGCTACAAAACATTGCAGGTGAAATCATTTGATAATATGATTGAATAAAGTAAAATAGAATTAAGGTTAATAAATATCAAAAGCTGCTTTGGTTAAGATGATTTTACGTCAGTTGCTTATACTAAGAGGCCCTGGGAGGAGAGAAGGCGTTCCCTGTGAGAGATGGGAATCACGAAATCAAAAAGATAGGATGTAGTCAAGAATGTGGCACCTGCTAACCAAAATATTGAGCCTGAAATTTAACTAATAAATTGCCACCACATACCCAGTTTCAATGTTAATGTCACTGCTATTGAAGTATCAGGGGCGGCGCCAATAAATTCAAAGTTGGGGGGGGGGCTCGAGTTGATAGCTTTATTAGACTAAAAAACCATTTTTTGAAAATCGCAGGCTTCAGCTTCACAATACTTTATGCCTATGATTTTATGGGGCAATCGTTATGCTCGAGGTACATTGGAAGGGGGCGGAAGGCATTGGAAGGTAATTTTTGCAACCACGCCCTTTAGATAAGCTTAAAACACATTTCAGAATATTTCTTGCAGTCAAATTCTTGCAATAATTTGAAACATTTTGCTATTTTTAAGGCATGCTTTTAGTACGTTTTTTCCAGGTTCAAAATGGAATTAATTATTCGATAAGGCCCCATAGACCTCTTATTGCTTGAACATTAAACAATAACAGGATTTATCACACTATTCACTTCTTCTAATTCATTTGTTTTAATTCTTCTTATTTTCTAAAAGCGAAAAAGAGGGGGGCAGCCCCCTCTGACGCCGCCCATTATATACAGATTCGAATGGGGGTAGATAAGGGGTAGATAATTGACACATTAATACTGTCTGGCATGATTTTAAGGGCATTGCATTTGTTTCTACAGTTGTAATAAGGAAGGCAGAGGATGCCAAACACTAAAAAATGCTAATTCAACACCCATCGTGGCAAACTGACTAATGTGTTTAACTAACTACGATGAAACACGGCTATAGCTAATGTTATTATAACGAAAATCTTGAAAATAGTTCCCCTAATAATTTTATCCTTTATACAGCACTGGAAAAACAGACAAAGTTGACCTGAACTTTATTGTTTAGAATAGATTAATACGCATTTAGAATGAATTGATTTTTATAAATGAATTAATCGTTAAGCGCCTTCAAGAGAACAGTAAATATTTGAATAAAATAATGTGCTGGGATGTATTTGTGCTAATCCGGTACTGAAAATAGATTCAGCTGTTTTCTACCTTTAATAATAATGCCCACTTGAAGCATTTTAAGCTAAGATTTCTCAAGCCACGTTGTCATGACGTCATTTCTTGATTGATGGAGCTAGGTCAATGGTCTAAAAGAAGTTTTATGATAGATACCTGCCTATTTTTCTTTCAGTCCCAATTTGAAGACCGACAAAAATAAGACTCTAGAGATAGCACACTATTTTTTCGTCAGAAGGTCTGATGTTGTGCCGGATTACCGAGCTTTCCTTGTCGCTCTATTTTGGTATGCTCAGTTCAGTGACGCACATCAAAAAGTTCTTTAATCCAAGCCTTTCAGCTGTCATATTATAAGCAGATTTTCTATAATGATAAATATCCTATCTAACATTTTGCTGCGCTTGTCACAGTTGTCCCAGAATTGGCACATTTTTAATGGTTGTTTTCAAAATACATACCCGTTAGCTCTTCAAAAAGACTGACGGTATCATCCGCATTCCAGTTTCCTTTTGAATCACTCCACATTATTCTAAACGTCCTTCCAAGCTCTGAAAGCGCAATTTTTGGTATGTTGGATGACGAAGTTACAAGTTCCCATTGGATTTCATCTACAAGGCAAGTTACAAGACAAGTTACAAGGCACTGTCAAGCATATCTGATAGTTTTAGGCAAACAAATCACGTTGTCATTACAATGCCAGGGTCGTCCACGACGGAGGGCCATAGCCACCGCTTTTTTGCAAAGCCATAGAGCTTTATTACAAACATTTTTGTAATTAATCATTGATAGGCCTCGCCCTCTCTACTTTCCAACTCGTGTCGTAGTCCCTGGATGTAATATTCTTGTAAAGGCTGGCGTAAAATAAAGTAAATAAACAAATCCATGGAAAATGTGATGTTTGACCAACAAAGCAAAACTTTAGAAAAATCATTGTTACTAGCATTTGATAATGAACTAATTAGATTCTAGACATCTGTTATTTTTTCCTGTTATATAGTTACTTTAATTATTTGTCTTGCTTATGCAAATGTCATTAACCGCTTAAACAAATAAACAAATAATTAAATTTGTTATTATCATGATAAAGCTTGTATAGTAAATTCCTGCTCTATTACCTGTTTCACTATCCGTTGGTCCATACAGAATGAACAACAGGTTGGACTGGAAGCACATTGGCAAAGGTTTGAGAAGCTGGGCTAGCCAGAAAGCCACTTCTGAGCTGTCAGATTTGTCTAGAAAGATCTCGCGGCAAAATACTCTAATGTACCTACAAAATAAAGAATGGAAGTGTGTGATCGGATGATTTGTTTACGAATCCAATTGATATACCGGGTGTAGTATGAATTCTGTGTACAAGAGCCACAAGGTTTCAAGCACGTAAATAGAAAACCACAAGCACAAGTTTCCTTCTTCTCAGATAGACGCTCGCCCACTTCTCCACTCCCACCTTCTACTTACACCCTCAAATTTACGTGGCCCTGGCACCCAGGGTTGCATGGAAAGTGGGGGTATACCTATGGCGGTGAATCTGGGGCTGGATGGTACTGCCTAGGCCAGGTGAATCTGGGGCTGGATGGTACTGCCTAGGCCAACTAGCAACATTGGAAACAAAGTGTTGATAAATTGACATTTATCAAGTAGAAATTGACAAAGACCCATATATTACTACATATTCTCTCGAATTATTGTCATTTCGAGACATCTCATGCTTTTTTAGACCCACAGTGTGCAAAACGCGAATCTTGGGATGAATCTGGGGATGGGAAACGCGCGAGCCTAGGCCAACTCAAGACATCAAAAATAAATTGGCATAAAAAACTTTTATCTATTGGAATTATAAGGAAACTCCGGAAATAACTTATTTTCTAACTAATTATTGTCATCTCGACACATTACAAGCAGTACAAGCAAGTTTTTGAATCTGGGGATGAATCTGGGGCTGAATCTGAGGCTGAATCTGAGGCTGAATCTGGGGCTGAATCTGAGGATGAATCTGGGGATGAATCTGGGGATGAATCTGGGGATGAATCTGGGGACAAATCTGGGGCTGAATCTGGGGATGAATCTGGGGATGAATCTGGGGCTGAATCTGGGGCTGAATCTGGGGCTGAATCTGGGGACGAATCTGGGGATGAATCTGGGGCTGAATCTGGGGCTGAATCTGGGGCTGAATCTGGGGATGAATCTGGGGATGAATCTGGGGCTGAATCTGGGGATGAAGCTGGGAAATTTATAACGACCGTAAGACTTTAAGAAAAGAAAATCATGCATGACATCCAGAATCCTCTTCTTTCTCCATATCTGGAATTTGATCGCACCATCAGGCTTGAAAATTATCTTTTCAAAAATGTGACTTAGTGATAGTAGTCACGTTTGTTATCATCTCACGATGGTTTATCTTGATAATAACCAGGCAAATCCTAAACATTTGACAACTGATTGAGCACTGAAATTTGACAAAATTAAGGAATTAACGTGAAACGAAGCATTTATCTAAGATTTACAAAAAGATAAAATTTCTAAAGATCAAAGCGATACAAGTTTTCATACCGAGTCACAGCTATTTCTCTCAGTTATTGAAGTCCAAAATACTGTTGGTGTGGAAATTATTTTTCTAGATCTTTCTAGACCTTTAATCCAGATAAATATAGTTTATAAGAATATTGAGATTCAACACTGCCAAATACGTGAATATATTTCAAGACTACCAACTAAGCTCGAGCCTCATAAAAAGTAGGGATAATTCCTGGTTTTTTTCACAGTTTTCAAACTTTGATGATACTCATTTCTACAAAAATACAAAAGCAAACAACCCACAACAAATGCAACCACAGACATCGGAGCCTAAAACTTTGAATGATTACCAAGATGTCACTTTATTTTCTATCTCAAGTTCTTATTGGCTGTTTTTGGGCAGGAAGTTAAAACCCTTTAGACAATATTGTATATTTTTTAAAATGTTATTGAAGTATTATGGGGACAGAACCTTCTCAGTCTGTGCTCCCCGACTTTGGAAAATGCTGCCCAACAATGTTAAAACATCTCTAAATTTGAATATTTTTAAAAAAAATTTGAAATCCTATTTCTTTAAAATTGCTTTTAGTTAATCGGACTTCATTGCATAAGCATTCATTTTAGCCGTTTTAAGATTTTTAACAAGTAAAGGACTTCTTATTAATTATCTAAATTTTAAACTAGTTATAAACTTTTGTCATTGTAAAGCGCCATAAAAAGGTAATTTTTTATTTGTATGTGCGCTCTAAAAATTATTATTATTACTATTATTGTTATTATTATTATCATTAACATCGACGAAAACAGTACACGAAAAGCTAGGAAATATAGCGACCTTATCAAGGAACTGAGCCCTGCCTATAAACGTGTTACCTTTGTTAACCTTTCTATGAGTGCCCTTGGCATTCTGGGAACCTCATCTACCTCTCTCTCTGACATGCTACACCAACTTAATTTTGACTCAAATCAAACTAAATCCATCTTGATGAAACTCATGAACATTTCTATCCGCTGCACCTACTATATCTTCTGTCGTCGAAACAAACCATGGCTAAGCCCCGAACTAAATGACTTTTAAATATTGTAATGCAGATAAGCCAATTATATGATGCCTGTAAAAGCGAGTCGTATAATTGTAAATTTAAAATGTATTCAATGAAAATGAGATGTTTAAAAATTATAAGTATTATTATTATATATTTAGCCTCTTATACTCTTCAATATTATATATTTAACCTCATTTTAAACATGCAGTATTAAAAAAAATTACAGAGACATTTTTTAATGAATAAACAAGATGCTAATTCTGTCAGCTAACCTCTCATAGCCAGGGTATTTCCCAGGCTCTGATTTCAATACCTTCTCGATTCGCTCTTCCAATAGTGATGCTCCTTTAAAAGATTAAGAAAGTAGCTAATCGTTAAAATGATAAAGATGTCGCAAATCAGTGGTTTTACCCAGGTAATCTGGGAAGGTACGACATTTTGAAAGGCGATTATCGTGGTAATTAGGCACCGTGACTTCTAGAAAAAAGATACTGTGACAGTAGAAATTCATCCCTAAAAGGGCACTTACTCACCCAGAAAGGTAACTAAAAAAATCTTTAGAGGGGGTATAAGACCTACGGCTTCTACATTTCTGGTAACACCAAGTAGAAATGAACGCATGTTAACTTTGATTTAAAAGCATTTTATTAACTCTTTTTCAGTGTGGGTTTCAAGTCCCCATGACGTAAAACATTTTCAGGTGGCAATGATTAAAAGTCCAGATTCGCTACCAATCAGCAAAATTTTTGTAAGCTAACGAAACCTTCAAGAAGTTCGCTTGTAGTAATGGCGCCATAACGTGAGAAATGCAAATGTTTTAGATAATAAATTGTAACTAGGTTGATTTCAATTTATAATTTAATAATTTTTGCCCGTTTTAATAGTGGTTGGCCTCTTGAAGATGCGTTGCTGAAAGGCTATTCTACTTAAGCATTATATCAATTTGGTATATGACGATATCATGCCGCTCTTTATAAAGGCTTTTTTGACAGAGAAAGAATTTCCTAGAAAAGGGTGCCACGTGGCCACGGGCAAATTTTTTCAGTGGATCCGCTCTTAAAATATCCATCTGTACCAATTTTTGGCAGCTGGCATGGCTGCTAGGGAAAAAAATAATAGTGCTGAAACCACTGAATACTTCGGCATATTATATGCGGAGCTATTTCATTTGGAGAATCCATAGATGTCATTTTTCCCAGGTGGGGGATTAGAGCAAAGGGGCTCAGGGTCACTCCTTGTTAATACCAAAAATTCACCCTCTTCTTTTTTCCTGTTGCTTTTTGAAAGATTTTTCGCGATTTTCTTCCTGTTTCTCATAAAATCATTATACTTCTGCTCGCAGAGATGAATGAATCAAATCATATAAGGACAAGAAAAAATTTTATAGGTCAGATCTTACAGCTGAAAGGAAATTTAACAGTTAGAAATGCAAAAATAGGGCATTTAGCAGGGGCGTTGTGGCTCCTGGTAAAGGGCCTGGAGAAAATGATCCTAAGGGGGCCCACTCTTTTGTATGATGTCTCCAATCATAAACCACAGATCGCTCTGTTTGTAAATGTTGACTTCCAAGACTCTAATTCTAAACTATGGACTTGAGCATGTAAATATGAGGGATTTTTTCATCAAAGATTTTGTTCACATAAAATATTTTCCTGGGTTTTACGAACTCACAAACTCAAATCTCCCGGTGTCCCGTCTAGCTATAACGCCCCTGGTACTTAGAATATGAAATAGAGTAATTTCCAATACATTGCAAGAATGCGATAGTTGATCTAACTTTTTATCATGATTAAAAGAAAGATACTCAAAAAATATTGACAAATTTGCAAAACCATGCAATACCTTTAATTGCGATAAATGCTTTAGATTTTTCTTCCAGTTCCCAACCAGCAACAAAGGCATGCAAAAATTGCCCGTAGCAGCTGTAGGCCAAATCACTGCCTAAGTCGTTGCAGATTCTGATATGAGCATCACGAAGCTAGAAGAAAGAGAATCTATAATACAAAGATAAGAATTACATATGGATGAACTTTGACAATAAATAGATCGGATATATAAGATATAAAGAATTAAATAATAATGGGATATCGCAAATCCTAGAATAGCCCCCCCAATCGAAAAAGCCCCCACCCTAGAGCTACAAATTGTCAATAATCCCCTTTGCATAAGCACCCACTGCTACCGTAAATTCTCGAATTGGACCCCTCCATTTGATGATTTTTCCATCTGAGATTGCCTATGGCGTTTTATTGAATAACCACAACAAATTCATACTTTTGGTAGTAATTAATTAAATGCTCATAAAGAAATACCTACTAAAGTAAACGAAGTCTTTTAATAATGACTTCTTAATGCCTACAATAATTTTATTAGCCCCCCCCCTCGTATAAGCCCCCACTCGAATAAGCCCCCATCCAAAAATATCAAAAATAATAAGCCCCCAGGGGGCGAATCCAATCATTTTGTCGTTTTAGGACTTACTTTATGCTTATCTACATATTTAAAACAACAAAAATTAAGACAGCACTTTCTGGAATCTTGATGCAGAACATTAAGCACATGAAACATTCAGTGGTAAAGACTCCAATGAAGCTACACTTCTCAATTATTAAAGATAAAGAACCATATTTCAGTATGTCTGGCTACAGAAAATTTACCCTTGAACTATTCATAAGTAACACTCCCTGTCTTGATTTATTTTCTCACCTTTCTTTACCTCTTTGAATGACCTTCCATTATATCTTCCTGAAAATCGTCTGGTCATTTTGGCTATTTCATCCTTTCGATAATTGTCTGTACTTTATTATTTTTTAATTTTTGATAAGTTATGATTTTTCATGATCAATTTATTATTGCTTGATATCTATACAACTATTTGATGGGTTCGATTATTTTCTTATTATCTTTTACATAAAAGCCCCTGGCTATTTTCTAATAAATTAAATACTTTCTGATCACCGAGGTATTCTTCAATGTGGTTGTGCTTCCATTTTCTAGCCTGAGATGCATTTCACGTGCATCTAAATATTGGCATATTGGCCATTGGTAAAAGCATAAAAATCCTTGACACGAATTTTTTTTCTTCAAATCCTTTCAGGAAAGTAGCAGTTTAAGATGTATGATTTTTCAATCGGGATGTTTTAGGCTATGACAAATGGCTGTTTTAATGTTAGGCTATGACTATGATAAAAAACAGACTTGACTCAACCTCTTTTATCCATAACAACTTTCTTTATAGATTAGTATTTGTGAGCCATAATTTTTTTTTGAAAGCTTAGCTCACCAATATTTGTTATTTTGTGATCACTGGATTATTAGAATATTTTCAGGCTTTGGATTATTTTCCTATCGTATTCACTATTGACTTTGCAAAATAACATGAATTGATAAAATATTATTTTTCACACTAATCGTAAAAATGTAAAAAAGACCAACTTACCATATCTAGTACTTGACCAACTTTTCGCAGTCTCTCTTTCGTTGAAAATAAACACGAAGACCTCTTTACTAAAATTCCTAAAATAAAATTTTTACTTGAAATGCTGAAAATCTTTAATAGTAAGACAGTGTGACCCTTGCAAACTTTCCTTTAGATTAAACCTTTTTATTAACACGGCATGAATCCCATTGTAACAAAAAAAGAAGAACTTATGCTTGTCATGTCAATAAAAGCTATCAACAGCGCATAATTTGTAGATTTACCTATTTTCTTGAAGTTCAACATAAAACTAGACGTCCTTCAATATTTGTAAAGCATTTTTGGCCAAGTTTTTGCCAACTGTCGACTTGCATTTAGGCTAAAAAAATTGACGTCACTTACCTAGGCTTTTGTAATGGTTGTGAAACTTCAAAGTTTCCATGGTCGTATTTGTTTCATTTCCCAAAAAAATAAATGGAACAACAATATCAGCTGATTGAGAACTATATAAAAAATGAACAACAGTATCTCGCAAAGTCCTTGACGTCAAGCTCAGCATTCCCAAGGCTTTCAAGGGTGTGTTTTTAAAAATGTTGTAGCAAACTTCGACCGGTAAAAATGCAAAAACACCTCCTGGGTTTGCGAAGTTCCAAATTTCAATGCTTTCTTGGTACCTTCTTTTGCTACTTCGAGTGAATTTTGAATTAAAATGATACTTCCGTTTTCTTTGCTTTAAATGAGCAAGTATTGTAGACATTCTTTGGCAACTTGGAGCCTGAGGAGAAGACAACAAAACATTTTGTATTAGCAGCTGATAAGACATGACAAGGGAAAATAAAATGTGGATAGTTACTGTAAGGAAACGAAGCAAATCTATAATCCTAACTTTCTCGCGACTAGTTCATACCAACCCAACAGCGGTAATTAAAAGCTTTGTACTTTAATGCCAAGAACATTAGAAATTAAAGAAATTCCTCACTTTTCCTCTCTGACTTTATTCCTGCTGTTGTAAAGACTCTTTATCTGCTATCTTCTTTTAACAATTCGCTTAAAACGATGAAATTGTGTACATTTTGCAAAATGTCATCAATTAAAGTATCGAAGCAAACAAAGAAAACTGTTTTATTTTTGACGAAATTTTTTCATGAATGAAAACATCGCGTCATTCAAATTGGTTTTGGCGCCAATTAACTCGACCCAGTCTCCTTGTTTCAAAGACATCTAGCTTTAACTTTCTGTACTTAGTTACTATGGATTTCGAAATATTTCCTCCAACTTTCCTTTTCTTATTCCTTACCTTGATAGAATAAAAGTCTGCCTTCACACATCATGTTTTTATTTCAGAAGTCTACTTCAGCATTTGAACAAAGAGCAGAGAGGTCTCCGTTTTTATTTAAAAAGTCTACCCCATAGTGGTTAAGATTCACGCATTCAAGCACAATTTTTTGACTTTTCACGCATTCATGACTGCACTAAATGTAATATCAGCTATTGCTCATCAGAGCCTTGTTTGAAGGACTACAACACTACTTTCAAGCTTTGAATACTAATTTGAGGTTTAACTATTATTGGTTTCTTACGAACTAAATTGAGGCAATTTTTTAAATTATCATTCAAAATTTCATTCACAAATTCACGGATAGTTGAAGCCTTTTCACGACATAACGCAAGGAAAACTTATGTTTCACGCTTCACGTAGGAATCTTAATTCACGAAATCACGCACGAAAATATAGCCAATAAAGCATCACGCAAAAATATTGGGGAGGGGGCCTATGTACTAGGCTATAGTAAAATTCCTCAGCTAAACTCTTTCACAATTGACAATTTTCTTTGTTTCATTCTTTCCATTGGGCATCGAGCTCGACCGCTGACATAGCACGAAAGTTTTTAATTTTTCGTGAAGTTCAGCAGGCTTGTGCATCATTTTACCTTTTCTTTTATGATTTTGTTATCTATTGCCGATTGTCGACGTATTCGTTCTTTTCATACTTATATTTCCAAACCAAAATTTGAACAACTTTTTCCTTAACGTTTAAAATGACCTCGTCTCTTCCAGCCAATATCTACATGTTTATCCGTTAATCCAATCCGTATTAAACTTCACTTTGGATGCTTTAGTTTTAAATCCTTACCATTTATTTTGCTTCAAGTTCTTTACGCAGTCATCTCGACCATTAATAAAATACCGTAATGCCTCGAATAAGCACCCGGGCGCTTATCTAATTTTCGAGGCTCGAGTGTGGGAACTTCATTGAGGGAGGTGCTTAATCTAGGGGGCGCTGATTTAGAAAAAATAGATTAGATAGTAATTCAATAAAAATGAATGTGTTTTCAATTGAAGCACTTTTCTCTTTCTTTCTTAATAATGATAATCAGAATTCGAATAAGCGCCCGTTTCTGAAGGTTGTAGGATGGGCGCTTATTCGAATGGTAGGCGCTTATTCAATAATTTCACCTCTAGGACGGGCGCTTATTCAAAGGGGGCGCTTATTTAAAGGGGGCGCTTATCCGAGTTTGGCGCTTTTTGTAGGCATTACGGTATCAGTCAAAACTATAAAAAAGTAAAGCTTGCAAAATTGTCGAAGAAGCTAGGCTGGAAAAAGCTTTATTCCACGACCTTCAGAATGCTGCTCGCTATGGTACAGGGAAGCTAAAAAATTGAGAGTTGAAAGGAACATAAAGATTCAATTAAGGTAAAAATGAAGATTACAATTAACGTATTATTAGTGAATAAGTTGCAAAATAAGTCAGCTTGCTTTTGATAACACGAAAAATGTAATTTATTTTGATACAAATTAATTCTAAAAACCTACGTGCTTCGAAATTAGGGGTCCATATAAGGAATTACGAGTGAAATATGCGTCTTAAAATTCATATGCATTTTAAACTAGTATGTTGGAGGTAATCATTATATTTAGTCTTTACATAGTTACAGGCAAAACTTACATCCTTCAACATGCATTGACCAAATATACTGAAATTATCATAAAATGCAAACAAATTCTAAGATCCGACAAAATTGAAGGGGGGCTTGGGGAAGGGAAGCCACCATGAATCTAATTCTAAATACAAAAAAAAGTTTATTGATGGAAACGAACCCAAAAAAAGAATTTTTATTTGCATGGCCTCTTTCGACCCTAGCTGTGTTTATGTTTTAATTAAATAGAGCTGCAACAGCCGTTTCAAAGTTAAAGCTCAAGGTATAAAAACTTATGCTACCACCAGAAAACCAGCAACACTGGTTATCGAGAACACAGGGCTGTTAACAGTCTTCACTTTCTTATAAGAACAATTTTAAAGAACATGAGCCTCAAAATTAGTCAAAAGTTAAGATAAATTAAGAACAAGCTGAGGCTGAGCTACCGTAAAATGTAATTTTGAGCAATATCTCAGAACGAAGAGTCATCAACCAAACTTGTCGTCAAATTAAAGATGTCCCCCTCAATTTGTTGGCAAACGAGGCCTAACACCTCCCTAAAGCGCAAAAGCTAGCAATTGCACTGCTTACACCCTAAGAATGTCAGAACAATCCAGCCTCAGATTTTCGAATTAGAACAGCCAGCCTGAACCTCAATTTACTGGTTCTTATAAAAAGAGAAGTTCTACAAATTCCTGTCTAACCTTGTACTTGACACACTGCTGTTTAAAGGAATTTATTTAGCAATTTTCCTGATGATCACAGCTGGCGGGAAATCTAGAGTTACAGCCAGCAACAGCCTAGTTCTACCGCCCATTCAAAAATGCTTTATCTAGATGATATTCAACACTTACTCAAAATAATCAACAAAAATTATCGTTACTATTGAAACTACAAATATTTTATTTATATTGCAATCATAATCATTATAATCAAAAGTATGATGCTGCATCTCTAACACAAGATATATAAAAATAAATCAAACACTTTTGTCCCCCCATCTTAGCAAAGTCTTTGGCATATTTTGTAGCCATGTCGAAATTCTCGTGTAAAAACCCATTTCAAACGACGGAAGAATTATGAATTTTTCCACTCGAAAATCTTTAAGACACCCTTGAGTAACAAGCCCGGTGAAAGCCGTTCACGATTCCAGAGAGAAATTTCCTGATTGGGGAGTCCTCTATCAAAATAATAGGGAACTTTTCATTTCCTCAAGTCCCCTTTAAGCTAAGATTGTTCCCAGATAGACGTTAGTTCCCTCTCTGCCACGAGTTACCTATTTATAATAGGGAACTTTTCATTTCCTCAAGTCCCCTGTAAGCTAAGATTGTTCCCAGATAGGCGTTAATTCCCTCTCTGGCACGAGTTACCTATTTACGATCTCGAATCTACCTATTTAACCCCTTTTCTTATTTGCCCCGAGCGCTGCCAACATAATTGAAAATTTACCTGTCCCCCGCTAGCTTCGGCCTAAGACAAATCTTGCTATCCCCTGCCATATTTACCTGCTATTCCCCTTTAAAATAAAACTCGCCCGGCTTATTACATATGGGTGTTTTAACTTGAATGTTGGAGTAATCATTCCACTTTTTGTTGCTTGACAAAATGTTCGTCTTCTGTTCTTCTGATACATGAAGGGAGAAATCGCCATATAGTATAAATGGCCACTCCGGTTAATAAAAGTGTCCAGAACAAAACAATGTGCGACGGAGGCGGCATTTGAATGGTTTCCCAACCAAATTTCAAGCATATAAGGGTTTCAGTGATGATGATCGCTGCTAGGATCCAAGACTGCTGACCAAAGCGTTTGCAGCTTCTACGAAAGAAAAGATCATGGGTCGCTTGCTAATATGGACGATTCCTTTGTTATCTTAGTTGTCGAAACTCTGCAAAACTTAGCTATTCACCTTAGATGAAATTACATAGCGGCAAAATATCATGTTAGCAACAGGGTAATGGCTACTTTTGTTCTTGGTGGTGGAGCTCTTGCCCCTAAGACCCCTTCGTTTCATATTGACAGTCTCTTTGGTTCCTATTGTTCTCAAACAATAGTGCCCTTTCCATTTATCCTGCGACATACCCTGGGTGCCAGAGCCTCAGAGAGTCAAAGGATGAAGAACGGGGGGAAGGAAATGCGAAGGAGAATGGAAGAGGAAAGGGGAGTCTCTTTCGCAATTCCTTCCCCCGTTTTTCATCCTTTGACTCTCTGAAGCTCTGGCACCCAGGGTACCTGCGACACTCAGAGCACACGTAAAGGATTTTTAAAGATTGTCGTTTAAACGCTGACGCAAGCAATGGGGAAGTTAAAGAGGAAGCAAAATTGGCAGCGATTGACCCTCCCCCCTCTCCCTGGAAGTAATCTTGATAAAGGCTTTAGATACACTATGGTGCACCAAAGCAACTAAACTAAGCGAACAGGTATAAAAAAATAATGTAAACATCCTTACGAATCGTCCATGTATTGATAGACCTCTCGAATTCCCACTGTTCCTGCAAAACCGATAAGAACAAGTCTGGCAACAACGAGCCAGTGTTCCGGGTTTATCCACAAAACGAACTTCAGATAGAAGCAGTTGAGCTCTGCCAATGAAAACTGACAAGAAAAATGATGTTATGAAAGTAAGTAAAGGGAATATAAAGAACAGCAAACGCTTGGTGAACTCAAAATCTAGAGTGTTTAGCTCAATTTACCATTTTGCTATTTTGTTTTCGAATAAATCCTCTTACAAGCAGCTAAATGGCATTTATAAAAAGGGGAAAAGAACATAACACTCCCTTAAAATGTTTAGGCCTAATTCAAGTCAAGTCCTTCTCTAAACGATAATCTCAATACTCTACACGATAATCTCTTGATACAATACACTGACAGGTATTTATTTACCAATACCATTTACCAGTTACAAGCATTTTGTCATGTACATACCATAATTGTGATTCCAATAATGGCAAGCCATCTTTTCAGCGATGCAGTTGCTTCCCATTTGAAGCTGTCCCAGTGATGCGGGGTAAACTGCTCCGCAGCCCGCTTAAGTTTTCCTGTATACGTTGGAATTTTCCATAAGCTTCTCCAATTGTATTCCTAAAACACAAACACAGCAACATATTTCCAAGCATTTCAGATTGCATATGGGCAGACTTGTGAGGCCTAGCAAACAAAGCAGGATTTCACACCATACTTTGCAGTCTTGAATCATCCAAGAATAGAATGTGTTTAAATGTCCCATGAATTATGAAAGCTAGAAACAGCAAGGAGAGTATATTAGCGGGAAGAAGATAACAAACTATAGCTTGATCAAAACTACTTATATACCTAGAACTTACGGACCTATAGTTAGGCGCCAAAAAAACAACGTCTTGAAAGTTGGTCAGTGGAACCAACAATTATGCTTGCCAGCTTATCTAGTTTCTTCGTCGCTAGCAACAAAGTTTCGTAAAAAGTTTATATTTCGTGCAGTTGAATGGGCAGAATTAAATATTTTCAGCTACAACATCTTATAATGATGAACTCTCTGAAAATATCAAAGAAAAACCTGTTTTTGAGTCACCACAATACTAGGATAATGGTGTGAATACTAGGATAATGGACATAATGTCTTGATTCAAAAGGGGCCTAACTAAAAGAAAACATTCTGCATCCAACTCAAAGCATACTTCTACAGCCTACTTCCATCAACTGGGCGAGGCAATACATCATTATTCTGCATACCTTAATCTCTAGAAAATGGCAAGTTTTCATTCCCAGATAAATGCCAACGCCATTACAAAGGGCAGCGTCCATTATCCACTAAAATAAAGAAAAAATAAATAAAATAAAAAAGAGCTATTTCAAACTTAGCGATAAGACGTCATTGACATAATTTGCCTAAAATTGCTTGTACTTTGGAAAAACAACGCTACAGTTGCAAGGTACAGTTTTCATCATAATATTTCAGATACTTGTAAAGCTACCATCATAGCAAAATACTAAGTTACAGAGACTTATGTTGAGAGAAAGAAGCACAATCATTTCCGTTTACTGTTTTAGGCATTAGATGAAGAATAAACTATGGTAACTAAAACCGTTTAAACTTACATGGTCCCACCAACACTCATGAAAATTTGGCAGCTGATGTTCCAATGAGTATTCATAAATTTCAAAAAGGATGCTTAAGACATTTGCAAACCAAAAATCTCTAAGTATAATTGCTTTTGCCCACCAACCAAAGAGATGTGCCGGTACAAACCAATCAAATTTTGTCTACAAACAAAGACAGGAAAATGGAATAAAGCAAAAAATTTACAAAGCCAAATATTATTTTTAGATAAGAATCAGCTTGCTAATATATCGACACGTTTTTTTGAAGTATCAAAAAGGGCTGAGAACCTTGCAAGCAACGGCTACGATAGTCTCTTAATTGACAGCAAATAAGACCGGTATCATTTAAAGATCCTTTGTTAACAGGGGTTGACTTTGACTATGGGTTAAGAGTTGCAGCGAGTTGAAATTGTCTTTCTTCTACATGACGTTCGTAGCTCAGGATGATTTTTAATATTTTGGTTTTCAGTATCTTTGCATGACTTTGTTAAGATAGAGAAAATTACTCAATGCCGTCTGGGTTGAGAAAACCCTCTCTTTGCATGTCTTATTTTATCTTGGTGATAAATTGAATCATTTCTTTATAAAAAATTGCATCATGTTTTCATGTGGTGGTTGGAAACCCAATGGATTTCGATTCAACCTGCGTTAAGGCCACCAAGTTTCTTTCGCCTCCTGAGAAAATGACAAGAGCAAATCAAAATAGGTGATTGTCAGTTAAGACAGAATCATCCAACCTTCAAATTGTGGAAAGGGTCTATGTTTTCTGCATCGTAGAACACGCAGTTGCTTCCATAATCAACCTCTGGTAGAGGCTTTCCAAGTGACAGATCGAAGAACGACATCCAGCTTCTTGCGTCACCATTATTCTGTAGCAAAAATACAAACAATACAGAGTCTATAAAAAGTCGGGGAAAAGAAACCAAGAAAATATTGCTACTTTCTTGCACCCTTTTACCTTGTCTTTATTTCACATCTTTGCAAAATCAAAGGTTAGAAATTGATCGGGGGCTCCGATGCAAGTTTGAAAGTAGTGAGACCGAGAGCAATTTTAAGACCGAAAACAAAATTTTGTAGAAATGTTTTGCAAGAGTGGGGGCCATGGTCCCCTGCCCCCTACCCGATACGTCAAATGGCACATAAAGATACTGGTTCTTTCAAAATGGGACCCGGATAAGCAATTTCACGCTACCAAGACCCAAAATAAAAGGGACAAATGAGAACTTTGTTGATTCTGAAGTCAAATAACGTTTGTTGTTGCATTTATGTACTATCTTAAAGATGGGAAAATACACAGGCAAGCTATCACTGAAAGCAACGTTATGATATTGTCTTTAAAATGTTTCCGGGAAAACAGGAGTTTTGAAAAAATCTTTGAGATTTGACGAAATGCCAAGAAAAACAAAAAAATGCGAGCTTGGCTTTGTCATAATGCAACATAGCTTTCAAAAAGTTGCCATTATACTGTTTTGAATAAATCGCCAGGAGCTTAGAATTGATTGCTAGAATTTTGCTAAAATTTATTGTGTAAAAATGGAGGCTTGCCTGGATACTCAGAGATTAGTTTGAAAGGAAGCAGACTCATGGCACAACCGGAAGACTCCTTGAAAAAACAGGAAACTCCAGGTAAAGTGCTGATACAGCTTGCAAAACCGAGATATTTTGATGGTTTGCCAAAAAATTCTGGTACATTTATCCTTAGCAAATATTTTCCTTTTTATTTATCAAACAGTTTGTTTGTAGTGATATGTAATGCCCTTTTTGGATCACATAGAAAGAAAATATCTAAAAAATAGCAACCTGGAACAGTATAAAAATCATCATTAACTCGTAAATGACACTGCAACAAAGTATGAACCTCCAAAACACTAGAAAAGACAAAAATTATACATATAAAAACAAATAACAATGATGATAAATACAGCACATGCCTTTATAATGACAATATCTCACAGTCAATCCTTTTCTTTTTAACAAAAATAAAACCAATTGCAATGCCATCATTAAAAGATACAGAAGCAACCTAAAAGAGTTTCATTAATTGAAAGTAGCATGATTGAAAACAGCAAAGTATTACATGACATAATCATGCTTGATAATAATTAAGATGGACAGACTTCTTTCACCTTTATAAGAGGAAGACATCAGTCATGCCATTTTGAAATGAAATTCTTTAATGAATATGCACATAACAAAAAAGATAGAATAAGTCTATAAATTGTTTGAACAATTTTATAACAGCATACTTGTATATCTAATTAGAGAAGGAAAAGATCCAGACAATTTTTTGTAAATTCATTAAAAATTCATTGCTGACAAATCTGTTACCTGGATGTGGCCTCACAAATGGGCCATCCCTTGCCTGAGTGATGCCAAAAGCCAAAAAGACAACTATACAGGCAAATAAACCCCTGAAAATAAGATTTTAACTTAAATGAAAGAAAATAATTCAAAATTAATAGATAATGGCAGATGATTTATCTATTCAGGGTTAACTGATAATGGTAATATGCAATATTAGTCAAAGCTGCTTGCCATTACTAGCTATCAATAATATAGGTTGACAAATTATGGCACTGGTATTTTTGCATTGGTTAGAATTTGCTATCATCAGCATCATCATCAGTCTTTTTAAGTCATCTGAACACTTCTTGTGTGTGACTGTGTTTCCACAATGCTTGTCTCCAGGATGCAAACTTTCAGCATCTTTTAAAGACAAATTTAAACCTTTGACATCTTCTGACACTAAACCTTGCCACGCTTTATGGGGTCAGCTTGGCTTGTTTGAATCATCAATAGATAGAGTAGTACACTTTTTGATCCATTATGTCCAAACCATTTCATTCTATTGCAATATTTTGTGGGTTGCTGTCTTTTTAGTGAAGTACACAAATTCATTTAAATTCTTTCTAAAACGATAATATACAAGAGCTTTTAGAACATAAACCACACCTTTTTGCATTGTAAATAGGATCAATGACCTCTTCTTCAAAAAGTGAAACATAGCACAGTGCCAATATCATCAATAGCAGAACACTGATTGTATGAGCTCGCCTTTAAAAACAAAAAGTACAATTAGATCTTGTAGAAAGCCACATCTTTTAGTAGGACATGAGTGATTGTTTATCACAATCATCAAATGTGTCCTTGACACGACCATAATCCAACTGACTTCTAAGCTAACCTACATTACTAAAGTAAATGGTTGAATTGGCCCCTCATTAAGACACCTTCCCTTTCAATTTAACCTCTATTTTTGAAAAAAAAATTAAATAAGTATTCACCCTCAAGTAAGGCCCCACCATGACATGCCTTTTACAATACATGATTATAGATCAAAATTAAAAATATTCAACAGAAAATAAAAATGACAATTTGAAGGGCAACTTTCAGATAATTTATGCAAGCCAACCCTCCCTCAATCCCCCTTAAATTTAGTCCACATCCAAAAGTGTCACATTTTATTAGGCATTCAGGGGGCCTATTCACATATTAACTTTATTCATCTGCACTTCAAACAAAATAACACAGTACATCATCAATAAACAAACTGACCTGTTGCAAAAGATTGACACATTTAAAACACAAAAACATGCATCTTTTTTGACATTTGAATAGCTATAAAGTAGTTGATGGAAAATTCTGCTTCTGTGGTAGAAGTTGATCTGGCAGAGTATTCTGTGATGTTATACTGATTAGTAATAAAACCTCTCAATTGTTTCAAGTCTTGAGTATACAGAAAAAACTTTCTGCCAATTAGTAAATTATAATTTTTTTTATTTATAAAAACCAGACTGAAATAGTATCAACCAAAAAGACAGTCTTCGCTGAATGATGATTTACACTAGGTTGTAATTGTGTAGACTTTTGCACATTCTTGGACTTCTAATAGATGATTTCTTAAAAGAAAATCATAATTAAAAATATTGACATAAATTTTACTGTTCTTATATTGTTCTTTAAAACTTCAGAAATTTTCTCACTGCAAAATAGTTACCAGAAAAATGAAGGGTCATCATCATCAACGACATCTTTATTCCACTGAACAAGATCATCCAGGAATGGTGGGTCCATTGCATAACTTGCTTGCTTTGATGCTCTTCTTGTGCTACATGAGCACTTTGCGCAGCCTACCTGGTTTCTCTTAGAACTATCCTTTTCCATATCTATATCATTTTCCATTGTTCTTTAAAATTACAAAGATCCTATAAAGAAAACAAAACTGACAAATTTTCTGGGTAGTGGGCCTACAAAGCCTGTATATTGTGATTTGCATATTATAGCATGTAGAGGTGAACAATGAAAGAAAGAACACCACAACAAAGCTTGTCCACAGCTTCTAACTCTCTTTTTAATCTACAGAGCTATGCAATTTCTTATTGCTAAATTATTGGACATAAAAATGATCTACTAAGTCTCACACCATTTTGTAAATCTCATGTATTCACAAATAGAGAAAGAATATAAAGTACAATAGGGACAATAGAACCAGCCAGGTAGAGCAATAAATCTTGTACATTTAGAAACATAAACAAAACAGGTATGTAATTCAGTTACTTATATCTTTTGTAAGCTATTCATATCGCAAAGAAGCATACCAGTTTGAATAACTGGTGGACAGTGTATGAGTGTCAACTGGTACAAGATAACTTGTTAATTTTATTTGACTCATTTCTTAAACAGAAACAAAAGATGTAGATTTGCAGGGACCTAAATGAGTCTTTGTAGTAATAGCATAGCATAAAAACGACAATTTTACACCATGATCCCTGGTTTTTAACTTCTTTAATTCCATACACGTATATAATAGGCAAATGGCAAACAGAAAAATAACTAACCCCTTTTTAGGGGCGTGCATCACTATGATCAAAGGCTTTAGATTCATGAAATTTTACATATGAAAAACAACCTCATCATAATCGTTAGCTAGGCCTGGCCTTCGTTGTCCTAAAATATTCGAGTTATATGTAACATGATACGTATTTAACAAGCTTGTATTACAAATATCTGGGAAGCCGCGATCTCAAAGAAACAATAGGGTTCCTCATGGCTGGATGGGCGGTACAACTTTGCAAAAATTTGAGCTCAGGAAGATCTTTGAAAAATAATGCGTTTAGGACGAACCTTTGGACGTCTGTTTCACCAGCTACTGCAAACAAAAGAAGATCTATCGTCATAAGATCATGTTCTCTGTGGGAAGCAAGATGCAGTAAACAGAGGCATGTGCTCAATGCTTCTTGTATTTCGTGTTGTCTATCCTCCTTTTGAGAACATAATTTCAATCAAAACGAGTCTCGACAATCAAAACAGAACATTTCCGCATTTTGTTTCAGATTCTCTCAGCAAACCTTGAAGATTGAAGACATCTTGCAAAAATTGCCGCTCTGGCTCATCCTAGCGGGAAATTTCGCAGGAATGCTAGTGCCGAAGATTCATAGAATTTTACCGAAAAATTATTTTAACTTTAACATGACAAGCTTTGAAAGGATTGTGATTTTACTCAAGTTTACTGAGATTTGGAAGATGATTGGATACATCCTTTTCTTAAAGAAAAAGTTCTAAATGCTGACAGTTTTTTTCAAAGTTGCCAGTGGTGGCTCCAGCCCGAGATAAGTGGGAGGGTCAAAAGGGGGTCCGGGACCACGCCATTTTCCGCGAAAAGCATTTTCTTCCTAAATCAGCTTCTGACGATCTAGATAGCGTACATACCCCCCCCCCCCAAGTTTTCTCGTCGGATTTGCAAGAATCTCAAGGATCAACTTTCTGAAAAAGTGGGGGGACTGTTCCCCCTATCCCTCCTCCCCCTTGAAATTGGATATCATTGTAAATGCTGGGAGAAATTTACTAGACAGACAAGAAGAAAATAGCGCTCGAGTTTTTTAAGTCCTTTCGTTAACAAATCTTAATTAAAAACACACTAGTAATTTTACTTTAAATTGTGACAAAAATAAATCTCTTTAACGCTAGAATCAAAAGTTATTGCACAACCTTGATTCATTTACAAATATATTTCTCGTATATTTCTGCAATACTGTGATCAAATGACAGGGAAAGCAGACGACAGGGACTCGAACAAACGTTATTCTATTGGTAGAATGTTCAGAGAACGATCTTGGGAGTTAGAACCTTAAATGCATAAATGATGTTGGTAAAGGGTATATTTGAGAGTTCTAGAACCAGGATCTCTATGAACGAAATTACCAGAAATTATCATCGCTAATATAGCCAACATTTTGTGTAATTGTCAAGCTTACAATAAATTATATTTGATATTTGCAAAACAACTTTCTGAAAGTTACTTTCATAACAACAGAAAATCTTTTTACCATATCAGCCGAATATGTAATAATCTAATCTTTATATTCTATGAATTCACAAAATTATAAAAATTGACTGATATTTTTGGTTGGCTGGGGTCTAATAGCGATAAGAGTCCAGGCTGAAGACTATTTGCAAAATCTGTTTCATCTACAATACAAAATAAAAGAGCAAATAAAGATGAAATTGTCAATATACTCTAACGTAAAACATCGCAATAAAATAAAACCCCACAACAGCTAATTTTTATGAACTGAATATTTCGATAATATTTATGGTCCGGCCAATTATTAAGAAAATCTTTGAAATAATAATTTAGTTATTTAGAGGCGCTATTAATAAACAGACGGTATCATAAGGCGTGACATGTTGTAAAGGTTTGCAAGCGTGCAAGAGGCCTAAAATCTTTCAAGATTATTTTTTGGCATGATGATTGCCAAGATGTGAAGAATTTTTACAAAATGGCATAGGATTACAACAAACATTAAGGAAATCAGTCGGCGTAGGGGGTACAATTCGATCACTTCCTATGAAGAATTTACTATCAACCGCATTAATGATGCATCGGTTAAGATAGCCAAACGTTGCTGAAATTTTCTTTGGATAGTCTGGAAATCTTCATAAAAAGGACTCGAGGCTTATTATCATGGATTTGCCTTCAGACACACATTTTCGAAATTTGTGAGACGGGTGACTATGCAATGCACCTCACCCCCGTACGTTTAAATAATCCAATGTTTATTCGGACAAAAGAGTTTTTAAGATTGCACACGAGGAGATCCTAGCTTCCCTTAAATTGAGATTACAAGGCAACAGGGGTAAAGGGGGTAGATAAGATCTGTACACATTTTGAAGCAGAAACAAAAAGCGTTTTATTATCTTTAGCACAAGCTTCCAAAATATTATATCTTAGCCCTAGCAAACAAATCAGGGCACAAGGTGGAAGTCGCAAGGTCGACGAGAAAGACCAATAAAACCAGGAAATATTATAGTTACACGCCCCAACCCTACTTTCTTCCATTGTTCTTCTTAGAAACGTTACAGAGATCTAGAGCATGTCCAGAGGAAGAATTACCCTTTTCTGGGACTTTGAAAAAACCTTGGTCTTATCTGTGATCTCACTTACCCAAACCGTGTAAGTTAATTTTCACACTAAGCTGCTACATCTTATTTTAGCATTAAACTCACAACATACTGACTGTGAACTAATAGCAAATTATATATTTAAACATGCTCTATAAGAAAAAACATGAGATGGATGAAAGCATCACCAAACGTGGTGGTGGATGATAAACAAACTATGGGGTGCGTTAAGACAGGCATTTAACAATTTAAAAAACAATGATTTTGCAGATTTCAAGGAAAAGCCAATTCTTGTGAAATCTTGCTTTGACAAAACGAACGTTGAAGCAAGATGAAACAATTAAAGCTTCTACTCAAAACAAAAATCAGACAACATACGGTTTATCATCTGATATTTACCATTACTTTCATGGGCTTGTACGGTTTGGGGGGCGGTCACAGGGTTATTAAGTTTAGGGGGGGCGGCTTTTTGGATACATGTAGTCGAACAGAAGTCCCCCTAGTATTTTGATAAAAGGCAACCTCAGAAAAATGCAGATTTTTTGTTATTTATGTTCAAGTTTTCTCACACTCTTAGCAAAAGGGAAATATCAAATATATAAACTGAGAGGGTTCGAAAGATGCATGGGCTCTTATAAGATGATCTATCGTATGCAAAAATTTGTAGAAACTTATTTGTTTGTTCCTTGGAATCTTTTATGATAACATTTGACTGTCAGGCTGCAAAACCAGGCTGAGATCTCCTATTGAAGAAAACACAGAGACTGAAGAAGATATTCTGAAATGAACATGATTATTTCGCATAATTATTAAAGCATACTTATGTGTCAGGTAACAATAAGAAGCAAAAATACACACAATTCTTCTTGTCAAGCTATTTTCATTCAGAATCTGGATCTAGATTTCTATCTAGTTTTGAGAATTATCCAAAATCTCATAATCTAGGATGTAAATCTGGATCTAGATTTTTATCTAGTTTTGAGAATTATCCAAAATCTCATTCTCCAGGATGTAAATCTGGATCTAGATTTCTATCTAGGTTTGAGAATTATCCAAAATCTCATTCTCCAGGATGTAAATCTGGATCTAGATTTCTATCTAGTTTTGAGAATTATCCAAAATCTCATAATCTAGGATGTAAATCTGGATCTAGAGAACAGAAGGATGAAAATTTCTTTTGTATAAAAAATTGTGTTTCTTATTCGTTATTATCCACATATTATGTCATATATAAAATAAGCAAGAATCCAACATGCGGGGATGAATTCTCGCCCACATATATTGAGTCAAGACCTTGACATTCTGTTAAATGTTTCATAGGTTACAAAAACTTCAGTTATAAAATGTTATATGCAAGAAAGACGGAATGAAAAATGAGCTGAATAGTTTGATGCATAAGTTACATTTGATTCATCAGTGGAAATATCACCTTACTAGCTAATTGAGATTATCCCTGAAACTATCAATAAAACTTTTCTAATCATAAGTATTTGAGACTCGTTTTATTTGCAAACAAAAGCATACCTGGCATTCACAGTTTTACAGTGAGTTTCCTCCTTCACTGCCTCTAGGTTCACTCGATACTCCATTGCTCGCAGCAGCCAGGTAGGAAAACAGGCATAAGACCGAGTAACAAATTTCACCAGCCTAATGGACAATAGAAACTGTCGTAAAATATTGCATCATATGGCGTAATATCGTAAAATATCGTGTCATATCATGTAATGTCGTAAAACAGACTGCTGTAAGTGGCTTACCACAAAATGCAAAAGGCGTGAATAAGTAAATATATATAGATAGTATAGAGTGTGAAATGATGAATGTGAAATGACCAATGTATGCTCAATATACCAAATGAAAATATAAAATGTCAAGATGTTTAAAAATGTCAAGTTGCTTAGAAATAGTTCATAGTATGGCCATTCACACACGGATAGTCATCTGCAAGTCTGTTAAAATGAAAATGACTGCAGCCTAATTAAAACACAATAAAAGAAGCGAGCATAAAAAGCTCTCAACTTATTTAAGAGCAGTTTTTGTTTAGCAGAACAATATCACAGAAAAAGCATTCAGGGCATTTAAAGAAATATCCTAAGCAAGTAGCCCAGCGTCTTTTTGTAAAACGACTGTTTAAAATTCATACAGACTGCAGTTGCATGCATGAATCTAAAAATGCTGCTAATAAGATGAGTTTGATTGATTTGTTACGTGAATTAGACCGAGCTACACCATATGTTTTTGCTGTCAATTCAACAAAGATGTTTATAATCCAACATTTTTACAAACTCTTCTTTATGTTATCTGCAGAGGCCCATATAACGGATGACGAATTTCACCATCGTCAAGCCTGTTTGATGAAACGTGCATTAATTCAAAAATCTCAAATGCTTGAAATAACAGACGCACTCTTATCTCTGTGCTGCTGATTTCAAATTCACAATATTTCCAAATTTATAAAATCAGTTGTTTTTTAGATCTAAGTTAGTATTCTGACGTCAAACACCACAGTGGCACTGATAACGAGCTTCTTCTTTCACTGGGGCGGTATTCAATTTCAAAGCATTTTCAAAGGATTATCAATTATTTAATGTCACTGAATTCGACTGAACAAACCTTGTGAGAATATAATTCATGCTCAATAACTTGGTGTGTATGTGGGACTGAAATTAAAAACGCAAAATTCATGGCAATTTCTAAAAGCATTTCAAAATGTGACAAAAGCAATCAAGAATTCACTTCGAACTTACAAATATTGAAGCTGTACAAAGTATTCAAGAAAATTCCGAAGAGCGTCAGAAGAAAAGTATTAATTTACTCAAATGTTTGCTTTTTTTAAAGCCATTTTCAAGAAAATGCTTTCTACAGAATAAGAGGAAGTTTAAGAACAGCGATCTTCTTCGACGTGGGTGTATTTTTCAGTTTTCAGAACAGGAAGAAAATTTTACAAAAAGTTCTGCTTTGAATAGGAATCTCTCGTTTACAGCATCTGGGTCATTAGCTCTGAACTGGTGTTGATCTTTCGCACAATCCCCCCTGTTATACCAGGGATTGAACTTCCTCTAAATCCCTCGTCACTTTGAGTAGTAAACAAATCATTTAAGAATGAATACAGAAAGCTTGTGACTTGTGTTGAGGTTAATCACTAACTAAAATACTAAACAAAAGGGTACGTGTTATATACACACGAAAGCGAGGCTAGCATACTAATAACGTATGCTAATTAATGAAAAATAATGCTAATACATTATTCCAATAACTATATACCAGCTGTGAAAAGATATGCTCCTAGATGTAATAGCGGGAAGGGGCCACAGAGAGACCTAGACATGTATGCTGCCAAGGGTTTGCGTTGGTTTATATCACTGTGTTTTAGACTGTAGTCGTGAGTAAAACGTGTTTGGCCTTCTTTCGGGAATGCACAGTCAATGTTTAGAAAAAGAATCACAAACCCCCTCTTGCCTGGTCTTGTTACTAATATTATTACACCAGAACTGCCCGGCTCGTGACATTAAAGAAAGTATTTTCCAAATGAATATTGTGAAAACCCGAGATATAATTTTAGATGTCCTTCTTGTGGGAATTCTTCAGTAGATAGATGATTCCACATAGCTTGAGAATAAAAGACATTCTCTAACTTCGAAAACCAGGACTTAAAAATAGGTCTCTATTATTTAAATTCCATAGTCTTAATTTCAAGCATTTTAAAAATGGTAGTATTGGCTTTTAGTAGCATTAGCTTTTTTCTATCCAACTATAAACAAGGTGTATCAATATGATAAAGAAGATAGATGCTGGCAAATTACTTATTCTAACATGTCTGGTTTTATGGTGGATCGCTTTATTCCCATCGCTTCATGCAAAGCTGAAAAGAGTGTTTTGGTTCCGTACATATTGTAACAAAATATCATTCTCCAACATAAGCCTCTGCCTATTTACAAAGTAGGAAATCCGTAACAAATTAGCCAGAAAAGCCTGGTTTAACCAACTTCTATAGCAGCAATTCTGGACGCAGCTATTGAAAAAAATGCTTAAACAAACGACACACAGCACCACGATGCCCCCAAATAAAAGTTGGGAATTTCGTATTTCAATTTAAGAGATACAGTCATTGTAGTGAGTGAGGGGGAATCCACCGTTTTTATAGGATTATATCTGTGAAAGAAATAAAAAAAACACACGACAAGATTTGGTTTAACCAGCCAGGATTCTCTATTTACCACCCTGATTAAACTCTACTAACTGCTTGCTAAAAATGTCACAGATTGTTTCACCTACCGTATTCTTGTATATATAAAATTGATTCCTTTCGTGAACAATTCTTTAGATTTCGTATGTCGATAGCACACTGCAAAATAAGACCAACTTGTTAATTATTTCAGTTATTTGGAGAAAATAAAACGAAAATCCCACGAATCGACCAGAAAAATTTGAACTCTTCTCCCAAAATTTAACCACTGCAGATCTACAAATGTTTGCCTAAGATTTTAATAAAACATTGGTTGCTTTAGGCTGCACTGAAAATATCCTGCCCAAATGTTTTAGGTTAGGACTTATGTAAATCTGACAAAGCGAGCAAAAATTATTCTGTTTTTGCAATTTAAAGTTTCTTACAATAGATAAAAAATCAAACACCTACTCAGTAAGGTTGCATAAACCTAAAACTATGATAGTTACCAAAACTAAGACAAAAAAGTAATATAAAATACTATACAGTTTCATGTAGTAAAATATGAAAAACAATTTGAAAGTATTTCAGTTCTATTAATGATAGCAGAACCCCCGGGATTCTAAAAGTTTTAAGTGGACTGGTAGCGAAAGTGATAAAATATAAGGAGGTAAATAATGCTTACCTTGCCGTCAACGAAGATTATCGAAATGCCATCTAAGGACACTCGCAGTAATCCTTCTTTATTTGAGTTCAGGTCCTGTTAAAAAGAAAAAATAGGCACTCACTCAGTGATAAAGCTTGTCTTTGGTTGTTCTGATAAAAAGATTGTGTACATATTTCATGATAAATGTAATTCAGCGTGTTGTCTGTCGAATGAGATAAGTCCTGATTAAGAGTTATACTCGAAAAGTCCTTACTATTTCAATCTTGAATGTACAAAGTCGCAATTTAGGTATGTTAATTCATGTTTACACAAATTGCAAACAAAGATCTCAATATCGAAAACAGGGGCACAAAATGAATCTCGATTAGAGATCATTAAGCAAAACCATTGCATTGAATTGAATTAATGGTTGAAGAGCATAACAATAAATGGTTGAAGTGAATTTTACGAAAGGAACTTTTAGGCCATATTAAATATGTACGTTGCGTGTGGTACTTCATCCAGAATAACGATAATATAGTTAGCAAATAAATTTAGTACCAGAATGAAAATATAATAGTTTGATTGTTAAAAACACGACGTTTCGAGCATGTATTCGTTATCAAGTGGCTAGAAAAGAAACGACAACGAGTACATGCTCGAAACGTCGTGTTTTTAACAATCAAATTATTATATTTTCATTCTGGTACTAAATTTATTTGCTAACTACATTATCGTTAACTTTTTAGGTCACATAGACAAGCTCGATTTGGATCCGTCCAGAAATCATTATAGATTATATCTGTTATATCTAGAAGCTATATTCAAAAGTTAAGCCATTTTATTTGGATACGATGCATACGATCAGTGATCAAAGCGATTCATATGATGATTATGTAAGTGAAGACAAAAAGAACAGTGTACAAATGACTACATACATACATACATACAAATTTATTTTATATAATTTTATTTATTTATTTTTATGAGGTTAAAATACTGGCAGCTTTGCAAGGTGATGTGGACCTCATTTCAGAGCAGCATAGAAGTGTAAGATAAACTTTAAAAGAGGAGCATAGCAGTGTAAAGCCGAAAACCCACTCCGGAAAATGATCCGCGGATCGGATCAGATCGTGTTGTTCTTTCGATCCGCGGATCGTTTCAGATTGGAATGCACGTTGACATTATCTCCACGGGATTCTTGCCTCATGATGCAAGTGCCCTATTGTTTTAAAAGTTCTAATTCTATTTTGATGAAAAGAAAACTACTGTACCGGAACGGTTCAAAAAAAAGTTGTAATGATTTCAACTTTTTTTTCGATCCGTCGCGGATCAGTCATGTGACCATTTTTGCATCCAAAGCGCTTGCGCAATACAAAATCTGATCCGATCCGCGGATCATTTTCCGGAGTGGGTTTTCGGCTTAAGATAGCACACTAAAAAGGTGAATCAGTTATTTTGACAAATTGTAGCTACTCACAACAACATCGAATTCTCCTCCAAGTTCCATTCCTTAAAAAAGAAAAGATAAGTATAATCAAATATGACGTCACCTGCCTTCAATTAGATTATCCTAGGCAACAGATGTAGATTTCATCCTCTATTGCCAAGGGGTACAAGTATTTGCAGAACTGATAGCAAAGTTTTCTGTATGGGTACTGAAAAACCTTGCATTAGAATTCAAGTGGTATTGTGTATTTGTCATTTGTCATTGATATATCAAAGTCAAAATGTATTTTGTGTTTTGTCAAAATGATAAAATTATTTGAGTGAATACGGAGAATTAAATGAAAATGAAATTGATTGAAAAAATAAATATTGAGAAAATAAAAAGCCATTTCACAAAAAATCAAGGCAAAAACCTATGTTAATCTATACGTTCTGGATATTTTATGACTTAATAAGCTGAATAAACTGAAGCAAAATATAAAACTGTATTCACGACTGTTGTGAATTACCTAAGGTCAGTCAACTATTTTCTAAACATAAAAAGTTCTAGCAGATTTTCAAAGAATTCTTAATCTGCTTAAACTATTCTTAATCATTAAGAGGTATTTTCAAAACTACAGAAATGAAATTCACGTAGCGTATAAGCGATGATATACTGGTGAATAAAAAACACTATGTATCAGAAATAATTTGAGTATACAAGAAATAGGAGCCTCAAGTTCAGTTTTTATTGATTTGTACTGTCCTGTCCTTGATATATAAATGACGTATAGTTTACCGTCATGCATTGCACGAACTATTCACAAGTAATACACAGACAAAGCGTAAGAAATCTATTACAAAAAACAGACACATAAGCAATACATACCTCAAGGTTCACGACACATGACATTTGACACACAATAAAATGTACACAAATCTCTTGACAGTCGAGAATATTATCTGCTAAACACGACACTCAAAAGACAGTTACATACATGATTACAAAACTTTGTAACAATCACACAAAAATACGTGACACCACGGACAAAAAACACGTTGTAGATACAGAACAAGTCAGTTTGGTTATTTGTCATCAGTTATAGTGTACGTCTCATGTCGTGGTCTAGGCAACAGTCCTTAGAGATTAATACACAGCTTAAATGGCATTACAAAGGCTTTGATAAGCACAGGTCACAACTGAAGGTCTTATTGTAAACTTGAATGCAAAGAAAAGCTTAGAACAAAATAAGTATGATTGAATTACTCAAGTTCATCTCGGTCAGATTCAAGGATTTTATCCCAAAAAGTAGCCTCAAGACCTGAGACCTGAAGATGGATATGGCAACGTATTCTGAGGGAGCTATTTCATTCAAATTCAAAGATCTCTTTTGCTGACGTTTCTTCCCCGAATAAGAAATTTAGTAAGTTGATTACAAAAACCACCCAACATATCTAGCAAGAACCAAACTTGGTAGAAATCACATATCAACGGTATATGACTAAATCTATTTGGAGTAACTGATGTTTTATAACCGTTAAGTTTGGAAAGACCCTGTGCATCTCAGATTAAAAACATGAATTCCTGGGAAAACTTCTTTAAGATGAATAAAGATGATAATGATGGAAACATTGCTAAAAGTACACAGGGTATTATCTCCAATCAATCAGTTGACATGTTCTAAGTTTTAGCCACAGCATATTGAGGTATAGAGATACAACAAAACAACATATATGCCAAAATCCAAAAATATCTGTCTCATACCACGTTCCAAACCCTTGAATTTTCGTGATGTTTTCTCCATGCTTTCTTTGATTGAGGTGTATAAACTCTTGCACTAAAATACATAGAACAGCATTTATTTTATAATAATCAATAAAGGATCTCAACAAACAATAAAATAATATCTGTGTACACAGTGCAGATCAAATAAAACATTCCTCTATCCCCGAAAGAAATAACTGATCGCAGGTAAGAAACCATATGATTGCCTTAATAGAAACATATCCAACACCCAATCGCAGGCAGGAATCACAACAGAAGGGTTTTCCACTCATTCCAAATAGCATACGAGATTCTTTAAAAACAAAAGGATTTTTAGGGATTTTAGGCAGATTATTCTCGAAAAGAAAAGTATTTTCGCCGAAGGTGTACGAGATTTTCGGGGAGTAATATGCACCTCGATCACAATCAGTCAAAAGTCAGGAAGATCAGGTAGCACGAATGTTAGCCTACCATTAAGAAACGTCAATAAGCATAAAAAAGAATCAAACAGGTTTTATGGGACAAAGACTATGAGAAAACACTTTAGTTAAACAAGACTCCCCTTCTGTAGGGTCAAACTATTTGGATAGTATTACATATTTAAACGACAACAGGGAGAAAACAGATAACAATTGAAACACCGCTGTTCGTAGCTATTCACGTAGGGTGGGACAACCTGCTAGATCAGGGGTTTATTGATCAGAAAACGCTCCTTTATTGTCCTATTCATGATTTTTAAGCACAATTGTAGCTTCATTTATAAAGAGGAGCTAAAAGGACAGGAAACCGTTAGTTAGTACCTTCTTTGTTGAGATTTTCTCAAGCCTTGTTAGTTCACCCGACTTTATCCACAAGCAGAGGATTTTGGCCCGTGGTGAGCAGCTCATGTTGAGGACATTCTCATACCACCATCGTTCGACTATGCCACCATTTGTGCTCTTTATCAGCATGCAGTCATCGCAGACCTATTGGAAAACAGGTTAGTTACTTTTTAGCCCTAAAATACACGAGTTTTTTAAGAAGCAGGCATTCTCAGGCTTCTGAAGAGAGCGGGAATAAACGGTTTGGATTTTCGTTTAAACCCAAAACTCAAAGATTTATTTAGAAAGTAGGAAAAGCCTTATCGAAACTATAAAGCGGGCACCATAACCACGTGCGACATCGAACACCAGAAAAATCAAAATCACTGAAATTTTTTCCCGTAGAAATAATGAAAAATGTAGAAATTAAAGGGAACTTTTGCCCACGCGCCAGTTCTCGAAACTGTAACTATCTGAATATATATCGTCTTATAAATTTTCTGCAATTAATGATAGCTTTCCTTTTAAATTCGTTATCTCAGAAACAAAATTCAATCCCTTAAAAGATATCAATAAACCTCACAAAAAATGCAAGATGTGTGGCCTCGAAACAATCAATCGAAACACTGAGTACAACATTGACATACACAAAGTTTTCATTCATAATAGTTTCTTTTGTAAAATGCAACATATCTCAAGCAAAATTTCTCAAGATACTCAACACAAATCACTACTAACAACATATTGGGATACAAATGTTCCCACTTTCCTACAAAAGTTTATCGCTTTCTTAAATAGGATCTTAGATTTAAAATGAAAATGAAAAAAATGAATTCCTAACTAGAAATCATATATCTTTATTAACGATAATATCGTTAATACAATATTAATTTTTCCTTCTCTCTTCTACTTTACTTACTCGATTCCGTGGCCAAAGCAAAATTTAATCGAATGGAAAATTTTTGAGCGCCAAAATATAAATCTTTATGACGCAATGTCTTTTGTATTTACCAACAAATGAAAATTTTTGACAGGATTAATTCATTCAGGAAAGCAAGTCCCCGTTAATCAAAATCTTTCCTCATACAGTACCGGAATCTTGACCCCAGCCATTAGTTTGCAAAACCTTAAACTGGATGTCTAAACATATACACAATAAATTCAAAAAAGTAAAAAATGAGTTATTTGAAGGATTGCCGAAGCTAATTTCAGAACCATGACTTAAAGCCATAACCCTACCAATTTTAGAGACAAAAATTCAATCATTTATTTCAAATCGTCTCGCATTTAGATCAAGTTCCCAATCCATCTCTCTCAAATTAAAAAATAGCAGCAGATACAGAAGCAAATCATACAACTGATTAAGTAAGGAAATTTGAAATAAACTTAATTTTTTAACGCATGAAAAAGTTAGAACAGGCAGTTCACATACCTCGATAAAAAAAACAGGGCCCGATTGATCTTCACCAAGATGAACAACAAACACGTGCTTTTTCATCGTTCGGCTTCGCAGAGGTCTAAGATCTATATCATTTCCATGCTAGAAATAAAAATTAGTAAGCAATCAGGGAAAGTCTTAATGTAAGACCATGGCGCTTTGACTTCAAGAAGCCAAGTATTTTTAATACGTAAAAAATAACTGGAGCTTGGCAATTAAGAAAACGACCTGAAATGTTGTTCAGGGATTGCTAGTAAACCTCGTTACTAATTCTATCACAAATATAAGCCCAAGTTTAAAAACATTTCGAGAAAAAGAAAATTCGCCTGCAGAAGCATAAAGATATTGTTATATTGACAGAAAGCGATGCTGTCTGAAAGAAGGACTTTCGTGGTTCATTTACCCATACCTTAAAAGTTTGCTTAACACTATCCAATATCGTATATACTGGTATATAGAGAAAAAATATCGTATATTTTACTAGCATTATACCCCCGGACTCAAAATTACTCGGCATTTTGTGTTTTTCTCGCAAACATTCTCAAAATATAGAATACGTATTCCGAGACGTACTTACGGTTAGTCCTAGACTAAGCCCCCTCCCTTAGGATAAGCCCCACTCCCTTTGGACAAGCCCCCTCCCTTTGGATAAGCCCTCCTCCCTTCTAATAAGCTCCCCTTCCCTCGAATAAGGCCTATCTCAAAACATTTTTTGCGAAATAAGGCCCCAGGGGCATATTCGATGACTTACGGTAATGGAGGCTCATGACCTGTTTATCAATCTGTGTTTCTTTTGCTAAAGACAAATTTACTGTTTTATCTGGAATTCCTGTTTGTAATTACTAAGGAGCTCAGAGCTTCCCTTTCCATGGGAAAACGGAAGGAATGAAACCCACCAGATTATCGATATTGTCCAGCAACACATTGATACATTGCGTGTGCACGAGCCCTATGTGCGATTTTCCAAGAAGCCTTCTAATCTTCCGCTTCATTTTTGTTTTGTCAACTTGCATTGTCACCATAAATGCAATCATATTATGAAGAACAGTCGAAAGGAGTTTGTCTTCCTCTTCTTCAAGACATCTTCGTTCAGCTGATCCAAGAGATTTATACCTGTTAAAAAAATAGCGTTACTTTAATCTATTTAGTTAGTTTGTTTAAGAACAAACAAAAAAAGAGGCCCTTTACACGGGAAAATCTGAATCTCAAACATGTAAATTTTACTTTGGTTATTTATCAAGTGCTCTTGCAATGTTTACACTGAGTAAGGTGAAACTCGTACAGGCCTGAAAAGCAATTCAAACATAATTCAGTAACATCCTGCCTACAATTTCAAGGAAAGAACATTGTCGCCCGAGAAAAGACTTCCATATTTTTTAAAAAACAGATCTTTATAAATGGTTCTCTTCACAGCAGTAGCTCTATTATGGATCCCTTCCAAAAGAATGATAAAGTCAGTTTAATAAATTTCATTGAATAGGCAAACATAGGGGTGCTTTATGTTTATTCGAGTAGACATACGGTGGGTCGTGTCACATACGCGGGATTTTAATCTCGAAGAGTGACTAATCTCTACTTCTTGCTATTGTTTTTGAGACATTTTTACGAAACTCCTCTTTGCGTAGCACTACCTCTTAGATACAATTGGAGCAGCCTTTTATGCGCATGGGCTACAGAAATAATTGAGCAGCAATAAGCCATATCCAGAAGCCATATCCATATGTATATCCATGAACAGTGAATTGATATCTGTTATAGTTAATAAAATGTCATACCTTTCCAGCAATTCCACAGGCCCTATGTCCATACCGACCATTTCCCTTTCGGCTGCAACGCTGTCGTAAAAACAATGCTCCCAAAAATCCATATCATCCCAAATTGATGATCTCGGATTGAGAAGTCCTTCGAATATGAACCTTCGACCAGTCCCTGTGATTCCTTTGCTAACTCGCTCTTTCTTTGCTTCGTAGAGCCGGCCGTCTCTGAATCGATATCCGGCACTAAAAATAGATAAAAACCTGCAATGCGCAACCTAGTTACCAAGAGACAGCGGGATAAGCTAATACAAATTATATGGCAATTTATAAATACCGGGTCTTAAGATCCCGGTATTATCAGACATGATTGTGGTGTGGATGTGGAACGAAACACATCGACATGAAACCAGACCCACTGACATCACTAACACATTGAACTAAACAAAAACTCTGCTGAATTTTGGTGAAATCTTTCTCGAGCCCTTCTTAATCCGAGGACCTGATAAAAGTTGCCACTGTGCTTCCTACCTATCAAAAAGTAAGCTTTCACAGAAAAGGTCCATTACTTCTCTGTCCTGTTAAACCAAAAAGTGGAATGTACGGAACAGAAGAGACAGGACGAAATGATGCCGGTCTTTTTCTGAACACTGCTTGGATGACCAAACGGCCACTAGCAAATGACGATAAAAATAACCAAAATATCAGCCTTTTGTTCCAAATATTTGAAAAACATGCAAGAAAGCAGAAACAAAACATACTATAACACTTTTCGCCTGACACCCCTCAGAGAATAAACGTTGGAGAATTTCCAAATGGTAAGCAACAAATCTATATCCGGATGCGGATCGAAAGTAACGTGAGAGGAGGAATGACCCGTTTGATTGGCTCATTGTTTTAGCCAATCAGTGATAGCTAGCTCCTAACATAATTCGGGAGTCTATGAGTGAAGAAGAGCTCTTTCCACGAAATTGTGCTTCCGTGTAAACACATTCTAGAGCACCTAAATAAAAAGGCAAACTGCCTCAAGTAATGTCAAAGCAAAATAATAAAATTGTTGTGGTTTAAGAAGAGAAGAAGTCTCACGAAAAAAAAAGAATCTAGCAACAACGTTTAAAGAATTGAGACTACACTATTGCCAATTGCCACATACCAAAGATTACTCTTGCAGACGAGGTTCCTCTCATCTACCGACTCTTGTACATCTGTGGCCGATAAATCACCAACTGACATGCTTGAGTTTAACTGTGTTTTTGATGAAAGGGTCGTGTGGCTTAGAGATGGCAGTTTCTTAACTGTTCCTTGCCCTGCACGTTCGTCGTCAAACGATCCACTCTGCGAAGAACTTCGTCGCTGTCTTGAGTCGTGACTAGCCACATTTTGGCCTTCAAATACGCCATCAAATGAATCACGATTATGTGATACACTATCTAAAGAAGGCGCGGAATCCGAACTACTGCCTCGTTCTACTGACCCGTTTTGCCCTCCATTCATTTTAGTTATCGAGTTGTCATTATAATCTCCTCTACTGGCAGCAAATATGGACGACACACGCTCAGTAACACTTTGAATTGGCGAAGCTTCTGAAAAAAATGAGTTGAACATTAAAATGCGATGCCACACAGAATCACGTACCGAAAGCAACGGGGGAAAACTATTTCCGCCCTTCATTTAACATTTTGTTGCTACGCGCGGGCCAACCAACTTTACTCATTTTTCAGATCCCTTTGTTCAGAAAGCAAATTTTGTTCGTTCTGGCAGAGCGATCTGATCTGACTTTCAATGCACTTCGTGCGCGTTGGCTAAACTGCCTATATATTAGTTCTTTCTTGGGATGTAAACAGTAGCACAGACTCTTAAATGACACCAACAGTTCCTGAATATTAAAATTTTAAGAAAATGTATAAAAGAGTGGAGGGGCGATGAATGCAACTTCAAATATGTAACTTTGTCTGTAAATACGTATTACATAATTTTTTTCAAATGTACATTTTATTAGAAAACTTAGAACTAAATATCAAATTCTTTCTGCTTATCTTTTCTTAGTAGGCATCAAGACGCTTTTCTTTAAAAACCTACATTGAAGAAACTAAAAACATTTAAATGAAACACAAACGAAATATAGAGGTCGGCCTGTAAGCAAATCTATCGTCCTGTAGCGTTGACTTGAAAGGAGAAACGTCAAAATAAGACGTGAAATAATGGCATTACAAACCTCTGGTATAAACAATACTTGAATCACTTTTCGCATCGAGTGACAAAGTCATTCTAAGTTTCTGACCGTTCTCTTTTATTTTCGTGTCCTTCTTCTTGGATGGATTAACTCCGCCATCTTGGATACGCTTACCACAATAATGAGTGTGCATCACTTCAAGCATCGAGAAAAGCGAGGCAAGGCCACCAATGCCTTTTTGCTTTGCGCTGTGTTCGTAACCTTCAATGAGGAACCGTAACAATTCGACGATACCACGATACGTGTTACGCGAAACGTGCTAGAAGTGAAAGAAAGGTAGCATCAAGAATTTCAGAAAACAATAGACTCACAGTTTACAAAAATATCTTAAAGTGATTTTCCGGAAGAAATTCCTTGTCTCTATTGTACCTTTCAATTGAACAATTGAAAACGCTTTAGATTAAGACTTGGTTGAAGCTTCTTCCCATGAAGGATGGGGCATATGGGTGTATCGTATACTACACGTTTAGGGGGGGGGGGGGCTTATGGATCTTGACCGAGCATTATTGCTTCACTGATATAGGACTGCCAGAATGGCACCAGCCCCTATGTCTCCTCAACCTATGAGCGTTCCATTTTTCTAACACAAAAACATCCAATCCTTTGCATAAATTGTAGTAAGGATGTCCATTAGCTCACAAGAGAAGGGCTTGTTGGAGCTATTGATTGATTAAACTAGGTTTAACTACAGTAAACTAAATGAAACGATGGTATACTCTCATATATATGAGCAGGTATCCACAAGTCGGAATATATAAAACTTTGCTTACTATATCGCTAACTGCCTCGTCTTCTTCATCTTGCTCCTTGGGTTCATACAACTGTTTGAAAAGATATTGCCTCAAGCTTTCATGGACCAATAATTTACGCAACTTCTTCTGACTAAACCAGCCAACTCCATCGCCTTTTAAGACATTTGTAACAACATCATTGATAACCTGTTGGTTTTCACTGAAAGAGAATCAAAATTATGAGCTGCCTGGTAAAAAGCGTTTTTTAGCCATTCAAAATGAAAGCGAAGTAATACACATGAATATTGAAATAGACGGAAATATCTGAGTTGAAAATTTACAAAGGAATTCTGGTTTTAAATGGCCAAATTCGATCAGAAGGTTTAGATATATACAAACTCTGTTTAGTTGCTAGGTTTCCTAAAATTCTCATTCGAAAAAATTCCAAACCCGCAAGTCTGGTCTTTAATTAATGAAAAACCTCCATTGACATTAAACCTTATTTAGGCCTTTACTGTTTACCTGCATGTTACATATTTGTTAACAGATCAATTATTAACTGCTCTATGTCAATGGGCAGAGATGTGCATGTATTGGTGTGTAGAACAGGACGGTTCTAGCTTGCAAATCTGAGTTTTACGCTTAAAGGGGCGTGGGCAACCAGTAGCCTTTGCGGGCGTAAGCTGGGAAGGCGGCCATTTTCGTGGTCCATGAAAATGGTGGGCAGCTGTTAGCACAAGCTGTGCGCAAAATGAAACCAAATAGAAGCCTTCCAAAACGATCTAAAGCGCTTAATTGATACCAGAAATTTCCCATCGAATTCTCCTCGCCATTTTTGTCTTGCACAGAAGAACACAGTTAGAAAAACAAAACAAATGCGAGCGCGCAAAGGCTGCTGGTTGCACAGGCCCCTTTAAGGCAACCATGAAGCAACTGGCTTCAAACTGCATTTCAAGAAATGTAATTTTAAAGAGTGACAATAAAGCGGGAATACGCGTTCTGTTAAAAAAACAAGCAGAAAACATACGCATTGTGAAATCTGGTGTCTTTAATGGTTTTCTGACCACCAAATGAAGAACGATCTACCAGTCGATCAGGAATGCTCAAACGAAGTGAATTGCCTACAAGTTTGGAAAATATAACGAAAAAATTGGAAGAATATGATGACAGCCATTAATTAATATTTTGTTAACATTGGTCGAAGAAAAATATTCTAGGCTTATATCTAGTGGGAAATTAGGTTTGAAATGATGACATATACAATAGAAATTTCAGCGCACGTGGGCATAATAACACGTGGGCATAAGCACGTGGGTCAAAAGGTAACTCTCCAGGACAGTCAATACTTCTGCAGATAAAGTCTCACTAAAACCAATAAAGTAAGCACAAGCTGTATTGAAAAAACAACGTACCTTCTTCTATTTCCGACAATGGATAAGGATACGAAAATGCTTTTTGTTGCATCGGTGGTGTTGGCATACTATTGCATTCTGAACTTCCAGAGCTAACAAACGATTGTACACTGACTTCCGACTCAATAGAGCTCTTTTGAGACAAGCGCGGTTTTATCTGCCCAATCAACGCTGGATAAAAACAGAAATTAGTGCTTAAGTGTTGTCATATTACTTTAGGCTGACCCAACACTACACCTTCACTCAAGACATGTTATTCTCATTTCCAGCTAAGGAATCGCTGGAGACATCATTTCGTACTCACCATTTAGTCTCTCACTTGCACTGCTGCTCTGCCTTGAAAGTACGTCTTTCGCTTTTTGGCCAATACTGCTACTTGGTGTCAAAGGTTTCTTCTTGAAAACACGCTCGCCTGCATCTGAAGGTGAACTTTTCTCGTCGGCATCGTCAACGCTACTTCTTGCTGGATCTAAAATCGATTGAACTGTTGACGGCAGTACTTTCCCTTCATCTGATCCTGGACTGCAGCATTCTTGCCTGAAAGTTAGGAAAAACCCAATTACCGATTATTGTCGAGATTTTGAATCCCAAGAACTCCCCTCCCAATCCTGAAAAGGATTATCCTACTTTCTAAATGAAAAAAGTTGATTTCTTCCCTGATTCTTCTCCGCAAACTTCAAGATAGACCTTTCATGCAAAAGCAAGGAAAGTGAAAAGGAAAACTCTTAGAAAATCAAATCTTATATCGACCTTAAGAGTATCTCTATTGCTGGCACCAAAAACGGTGGTTCTTATTGTCTGTTTTTCTTGCAATGTTTCAATAATTTTGTTGTCATTTTCCAACAAGAAAGTGTTGATCATTTGTGCTGATACCTCACAAGATTACCAATGTTCAAAGGCACTAGGTTCGATGCATTGCGCTGGCAAATTAAATTTCCTATTGGCACATGCTACTTATGAAAGAATGCGCTTTCGTATGAATTTTGAATTTGTATAAGTTCTTCTATAACTCACTAAGCCTCCTCCAGCCCTAAATTTTTTAAAATAATACTGATTTCCGGCCGAACTAAATATTAGACTTAGCATAACTTTCTATAATTTCAATATCTGATGTCTTTGATTTTGTTCGGGAGATGAATCATGTCCGTCTTCCAGACATGCACTAGCCCCCGTTTCAGAGTCATTGCACATGCGCATTATCACTTGAAGCCCTGGTGATAAGCTCAAGAGTTGTGTGGTCATAGACAGGAAAAATGTGCGAATACTGTTATTAATGCGCATGTGCTATGACTTTGCAACACTGATTGGTTTAAGGTGGTATTGTTTGGAAACAAAGAACTGAAGGATTCGTCTCCCGAACAAATTTAGGGGGAAATTGGGAAATTCTCGACGCACTTGAAGGACAACCAAACATACGCAAACGCCCAATCAAGATAGGAAATATCCGCCTAGAAACATTGGCACGATCACGTGTTTACTACAAGGAATTTGATAGGACAAGACAAATATGTCAATCAGCAATAGCCAATGAAAAGAAGCCATTCAAACGAAACAATTCATTGCATGCATCGTGAATTCCATACAGTGACATAGTGATGACGTCATAAAACTGAATTTTTAGACTTTATTTCTTTTGAACATATAATCAGAAAGAGCACCATAAAATATCCCATAAAATTTTGAACAAAGGAAGAATAACTGTAATCCGCTGGGAAAATACAAGTCTTCAATTGGCCATAACTCGAGAAATCTGCAAAAGACTTTACTGATGTTGCATATTTCGGGGTACGTATTCTTCCTACTCCTGCGGTCAAAATAAAAATAAAAATAAAAAAAAACTAAAATAAACAGTGATTTGATGAACATACCTATGTGCTCTTGAGCGAAACACACTTGACTGAGTATTCAAGGCTGGCAAGGAACTTCTCTGCGAATCAATGATCTCTCGATTGTGATCACCGTTTTCAAGAGTGTTGAAAGACGAGTAAGAAGAATCATAAAGTTCTGAAATTTGCTGCAATAGAACACACAAATATATATATCTTAAAGTCAAATTTAGTTCATATAAAAGTTATATACTTGAAATATCGATTAATTCTAGATTTGCATTTTCTTTTTAATCTATGTTGAAATGCTTCAACGCCTTTTTGAACATTGAATGACAAAAGGAACAAAACAAACACATTTCCTAATCCGCAAAACTTTAAAACACTTTAATGCATTTCTTCTACTTTGAGATTGTTGAAATTGTTCATACTAAAAGCAATCTATCTTTTGGTGGTAGAAAACTTGAAAATGGCTTTAAAAAAGCAAACATTTAGTAAGTTAAAGCTTTTCGTCTGACACCCTTCAGAGTTTAAAACGTCAGGACATAGATCGAAAACTCTACGCTAGGAAATACAAAGGCAATCTACGGATACACAACAGTGGCTTAAGCCAGCTGTCAATCAACTTTTGGCCAATCAACAAACGCGTGAGTAGCATACGTTTATTGATTGGCTACCTTTGATTAAGACATGGCTTAAAGACTCATTGCTAACAATGAGCCTTTGCGAGAGTGGCAAATTATCCAGGCAACAATCCAAACAATGGCAGTAAACTTCTACTGATTACCAATAATTGATTTCAGACTGTCTGAAAATGCATTATGGGATGCTTGCGTAGCGCTATGGCTCACTGTTAGCAATGAGTCTTCAAGCCATTTTAGCATCTGTATCAAATCAACTGGGAGACGTTGCCGACCTTGCGGACGTTGCGGAAATCATCAATCGCAGCTTCAGGAAAGACGATTTTTAATATATGACTGCACGATGAAGTACCGATCATACTTCGACACCTTATAACTTGCCTAGGCAACACAAATATGTCCGTGTTTGCGGTAAGACAGATATCAAGACCAGTTTCAGATCTGACGATTTCCGATCTGAATTTACTTTAAACAGTTATTTAATCCGCGATGTTTTCCTTAAAACTACTTAGAAAAACAAAACATCAAACATGACCGCCAATTTTACCTCTCGCGCCTTCGTAGTTAAGTCAAGGTCCACAGACAGCGTCCTTTCTTTTTGCAAATGCATATACTCCTCATCACCAAGAGAAATATCACTATCAGATAAATCATCCTCGTCGTCAAAAAGAGGCCCAGAATCATCAGAATCATCAAGTAGGTCATGGCCTAGACTGGAGTGTGGATTGTGAACTTGGTAGTAAACTGGGGCGAGATAGTGACTGTACCATCTAGGTTTGTCGCCAACCACTCTTGGATCTAGTATTCCTAAAAATAAAATTTAATTGTATAGTTTTTATCTTAAAACTTTTTCTCAGAAGACAAGGATCGATGTGTGTTGTAACGTAAAGGAGATCGATGAAAGTTGACTACATTAGCAACTGAGCATCACAGACAATTTTTTCCTAGCCTTTTATGATGAATAGGTTAGCAATTCTTGCCTATGTGCCAAGGGACACGAATTGCAGCCAGAGATACCTCCATGACAGGAAGGCATGCAAAGCGGAGAAGCATTGAGTACGAGTGGTAGAAGCTCGTTGAAAAAAGAAAAGGATAATCACAAATATGATAGCCCCCCTCCCCCCCACCTGCGCTAGCGATCGCTCTCTTCTGATACCAAAATTCTTGGTTCGAGTCTACAGATCAACAGCGGTAGTAGACTCGTGTGGTTTCACTTTAAGATAATTTTTTTACTTCGGACCCAGTAGCCCTTGTCACAGTCACCGGCTTGTACTCCGAGTTTAAGAAGCAATTACGGTAATTAGTTATAAACAATCTTTTGGTGGTACAAAACTTGTAAATGGCTAAGAAAAAAGCAAACATTTAGTAAACTAAAGCTTTTTGCCTGACACTCTTTAGAGTTTAAAATGTCAGAACATAGATCGAAAACTCTACGCTAGGAAACATATATGCCCAGTTGTGGAAAGAAATAGGCCAATCAGAAACACGAGCACATGACTGTATAGGTTGACCAATCAGTGCCGCTTGCCTATTGAGCCCTTTGTAATTAGTTATTTGGGATAAACTAAACCATAGCACCCTATTGAATGATCAAAAGACGAAAACATATCCTACGAAAAAAAATCCAACTCAGATATGAATGGAAACGCCATACAGAAGCAGCTCACCACTTTGGACTTTCCGATAAACTGTGTTTGTTGGGTTAACGAGCCACTCGGCATAATATTCTGCAGCCTAAAGGTGAAAAAGAAAAAATCAAAACCAATGATCAAATGATCAAACTATTTTCCTAATTTCGGTCTTCTATCAATGGGCAAATTCAGAAAGAGTGGAGACAAGAAGAAATGTCACATGCTGCTAATTCTAATCATGAATAATCATTGATTAATCATTACAATCACAAATCCCTATTTCTCAAATTCTGAGAATCATTTTTTACAAGAGAAGAAACTATTTGGGGATTATGAGAGAAAAGGTAGGATCTACTTGATTTTCTCTAAATTGAGAATTCGAACTACTTATACAGAGATACTCTTAACGATGAGATATTTGAGGAAATTGTTCTTGCTATATGTGTCATAAACATGTTTTGAGATGTTAAACGCCTACTTTCAGCACAAAAACACAGCAGATATTTCAATTTTTTTTACAAACGGTTTGATTACAAACCAATGTTTTGGCTGAAAATCTAAAACTTGCTTCGTCTGATCTGCGAAGAACATAGGTATATCATCTATTTCTAATTTAAATAACTTGCAAACGACCATTTTAATGCAATTCCTTTCCAGTTCTCAAAATGAAGTTTTTACAAAGATACCAAAGCAAAAGCAACTCGTAAATTTACAACTTTCAAATTATATAACAGTTTAAAGGCACAAGTAGAACCGTAAAATCGTAATAACTTCTTACCTGAGTATCTGCTAGTGCTGGTAAGAGTTCTGACGATGTTGGCCTCGAATACACAAACGTATCCTTTTGAAATGCGACAACTGGCCTCGAATACAGGCGCAATATCCTACAATGCTGTGCAAATTCACCAATTACGTTTGGCGATGTGAAGAATTTAACGAGCGAGGCTCGAATAGCGACGTCAACCGAGTCGATGTCATTGCCATAAATTATTTCGCTGAGCTTTGAGCCCGAAGTTGAAGTTCGGTGGGAGCCGATTGATTCGTTGTCAGCAAACACGCCTAAGTCGTGCATACTGTGCGGGTACAAGCTTAAGCAGTCGAGACACTGTAAACAAGCACGAAGAAGGTAAAACTGATAAATTCAGCAAAAGAAGAATACAATCCTGGAAATTCTTATATCTAACTCAAGTTTATTGATATTTCAAAGAAGCTGACTTTACGATGTTACAAAAATGATCTGAACTAAACATGCGACCTCTAGGTATTTTCTGTCGTGCAAATGTACATTCCGTCATAACCCAACAGAACAGCACGATACAAGTTTCAGCCAAGCTTCCCTGTGATAACTAATCGCCATGTGCGCATGCTTGGATTGAAGCGAAGTGCTGATTATTTTAGCACTGGCCTCTAAGCTCAGGTCAGGTCACATTTATATCAAATAGCCCCCCCCCCATCCCGTTACAAACGCAGTTGAGGTCCCTTCCGTTCAGATGCAAACAATTTAGCATCTTCTTCGTCAAACGAAATAAATCATAAAAGATATAAGTACAGTACAAAGATTGTCTTATCAATTGCTTTTCTGGCTATAGCTTACACTGTCACATGGAGAATTGGCATCTTTGGCAATTCGAGTGCAAGAAAGATAAACAATATTTGTAGACTTTTCCCATAAGGTTTACAATAATTTCAGCTGATCTAGCGATAGGATATCCAAGATAAAAATACTGATAATACAAAAAACCGATAAACAACAGCGGTCATTTTTCGCCGTAACAAGTTCGCAAGTAATTCTGGGATATCAAACATGCAAATTTTCCTTATAGAAGATCTGATGACTTTTGCGTTAATCTTGTATTAAAAACCGCATTATTGACAAACCACCTGCATTTACAATGCCTAAGAGTAAATCAACAGTCATCTGACACACAATGAAGCTTGTATCTTCTGTCATTCACCGTAAACCCTCCCCTCGTACAGACCTCCTCTCAAGTTAGCCCCCATTTTAAAACTGCCTGAATAAATAAGTCCCCAGGCGGTGAATTAGAGGGTTTGCAGTATACTTATTTCTAGCAAAAATTAATAACATTTCCGACAAGGGGTTAGTGCTAAATTTCATGTGAATTGTAGGATAGTAAAATTGCCAAATACACTTGATGAGCTGAACGATAGAACGGAAAACGAAACATTTCATCCGCGTATTTTTAAGATGTTTTTGTCCGATATTTACCAGAACATAAATGTCTGGAAGATAACAAATGGGTAAACAAATTATACGGATTAAAATACGCCAAAAATAATCTCACACCTGATTGGCTTGTGTTTTGACCAATCAGTGCATTTTGGTTCGATTGAAATGATGTTTAATCTCGATCAGCCCATAAATATACTTTAACTTAAAACCTCTTTAATTAGACACAATCACACCAAGAAACCTTTTCGATTGAAACGTGGTCACCCTTCAAATCCCGAAAAGTTTACCATGAAAATAGCTTCTACCAAAAAATGTTCAGTGGTACTACGAGGAAATTGACCCCCCCCCCCCCATTTTCAAGTAAGGCAAATTTTTAATAATTTATAGGTGCACTTTTGATTCATGGTCGTTCTTCCATTTTTAAGTTCAGGACATGAACTTTATTTTATAAAAATTGAATTCTTCGCCCTACGCTGCGAATTTCTCAGTTTCCTTGGACGCAATCTAAACATCACTGTTACTTCATTAATCTGAAAAAACATTTGTTATAATTTCAATGAAACTTACATTTTCAAGTAAGGCAAATTTTTAATAATTTATAGGTGCACTTTTGATTCATGGTCGTTCTTCCATTTTTAAGTTCAGGACATGAACTTTATTTTATAAAAATTGAATTCTTCGCCCTACGCTGCGAATTTCTCAGCTTCCTTGGACGCAATCTAAACATCACTGTTACTTCATTAATCTGAAAAAATATTTGTTATAATTTCAATGAAACTTAAGCAGAGGTCGAGGATCCTTTTGATTGTTGCAACAAAAAAGCTGTAATGAAAAACAAACATGGCCTAAAACAAAAATAAAGAATAATTGAGTTACCTGCTTAAGTTGCTCTCGTAAAATTGATCCTTCTGGTTCAGGAAGTTGGGGAATTTCATCCATGCTTAGTGGAACGCCCATCTGAAACAATTTAAATCGAAAAATTAAACAAAGGCCTTTGGCTGAAAATGAAGACTTGGTTAAAAAACTAAAAACGGAGACTTCTCTATGGAGCAATACTTGAGGTTCTCTATGTTTCTTTGATTAAAATAGATACATCCCTTAAATGGCATAGCCAGGAGTGTAGTGCCAGGGGGCTCAGGGGGTTAAACCCCCCTTTTTAATGCCAAAAATGGGCAAATTTCTACTTTTGCTATTGTTTTTTGTAACATTTTGGGCAAGAGACTCCCTTGTTATTTTGATAGCACTACACCACTGGGCACAACCTTACGATGTATCATGTTAAAAAGACTCGCATGCTAATTTCGATTGTATTTGCACCCTTTTACCCCGTATTTAAGGCACCCCACCCTTATAGGTACCAGGCTACGAAAGGGAAAGTTGTGAAGAATGAGAGGGAATTTTCCGGCGGCACTTTGTCGTCGCCGGAACTTTAGGAAGAGACATTAGAAATATAAGAAACAAAAAGAGCTTGAAATGCTTTGCTGTTGTGAAAAAATACCAGGCTTACGTTAGTTGCAAGGCAGAGCTTATATTATTGCAGAATTTGAAAGAACTACATAAATCATATGTTACCCTTTCGAAACTCAGTTTCATCGGAGATCCGATAAAGAAACTAATTAGCAATAAGGGCACATGCACCCTAAACGGTAGAGCCCTTAAAATGACACCATTAGGTATTCATAATTTTATAGGTGTTTCGTTGTTTGATGAATGATAGATGCCATTTTTGAAGATTTGCTATAAGAGAGGAAACAGCTAGGATGAAGGCTAGATAAACTCATGACCTTTCCGATTACCTAATTTGGTCGGCCTGCCAAAATTATTCAAAAATTGAATGAGAAAAAATTGTTTCTCCTCGAATATCGCCATCTTTAAAATTAACATCGCTGATGCATTTTTGCAATGCCAGCCACAAATGCAAAGCCGAGGAAGTGTTTATTGTCCTCTGTTGTATTTTTCCAATCATTGTCCATCGTTTAAAAAAATGAATGTGCCACTATGAAGTTGCAGTTGATCAATTTCAAGCGAATTACCCGAAACGTGATGTAAAACAGAAATCTCAAAAACAGGATGGTTTTACAATTATCCCAACATTATCCCATATGCATATGTAATATTCCCAACACCATCCCATATATATAAATTATCCTGACAAAGGAAATGAAGAAGATTTGTAAAGTCATCAATATTTGATGACTTCAGAGGGAGACGAAAGTGCAAAATCTTGTACAAAATCGAAGACATTCATATACATTTTCATGTAATGAAGAGTGGACTCCGCTTGATTATGAAAGCTCTTAAAAATAAATCTGAGATTTTGAAATATAGCTTTTATCATATTCTTAATTTTTAAAAAAGAAAAAAATATTATTTGTTTAGTTCAATACGTAATCAATGCATTTTCTGTGTTGTGAACTTTCCATACTTTGCGTAAATAAATTTCGCTATTTTTCCCTACACCATGCAAGCCAAAGGAATATTTACTTCTATAGGCCAGAAAACTGGTCTTGCAATCTTATAAATCACTCACATTGAAATTGCCGCCCTAAAAATTTCCGAAGTAGACAAAACATCGCAGACCTGTGACAGGGCAGAGAGTAACATGCATTGTAATTTTATATAGTCTTCTCTAAAAGGATTTAGATTTCTAAAAGATAGGTGTTTATCTCTAGCTCACCTTTGACGTATCTAAGTCAACTATTAAAACATCTGTTGGGATCTGGAAATACTGTGTCTTGTAATGAAGAAAACTTGATGGCACCCCTATAACGTATGGTGTTGGTGCTAAAAGAAGCTGAAAAAATATAAGCTGGTTACAACATGCTTAAATGAGATAAAAAATACTAAAGGAAAAACAAGTGCAAAGCAGATATAATGACTAGGAGGGCTACAGCCCCCTAATCAGGCAAAATTTGTCACATTTCAATTTTGGCAACTCTACCTCGATGTAGCAGTAATATTCAGTCAGTGCAGTGCACCCCTGGTTATAATCATTTCAATGTTGAAATCCAAAACTTTTGATGCCTTACAAAATTACTAACAAAAACCTTACAAAAAAACCCAAGGGCTAAAGTGCTGTTTCTGTATTATTCATTTCTTTTCTCACTGCTGCTACTTCTGCCCCCTTCCTCTCAAAACAACGATGATAGTTATAATAGCATGTCATATGTAAAAGCATGATTTCTGACCTCAAGCATCAATTTTCAGATGCATTATGAATAAACAGCATATGTTCAAGCAGCATTACACTTTTTAAGGATTTGTCACGTCAATGAGAAGAAAAGGGCCCTTGTTTTCTACAAACAATGACTTCATTCTAGCGACCAACACATTGATCTCTTTGAGAAATTTATTTGATTATTCTAGTTATCTGAAGGTTGTAGGAAATCAAAACCCAACAAATTAAAAATAATTATGATTGTCATATTTTCTTACAATAAAACAAAAACAACATCACAGGTTATGTCAAGTGTGACCATATAGATATGACAGGTTACAAATTCGAATCTAGTGAGCTTAAACAAACATTCTTGCATTCCATAAAGATGACATTAGCTTTAGTTTTATGGGGCAGGCATAAATATCATTCTATATGTGCTTCAATTATTATGTAAGAAAAGTCTTACAATTAGCACGTTTATCTGACAAATTTGCCTTGACAGAAGAAAGGATCGGAATTTGATTTGCAAACTTGATTCATATAACAAAACACAAAAAAATCCAAAAAAATAAAAATAAAAACATGTTAGGAGGTACTTGCTCTTAACAACCCTCACCCATGGGTGTTCCTGTAGTGAAATACTAGTTTGTTGGGAAAAAAGTAAAGACTTTATGAATTCAGCCTTAGCTGAGAATCAAAACAAAAAAATTACATCTTACTTGTTCTGCATTCTTCATGCATGTTGGCAGAAGAGGGATCATAGGAAACATGTACTCTAGGGGGTATAGCATTGATGTCAGAGCCATGACACTGATTGATAATGCATTATAGTCATCAGACTGAAGCAGAACCTGCAAAGAAACTTCCTGAATTATTTGAAAGTCATTTTGGTGATGGAAAATAACACATAATCTGAAAATTTATGGTTAATGACAATAAAAATTTTATGAAAAATATGCTTGTGTTGATAATTTTTTATCTTTAGGGCATCACATTTTGTGAATAAAGTCCATCTTCTCTAAAATTTGAAAGCCTTTATTTGGCTTTAGAAATGACCTTAAATTGTATAGCAACATTTCATTTGCACGACCATATCATACATAGAATTTTTCATCACTGGCACTGACAAATTCAGGATAACTGGCACCATATATAGATGATGGGATTCTCTTTAACCAGATTACTGTTTGCATTAATTTAAAGTAGATTCAAAATATTTGTAATTTTCTGGTTCTGTATGAAATATTGATGATTTTGTAATAGTGGTATAATTGCATTAAGCTGGGAACAGGTGCAGAGTGTGTTATGATATCATAATAAAGCATATTCGTACTGACTTACATGATTAATAATTTATATCATGAAACAGTTGTTTGGTTCATAATACCAAAATAAGCCTGTATATCAATACTTTAAATGAATAAAATCAGATAAACATGTGAACAAATAGGAAAACTGGCAATTTGTACCTGAGGGTTAAACATGAAGAAAAAAACAGAGCAAGGGTGGGCTCTGTTGTTAACAAGACCACAAAATTCATAATTTTGCCTTGAATGTTAATTTGCTTTGTTATTCATTTTCCGATCGAATACTAGCAACAAAAACACTTCAAGCAAACAAAATACTGAGATAGCAAAAACATAGTTTTGAATTTAAGCTTACATTACATATCAACCTTTGTTTCATGATTTGAAATCCAAATTTTTCTTAAATTAGAATTTAAACTGTTTCTACAAATACATTTTTGAAAAAATCGAATTTTTAGAATGTGTTTTTCAGTAAAAATGAAACTGGCTAAATTAATGAATTAAAAAACAGCCGACGTAAATTGCTACAGGGCTGAAGTTATCATGTTAATATTACATGACATTAAATCAAAAGTCAGATGAAAAAAATATAATTTGTAACAGCCAAATTATTTGATAAACTGCTTTGTATAAGATATTCTGCTATTAAGTGCATGCTTCAAAATAACAATTAGAAAGCTATCTTCCAGAGTCATTGAACCATTGATAAAAAACCTTACTTATAAAAACCTTAACAAAATATAACTGCTGTAGTAAAAGACAATACAAAAAAAGTCTCAAAAATCATCCCGTAACTGTAGATGCATTTGGCTGGGTATCAAAAAAGACTAGAAAGAGCTTTCAATGAAGTATTTTGAATTTTTTTCTTCAACCGGCAACATTGCATCCGTTTTTCTCCAAAACATCAACAAATATTTTTATAACAATTGCAGGTAGTAGCTCAACTTTGCTAGAGTAAAATAAGATGTCTAATGCTGGATTTTCCAATGTCTGCAACAAATAATGATAAAATGCAAACAAAAAAGTATGTCAGCTAAAAACTAAACAACTGTACATCAAAAGACTGCAATGCAAAAGATCAAGTGGCAGCAGCAGCCTTCTTATATTCAAAAGTATTTAAGAACGGAATTAAGAATATTGAGAACAAACTTTGGTGCAGCTGAAGAATAGCTCCCTTTTTCGAAAGAGAAAAAAGGGTTAATATTGATGCACAGGCTCTTGGAATACCAGCAAAATAAACAAAACAGGTAAAGAGGTCTATTCTTCTTCTAAAAGAAGGGCTGCTTTAAAAACCTTGACTTGGTTAATTTATAGAGTGAAGTGATCTTGACATGTTTTAATTTAAATGAAAAGAATTTCCTTTGCTTGAATTTCTGACCTCTTACCTTATTTTCCAGTAAGATGCATGTTAACACTTTGAGGCAAGTATCAACACCTAAAAGCTCCAAGGGTAGATGCAAAGGAAAATCTAGCATTGAAAACCTGCTCTTTTCTGGTAATGCAAATGTTAATGGCGGTTGTATGTGCCTTGGCAATAGTTCTACTTCGATTCGATTTACCCCAGCAATAGGTGGAGGTACAGTTAACAGCCTGTCTATCCACAATTCTATTTCACGAATTTCATTGATTTGTTCGTAGCCTGCAAAGCTTTCTGGGTTAAGAAACATTGACCAGTTTCTTGAATTTGGCTTAGGTATATATTTCATCATATGGTTTCCTTCAGTTACAACATCCCAGTTCTCTGCTATCTTTCCCAATGTAACAGTTTCCAAGTTCCTTGTTTCAACAATTTTCCGAAGCACGAACAAACACTCGCGAAAAGTCGATAAAAAAGGCCGTTCTGATATAATGCATAAACTTGTCAAGCTTCTGCACGAAACAGATTTGTAAGAACTGCCATCTTCAATAATTTCAGAAGACTCCAAATGTCGCAGTGATTCACCACTGGGTTTAGAGTCATAAGAATCATCAAACACAGAATCGCGTTCTCTGTCTAACGATTTTAGTCCAATACAAGGTCTGAAAAAATTACAACATATTCCATAACGGACAATGCCACTATCCTTTTCTGTCAATGTAAACACGAAAGAATTCGTATCTTTCAAACTCAGGCGCTTCGATGCACTCACACATCCTTCAGGCTGACAGAAAAAAACAACATCAACAGGCAGTGGGAAGTCCTTGTGTGGCTGTTCCGGGAAACATCTCAAAAGCTCTGGAGCTTGTGTGGATTCCAATACTGGCTGCCTATTTCCTACCACTATAAGATAGTCAATTAATCTAGACATCTTCAAACAACTAGATATGTCTTTTTAAGCCAGAATATGTGCTGCTGCTGGTCCAAGCTATCAAGCGAAACTGGAAGCGTCCTTTTGTGGCCTAGGCATATATTCTCAGTCAAACAAATTCTCATTAAGCCGTGACAACTATTGGCAATCATATGGAACAAGACACCAATCAAAATAAGAAGGAAATCATCTCTGAATGGCGAAAAGAGGATTCTTGTATTTATTTTGAGCAAACAATCCTATAAGAAACTTCTCCGTTCTTTCATTCATCTTTCCGATACCATCTTGCTCAACTGATTATGCTAATGTGTGCACCTGTTATGTATGTAATAATCACGTGACCGTCAACTCCGAGTTACGAATTTCCTTCGCAGAAGCATGACAATTATTCTAAATTACTTCCGCAAAATTATGTGTGTCCCTAAATATTGTGTACGGTGCTATAGTCGATTTCTTGTATATCAAACTTCAACCTTACACTGAAATACCTGCGATCGTTCACAAAAATCGCATGGCTGTATTGACTGTTCACCCCTTCTCCAACAAAGCAAGGTTGTTGGTGTGGTTTTCAAAAGATGTGGATTGGATGGTAGATGTTAGTGCCATAAAAGCATTTCTTTGTGATAGGAGGGACATCACAATATATGTTGTTTTAGTGAGATATAAAACGTTTTTTAAAGAGGAAGAATTAATCAGTGGACACTGGCCTAAATTGTAGAGCTGAACAACAAAAGCTAGATTTGGATAAGTTAGATTTCTTTCTCTAAAAAGCTAGAACGTAATCGAATTAAGATAAGTTGACAACAAGCAAACAAACAAGCAAGCTGTAGAAAGAAACACTCATCATCATGAAATGAGACAAAATTATTACACAAACAAAAATATAACAGAAGGTATAATTTTCCTTCCTCTCCTTGCCTCTTGATTTTTTATAGCATATGTAATGATCCATAGCCATTGTCCTATTTGTATGTGTCAACAACCCATGTCATTTATGTCATTACATGCTACATTAACCAGGGATAAGTCAGTAAGAGTTAGAGTACTGGACTAAGGTTAAATATCAGGATCAGAGTTTAAAAGTACAAGTGTCTTGATCATTATATGTCTCTCTCTGCTCGGATCCACAAACGTAACACATACAAGGCTCTGGTACCCGGGATATGTAAATCTAAAATATAAACTTCAGCGCCTTAAAAGTTTCTCAACACCATAACAAGAACAAAGGCATAAGGAGCTTTTATTAGACATAATTTTCCACTAAAGAAGCTGCAAATCAACGATGGTTCTTTTGGCACTTGCCTTTATAAATAAAAAGAGCTTTCATACGGTAATGCTAAGATGGAATTGACCATGCAAAACTTTCAAGCATTCCAGATAAATAGATTACAGCTATAGACTTGGTGTGATTACTGAAATCCTTGCTTTCAGTTACCAAATTTTCAATCACATATTTTCCTTTAGAATTCCGATGAAAAGACATAATCCAAGAAACAGAAAACGCTTTTCTAAACAAAGTTTCTTAACTGAAACATTCAGTAAAAGATAAAATGGCATCGGCTTCGACTCACGCTATCCCTACCAAAATTTTGGCAATTGGCTAATTTTGCTATACTGTTAGTCAGTGGCGGCGCCAGCTACTGCCGAGTGGGAGGGTAATGGGCGTAGCCAGTGAGACCACGCCCTAATCGCCTCGTTTCAGTGCAAATTTCCTTAGGAAATATGATCTACCCCTACCTAGTGCTTTTTAACCCGTTTTTAAACGAAATATGTAGACCATGTTTCGAAAAAGTGGGGGGGGGGTAATTATCCCCCATACCACCCCCTGGCGCCGCCACTGCTGTTAGTGTTTTCGTTATTTAAATAAGAGCATATCAAACTACACAAGAAAAGAATGATGTTTGATCTACCTGAACTTATAATAAAATGGAAACTTCTTAAAGATAAGGGTTCGTGGTTGCCAATGGGAATACTAAAAATGCAAATATCTATTCTTTGTCGTTTTCAGGAACATAAACTTGACATTTATGGAGACTGGGACAAACATTTGAGATGGTGTCAAGATGACGTCACAATACCTTTGAAAAAACTGAAGCTCTTTGCCCTTGTCGAGAGATTTAATTTTGACTGTTTAACAAAGTATGAAACCTCTAAGAGGGCACGACTTTTAAAAAATAAGAGGTTTTACAGGGTAGACGAAAAGATACGAATAGGACTAATTGACCAATAGAGAAAACGATAATGACCACGAGGTAAAAAACCGGGATGAAAGCAAGACGGGCAAAACCTTTTGATTTTAATTAATTTCTACTTAGAAAAGCCACTACGTAGATAACTGGTAGCCTCATTAAACGCCTACAGGCTTTAAACAAATAGCTCCTGGTTCTTAAAGGAAATAAATTTGTGGTTTTTTATTGCAGTAAAAAGAAAAAACTGACGTAAGTTGGCGTGGTATTAAAAATTCTTTGCACATCAAATGAAGAAAAGAGACAGATCATTTCATGATCTCCTCGAGTGCATAATAGATGCTTTTTCCTTATTAACAGAAAACATGCCATAGGTTATTAAATAGCATATACAATTTTCAATGATTTGTTTTTCAGTTCATCACAGTCTGGAGACCCATTCGTTTGTTTAATTTCTCAAAACTTCAGCTGTTTCTTGCTCATAATAGTATCCCAATTACATAATCAGAGTTTTTTTCGAAGCTTCTCTGCACATAGTATTTAGCTAACAAGTTAAACTTTTATATTTGCAGAGTTTAAAAACAGCGTTGCTATATTCAAAGGCCAAGGCCACATGGAAGGCTAGTAAGAACGAAATTAGACTACATTATTCAAATCCTGCCATGTTTCCTCTTTTTAGGAGAGGTTACAAAGCCTAAAGCGGCCTTGAATACATGATAAAGTTGCGTCGGAATATTCCTTGTTATCGGCAAATATTTGATTTCCGTCATGATTGTAATGATGAGGTTTTCAAAATCAGCAATCATTCATTTCTAGTACAGTTCTTGACATAATAAACATTTCACGGACATCGTCGGACATTCTGAAACACATGTAAGATTTGTTGTGAAGTACTTAAGTAGAATTGCCATAATTTTAGGCATTTGATCTTTGTACGTGGAAAAATTAAAAAACTACACTAAAACCAGAAGAAAACATACTAACTAGAAGTGGGGGGTAGGGGAGGGGGTTGCTCCAGTGAAGTAGTGACCATGCGAGTAAGAATCATGTAAATACGTATAGACTTTACATAAAAATGATTTTTGACTGCTGTAAACTTGAACTTTTATACGATTTACTTTTGATTTAATTTATCAGAACACTAGCAATAACAATTTGGTTTGCAGTGATATATTAATCGTGTCCTGTTAAAAAATTCCTTTATTATTATCATCATTATTATTTTGATTCTGGTTACTTTTTTCTCTCAGTTTTCCCTTTTACCTAAATGAATGTTTTAGTTTTTTCTTGTAAAACCGTCTACACTCATTCTTTTTATAAGAAACTGGCTATAAGAAACGAGTACTGGACAGTCAGAAAAAATTAAGAAACTTCAGTACTCACAGCAAAAAAATTAAGAATCAATTAAATCGTGATAAAACTGAGAACAACGAAATTTTGTAAAATCCAAGAACAAGATTGCCCTGTTGGCCTAGAACTTAAGACACAAGGGATAAAAATATACTTCCCACATCTAAATACAATATCGGAACGGAAGCGAATTTCTTGACGTGATAAAAAGGTCATGAACATTTCATAACATCATTCATGACATCATAATTAAGAAACTCTTAAGAAACAATGAGTATTGAAATTTCCAGAACATTAAGAAACTGGAGTACTCAACATCGACCTTTGTTTCTTATAGAAAAAATGAGTGTAGCCATTTTTAAATCATCTCGTAATAGTAAGAATTGTAGTTTTTGTTGAATTGAAAATGAAATGTTTTCATAATTACTATTGATTTTCAATCTTGAAGACAATAAGCTATTGTCTTCCTTTTGTGGGACGAGAAAGTCTGAGCCCTAAGCTGTTGTTCTTTAAAAAGCCATGATCTATAACTAGTTTTGAAATAAGACCACGACGTAAATAAAAAAGTAGAGAAGAATAAAAAAGATCGAAATAAAATAAAGAGTTAAAAAGTAAAAAGTAAAAGAGTAAAAAAAGTTTATATCTTTTTCAAATAAACATAGTTCCCTAATTGCTCATTAAGCTAATTTATATTATATCTAACTTCCGTAAAATATCTAGTTTTTTGACCATAACATTTCACTTTTTATCTCTGCGTGATATATCTATAATTTTTTACATATGAAAATCAGGTATGACCCACTTACAAAATCACCTTTAGCTGTTGTAATACCTAGCCATGAATTGAAATAAAATCAGACATTTTGTAACCTGCTTAGGCTTCTCGTCTGACACTCTTCAGAGTACAAGACGTCAGAACAAAGTTTGAAAACTCGACGCTAGGGAATATATGTATTTATCCAGTTGTTGATTTAAATAGGCCAATCAGAGATGCGAGCACGTGCCTGTAGAGGTTGCCAAATCAGTCCCACTTGCCTGTTTAAAAGGTTTTTGGATGCCTGAAACCGGTTTTTAAAATTCTCTTTAACCTCCCATTCCTTCTGGCAGATTTGTTTTAGTTTGAAAAACGCTGCGATGGTGTTTTATGAAAATGTTAGCAAAGTGACATATCTGTGTTTGTTATAGTAATTTGGGCTTCCAAGTGCCCGTTTCTGTTGTTTGCCTCTCCATCTCCACGTACTGTGTAAGTCATTCTTACAAGTTACTGTACTTTTTGCACCCCACTACCAAGGCCGCGACCAAGGCCACCGAGAGCTGCCTTTCCAGAATTACAGCTAGGTCTGTCCTTTCTATGTTATTTAGGCCACGGCGCCCATATCTTTGATTTATAAATCTTGGTGCCCTAGATTGCTATCCTTGCGATCGCCAGACCTGCAAATAGTCACCTAATCATAATGAAATTTCTTGTTACTAGACAAAAGGGCTTTGTGGCTAGTGGCTCTTAGGGAGGCGGGGGGGGGGGGGAGCACAGCTTGTATCTTTTCTGACAATTGGTTTCAATTAACATTTTGACGTCATCAAGCGCATGTGTAGTTTTCTAAATGTAGAAAGACATGGTAAACTATACGCATCAATTAGTACCTGTGGTGAACAGTAAAAGCCTGCAATAGGACTGATAACTAATATCTTAAGATTCTGAAAAGATCTGATAGTCCAGAGGGACAAGGGAGAGCATTACCACTCGACGAGGGACTTTACCAGAACAAATTTTTCTAAACCAGTTTTTGGTGTAGAGTTCAAATCTGGATGTTGACCGAGCCTGTGTATGAGCTAACAATGGTCACACGACAAAAAAATTTACAAGACCAACTTTTTCTAGACCAGTTTTTGGCGTAGAGGAAGATGACGCTTTGCCGAGAAAAAAACCTGGGATAAATCCGCTGAATGTCCTATAAATAGATAAAGTTTATTTCTCATGCATGTTTAGCGACAAAATCATCTCCAGTGGACATAGACTAGCATTGCTGTCCCCACTGGGGCTCTCGACTTAGGGAGAGGGATGAAATAAGGATCATCTGGTTTTGAAAAAGGAATAAATGAATCAGTTTGGTCTGTTAGTTATCTCTACAACGTTCAAACCTGAAACCGAAACAGATTTACATTAGCATCTATTGTGCAGATGATAATTTCAAAACCATAAACTGTCATGTCGTTAATTTCTCCTTAGTCTGCACTGTCACTGAATTGTTCAGTGTCCGCATTATCTGCATCATCTAGACTTTCTTGACAATAATCTAACTGATGCAATAGTTCTTTTTTTTCTGGATATGGCTCTTCTATCCGGTCTCCAAAGGCTTGCAATGTAGATTGAGCGTTGGATGCGCTTCTTAAAGCTTAAACTGCCTGGATGCATACAGATAAATCTGCATTTTACTCAGGGACGCCGGAGAGGGGGGCAGGGGGAGCAAGCGCCCCGCCTGCCTTTTAGTCAGGGGTGCAGGGAGAGCAAGAGTGCCCTTTTATAGAAGAACTTTGACTTTTTTGCCAATGCTTGACCTGGCCCTAAAGGCCTTTTTGAAGCCTGTCAACATAAATTTGAAGCATTTATGACTGAGCAGATGACCAACGAATACAACATATTGATGTTGCAAAGCCTGTCAGCTACCAAATGGACAACTCGAGTAAAGGCCGCCAATAGAATCTTTGAGAAAACAGCGGAGGTAAGAGAAACCTTACAATCTCTCACAACTGACCAATCAATCAGCGGAGATACCAAGGCAAGAATTCAACATTGGCTGAAACATAAAATGTCGTCGAAGGGCACTCATTTTGGTTTAAATGCAACAAGAAGGCTGCTTAGAAAAAAGAGCTCCAGTCAGTTACAATTTTTGCAGATTATGCTTTTATTCTTTACGATACATTGTTCAGCGGTTGCAGGAGATGAGGTGCATGGAACATTTCAATATCATTCTTGAAATTTGTAGAAGTCTGTGAAAAGAGTGATGAAGTGCGTACAAGAAAGGTCCCAAGGAGGATGGATCAAGCATCCTAACAGAACGGCTTCCAGCTACATCCACAGATGGCATAACTTGTAATGATAATTTGCGCAGAAGCTTCTTTGAAGCTATTGATGCAATTTCTTCCAGTCTCGAACAAAGGTTTGAACAAGAAGATTTATCAACTCTGAAACAAATAGAAGAGAAACTGCCAAAGTCAATGAAAAATAAAGGAGTCGATCTGACCATTCTTCTATGTTGTTTTCTTGACAAAGAAATGGTAGAGAGACAGCTGGATGATCTTCCAACCATTTTAGGGCTTTACAATGCTGAGAGGGAATTGAAGATAACAAATGTCACACGTATTGGAACAGTCGAAGATATTATCAACGCAATGCCCTCGCAAAACTGCAATGCCCTGAAGTACACAGGATGATTAAACTTGACAAAACAGTGCCACTTAGTTCATCTACCTGCAAGCGCAGTTTCAGTGCCATGCGCAGACACAAGACGTGGTTAAGGGCCAAAAAAAACAAACCATTTGAATGACGTTGCACATATACAAAAAACAGATTTTGACAAATTGGACATTAATTTTGGTAGCAAAGAAGTTTGTACAGAGAAACGACCAGTGGAAGAACTATTTTGGCAAATGAACCCTGCTATAGACTTTGCAGATTTGTTTTTCCTGTTCAGTTGAAGGTAAAATTATCTGGGATTTATAAAATGGCGAAATTAAGTGATTTGAATTAAAAATTGTTTGGTAGAATTCCATTACTTTGTCTTGCGCCAAAAATATTTTTCTTATTATTATCTTAACGTATCATTGAAGTTTGTACTACGCCCATAAAGTTGTTGTTGTTCATGATGATAATGATGATGATGATGATGATGATGACGATGATGATGATGAAAAAATGCTCCCTTGCAACACACAGCCCCCTTGCCTTTTATTCTTTTCGGCGTGCCTGATTCTACTTGTCTCTTGCAAATATTCTTTAAAAAAGCTTCCCTCGTACATCATTCACAGCATCAAGTCGTTTACCCCGCACAGCCAACATGTGTATATCTTCAAACCTTTGAAAAAATTGGCAATCAGCTCAACGACTGTGCCAAGCTAGCTGAAGGTTGCTAGAAACTATCGGTTGTTTTTCATTATACCTCAGAAGATCATTGCCTTAACTCTGGACTATGAGTGTCAAAAAGTCAAGCTCAACATTAATTTAACCTCTCCACTGATCTATAAAAAGACTGGATCGAGCTTCCAATGTGACCAGAGTGTCGCCATTCGAGAAGAGGGCCCCAGAGCAGCCCATGCGAGGGGACGGCCTTCTCTGTCACCCCTAGCAATGTTTTCAGCTTTCCCTTCCTTGTTCTTTTTCAGCAATTATACACACAGCGCAGCATTGCAGCTCTCGCGTATCCATATCGTTGAAGTACCGTAAATCCTCGAATAAGCCCCCAGGGGGCTTGTTTGCAAAAATGAAATTTTGGGTGGTGCTTATTAGAGGGGGGCGCTTATTCGAGCGTGGGGGCTTATTCGAGGATTTACGGTATTGGTTTTGAGGAATGGCTTCCCAATATTGCTTGGGGCCCTCTTCTTTTTGAAATTTAACGGGTATCAAACTTTGGTGTTTTAAGACAACAGGTAGCTCGATCCAGTCTTTATCGTAGATCAATGAATCTCTCTAAGCCCATTGTTGATCATAGCCTATTTTTTACACACTTGAACTTTAAAAGGTGCACTTGCATTTAGTAACACTAAATGGCAAGCTTGCCATTTCCTGCACAAGTGTGCGAATTTGGATAGGCAGACGGTGATATAAATAACCACGAGTTCTACTTTTATCAAAACCTCTTTTGTTTATATCTTCCTTTTTATACAGATTAGTTCCTGATATTTCTTACTTTTTTAT